TTTGATGTTATGTATCTACAGCGCTTGATATATCTATAAAAATAATTTTAAAAAGTATGTGCAGTTTTCCTTCCTTGAGAATTACAACTCTTTGTCACCTTAATGCACATATGTGTATGGACCATGGGTTTGGAATTGGTACTTGATGTCCTGTTTTTGCAACTGTGTAAAAGAATGTTATGTGTTTCTATTTGAAATTGTTTTGCATTTGAGAAACAAATTTATTACTCAAAGCAATGACTTGTCACTCAAGTGCAGAACCATGCACGCATATATTGGAATATACTCAGCCAAATAACAGTGACTTCTAATAACTAACAAGCCCTGTAATAAGAGTGTCATTACATATCTTCTTTGACAAGATTTTTGAATGTTTTACAATTTCAGTTATGAAATGAATAGTTCAGCTGCATGATGCAACTCTCAAGTTGTTTTAAAAGGTGCAATTCACTTGTTTGGCTTTTGTATGATCTTCCTATTGAGTAGGTAAACAATGACTTGGTGCCCCAACACACATGTGGATGTTATCTAAAGGAATTTTTCATAATTCGTTAATCTATTGACTGTAGATATTATACAGTTAGTCTCTAGAAAATATTATGGACCCTTAGTAGAGACAACAGAAACAAACCGAAGAAAAACTGCAGTCAATGAAAATGCACACAATGCTTTCTTTACAAATAGAGATATTGATAACAAATACACCAGTACAATAATCTGTACTTATAATAAGCAGCAACTCAGGTATTTACATCTCCAGTTATAAAAACCTGAAACAGATACACATACATACAGCTAGACCACAATGGAACTTTAAAGATAATCTTGATTACAGTTTACAATGTTTGGTTATTGCCTTTGGTACAAATACATTTGGAGGATATTGAATATGATGTGATAATGATTGAGAGGTGAAACAGTTTAAGAAGTGGTTCTTTTGGTTATGGTCTACAATATTTGTTGGTAAAATCAACCTGTAATCAAATTAAGTGATCTTGTACCCAAGAGTGGTTATTGATGTTGTACTCAGGTGTGGTTATTGATCTTGTACTCAGGCGTGGTTATTGATCTTGTACTCAGGCGTGGTAATTGATCTTGTACTCAGGTGTGGTTATTGATCTTGTACTCAGGCGTGGTTATTGATCTTGTACTCAGGCGTGGTTATTGATCTTGTACTCAGGTGTGGTTATTGATCTTGTACTCAGGCGTGGTTATTGATCTTGTAATCAGGTGTGGTTATTTACCTTGTACTCAATTCTTCTGTCCTAAAGTCCACAGTGAGACTAAGCTTATCAATGAGTGCTGAAGCTCTCCATTGATTACGGCATGGAAATGGCACTGATCCCAAACCAGTATCCATGCTTGACACTAAAATGTAAACACAGTGATGTTGTGACAATTGGACTCATTGTTCATGAATCATAACAGGGAAACAGTTGAGATTTCAGTCTTAAAACCAAGTGCATATACAATGTACGTGTGCTATTTGACTATGCATTCAGGGATGAAAACAATCATGTCACTAGGATTAGCTCTTGAGTCAAACCCTACCATTTGGTATTTGGTCCATAAGTCCTAACATAAGTGATAAAAATCCTAGCCATATTATCATACTTGTACTCTTTATTAACAGAAGTATTGCCCTATGATTGGTCCTAGCAAATCATTTTGAAATGGTGAAGATGCCCACCCTATTGCCATATATATGTTATAGAAATGAATGCTGGTCTTATATAAATAATTATACCAATTTGATACAAGATTTGTCTTCATGGATCATGCAGTGGAAGCAGCTGAGATCTAAACCCCATTTTCAGTGATCTTGCCTTTATTAGATGGTCGACCCCTCATTATCTTTCTTTGTATGTGAATTGGTTGATTACAGGTTGATTCTTTAGAGGTTTTCAGTGCATACGGCTCTTCTTCTTAATAGGTGTTGTTTAAACATCACTGTCTTTTTAAATTATTTGATATCAAGATTTCAGTTCAGATGATTCCTCCCCTTCAGTTGGATGCAGGTCCTTCTGTCCTATCTCCAGCCCAGTCCTAGAGTTGCCTCATTCTGATAATCTCTTAAAGTCATCAGTAGCCTTATGGTATTCATGTTTCCCATGAATCCTGAAAAAAATGGGGCACAGTCTTATCAATTTGGTTGATATGTTTAGAATATCTATATGTAAGTTTGTCTAATTCATCAGTGAAAATGGATTTACTTTCAGCCTTGCCTAACTCCTTGATCACAATTATTTTATACAATCTCAGATTCTTTCGTGGGCCAGTGTTTAAAGTCCTGTCCACTAGACTAGTGATTAGTGGTTAATGCTGGAGACCTTATGACACTTGTACTTTCAACATCTTTATACATTCCTTACCTAGTCTTTCACCTAACTGAAATGATCATGGTGCTGTATGAATCTGCTCGATTTCAATATATCACATTCCGACTCAATATGTCTGTTCACTAAGATGATATCAGATTAAAATAGATGATATTATAAGATAAGGTGTTAGGTAAGAGTTCTCGAGAGAGAGAGAGAGAGAAGATTACTGGGTAGTGGTAGTTTGATAATGTTATGCATTATGTAATTAGAAGAGGCAAGGGGTCTGTATTTCGTTGAAGAGGTATCTAATTTTAAGAGATGGGTTGGAGGTGGTTGCTGAAAATGTATTGCATATATGTAATGTGGGTATTGAGATATGTCTTCATTGGTTATACCTTGGTGGTTATAGTGTATTCTGGTTTATAATGATATTGTATAATAGGGAGATTGGCATTTAGATGATTTTATGGGGGTTTTTTTCTTTTTAATTTAAAAGACAATTTAAGTTATCAAATTGTGTCTTTCTTTGTTCAGTGGTGACAAACAGACCTGCCCTTTAATACATTTTTTTATTTATTTATTTATCCCATGTTTCCTCCTCAAATTTTAAGGAAGTCTACATACCACTGGCCAAGATCACAAACTCAACTCTGTGTTACCAATTCATTTCTATGGGATCAAGAAGATTTTCTTGAAGTAGTTCTATATACATGTTTATACATTACATAGTTGGGAATAATATTTGAAAAAACCTTTCTACAGACAGGTGGAATCTAGTAATTCATAGAACTAAATTATCGCCACTAAAATTTAACTTGTAGGATAGTACTATTTTGATATTTTATTTTTAATATTAAAAAAAAAATTCTCTCTTTCTCTTCTTATTTAATTTTTTTAGTCATTTGTGATTTGATGGGTGTCTATGAATCATCACCTATCCTGAAGCAATTCTTGGTATAAAGTACAAAATGGTTCATTTTCAAATTTCATTGATAGGTTCCCCTTGGTACCTTGTGGTGTGTGCTCAATTTAAACACTGATCAGGAAAATGTGGCCATATGTTGGAAAATGACTGTTAAAGTTGACTGTGGAAAATGACTTTAAGTTGACTGTGGAACATGACTGTTTAAGTTGACTGTTGAAAATGACTGTTAAAGTTGACTGTGGAACATGACTGTTTAAGTTGACTGTGGAACATGACTGTTTAAGTTGACTGTGGAATATGACTGTTTAAGTTGACTGTTGAAAGTGACTGTTAAAGTTGACTGTGGAAAATGACTGTTTAAGTTGACTGTGGAAAATGACTGTTTAAGTTGACTGTTGAAAATGACTGTTAAAGTTGACTGTGGAAAATGACTGTTAAAGTTGACTGTGGAACATGACTGTTTAAGTTGACTGTGGAACATGACTGTTTAAGTTGACTGTGGAACATGACTGTTTAAGTTGACTGTTGAAAGTGACTGTTAAAGTTGACTGTTACTCTTTTTTTGAAAAGCTCAGAATAAACTGTATAAAAATATCTTTTTGTCTCTGGTTCTGTGCTTGTAATTTGAGATAAATTGAAAGAATAACCTGGCTGAGAGATACCAATATCGACTTGGAGATCTGAAGTTTGTCAAAAAGTAAGGGGGGGGGGTTAGGTCATTCTTTTATACAAGTTTCTCTTAAAGTATTGAGCACCCAGTAATACTTTCGCTTTATATTTTCACCTGTCAGTATTAAAGATACTCTGTAAGAGCAAAGAGCTGGAAGGGAAAAATCAAACATGCAAAACCATAACCAGTTAAGTCATACAATGGTAGACACCAAGATCCCTGTATACATAGGGCCTTTTCTTGTTACATACAATACAAACAATTAGTGGATACTTAGAGACAAATAATTCATGTTACATAGACTATCCATGGGACATGCAGTCGACTCTGGAGGCTTATCAGTTATCAGAATGGGGTCCCAAACCTTTCCATTTTTTTACAACGTAGAGAATACACAGTAGCAGTTAAGATTGGTCCTTGGTGGAGTACATGGAATTAGGGTCACAACACAACCATGTATACAGGCCTATTTCATTTTTTTAGACTCAAATATTTGAGTCCTGGACTCCTGGTTTTCCTGTAGGACTCTCTGTATCTCTTTGAAACTGGACTCATCAAAATTTTGGAATTGGAGCTCTAGACTCATTAATCAAAATCTACAAAATTTACTGCAGTTGGGTGTCTTGTTTTTGTTAAAGAACACATGTAGATTACAACTGGCAATGTCGTCTACTTTCCATAATGATTTAACCCCTACTAGGTTTAATGATGATGCTCATCCTGAATTCATGAAAGAGTTTGATATTTTTGTATTCATTATAGATATGTTTATTAATGGGATTTTGGGATTTCTACTTTTGTGAACATTTATGAATGTAGATAACAATGTAATGTTAATAGTTATACTGCATTTTTATTATTAATTTTCATGGGGATTTATTTTCATTGTATTTGTTGGTCATGCTGTATTCATTCATTCACAACATAAATTTTAAGTGTTAGTGGAATTATTGAATACACTTTATTCACGATATGAAGGGCCCATGAAAAAGTATTATTTTAAAAAAACCAAGAAATTTTGACCTGATTTTAAGGTATTGTGTTGTATTATATAGTTACTGACTCTTTCTGTTTTGTTTTTCAGTTTATGTATTGTCTGATATTTTGACTTTGGGTGACAATATCCGAAATGTAAGAACTGTTCAAGGCTTTTGTGACAGAAGAGGAACGTACCAAAATGAAACCGATACGGCTACAGAATTTACAAGTTCAACATCACTTACTGCTAGTGTTGCAGATATATTTCAACGTAAGTTATTTAATCATTCTTGAAAATCTTCTAATTGACTTCAGAAAAGAATATTTTATCTTTACTATTCTTTGACAAAGGATCAGAAATGAGTCTTTTGTGTTATTTTCTATCAGATTCCACATCAACTTCAAGATGTTGTGTTTAGAATAGTTTCTAAAAAAGAATAATTATGTAACTGCAACAGTCAAGTTGTTTTAAAGTTTTACTCCAGTCATAAATAAGGTATATTGATTTTGAGAATTTGCAAGAATGACTTTCAAATATTCAATTGACTTACAGTACATTTCACATATAAGCATGGCTCCTTAGTTAGTCAAGTTCTAATTTTCTTCAAAAATTGTGTTCATATCTGATTTTCGCATTGTTGTTATGGTATTTGTTATATTTTCAGATCATATATATGTAGGTTGTACAATTCAGAATAGAATTATAGATTTATAGATCCTCTTACATTGGTGAAAATCTTGAAATTTTGGGGGGAACTTAGAATGTGCAATAATACCTTGAATAATTTTTAATTTTTCTTCTATTTTTGTACACACATTTCATAAACAATATCATATTTAATGTTATACATATCTATGTATAATGTTTCTTTTTTTTCTTCATTCAGTCAAATCTTCATTTTATAATTTTGGAAATCCTTGGGAGGTCATCATTTTTGCGAAGTTTATTGAAGATAATATTAAATCCAAAAAGAGGTCAATTTCAAGAATTTGAGCTCTCTTGAATCCACACATGCATATTCAGATTTTCTCAGAAAATGTCATGATGGATTAAGCTTTAGTCTTCATGCCATCCACCTGAATCCACCTGGTATATGCTTGTTAATAGCGTTACTCAGTGACTTTTCCGGTGGGTTTTTCATGCAGTAGTTCCCTTCATGTGATTTTCATGGACCATAATGAAATTAAAACTTTAGCATGATGTTGAATTATATATGAGCTATCCCTGTAGAAACCAAAAAACATCATGAATATTATTTTCAAAAGTTGCCAAATTTTATTTTGAATTCTTTTTCCAGATGGACTTTCTGTGGATGACTTTTCCATCATTCTTATCTTTAAAAAAAGTCCGGATGTTGATACAACACTGTTTTCAATTTACTCGTCTGAATTAAGGGAAGTGATGAGTTTAGCGGTTGGACAAACAACAACATTTTATTTCAATGGAGGCGACTCTGACGAGCGACCACATTATTCCTATGATTTGGGCATTGACACAAGTTCAGGGTAAGTTATTATATTATACCCTGATAATTGACTTGGTCCTAAAAAGGATGTGCTTTTATTTCGTTTTAAGCTCAGTAATTGATGTAAATTAGGATTTCCCCCCCACCCCCCTCCCCCCATATTTTTCTTGATCATTTGTTTATGTGACAATGAGATTCACTTTTTCTTACATCTATGAATTAATTGGATACAAATATTATCTTTGAAATATCGACATTCAATCCATTTCAGAATTCCGTTAAATATCTAGTCTAGTCTCATATCACTTACAGTAGCTTGATGGGTAGAAATTTGGAGATGGTAATTGGAATGTTTTTGGACCTGAGGTGAAAATTTTGAAATTTTGGATTAATTGTCTTATGGATCAATATAACCTTTTATAATCTATTGGGTGAAATCTAGCAAATGTTTCATGTATGTACATCAGACTTTTTATACAGATTCATCATTCTGAGGCATTGTGTCACACAGTAAAAAGCGATCACTGTGACCTCTATTCAGTGACCTTTGACCTCAAAAAACGGAATTTAGTAAATTTTAGATCTTGGAAACATGCATTTCCTTGCAGCTACATAAATCTTGGTATGCTAGTATATCATGAAAAACCACCATGACATATGTACTGATATAGGAACAAAGCAAGAGAACCTGTGATCTTTCCAGTAAATGCCAGAATACAGTTTTCTTCATTATATTTCACTAGCTAACAAGGAGACTTCACACTTGATATGAAGGTTTATCATGAAATACTGCTATTTTGGGTTTCAAAGTAGAAATATCTTATGTTTAGATTTCTATTTTGTTATCAGCCTTATTTCGGTACATTACACATATTTTTCATAGCTTAATGAATAATTTCTGCGAACTCGTTCTTGAAATTGTGTTTGTACAATTGATTTCTGTCACCAAAATTTCCTTCTATTTATAAAGAATGAAAAGAATTCTTTGATAAGGCTTTACTTACTGACATTTTCAGTTTGTGGTGAACTGATAGCATAAACCCTGTTGATTCCTACAGGCAGCAACTGAGCATTATTTTCCTGTAAAGCCAGTTAAGCACTCACAATTTCAAGTGAAACGCATTAAATATAACTTGTACACAAAGTCACGGAAACACAGGTAAAAATCTTCATGTAGAAGTAAGCTTCATCTTGTACACAAAAGCATGCTTACAAAGGCAGGTGTTACATTGCTTTGAAATTCATGTATGTAGTTCAAAATATGTTTACTTGTGTTTAAATGATGGCAATGAAGAATTGCCAATTTCAGCATCCATCTCCCTTTAAATATATCCCGTTTGGCACAGATCCTAAGGGAAAATAAGAAAAACTTTTTCCATACAAATTTAAACAAGTGCATCTGTCCTAAACCTTTCTCATCTTAAGGAAGCTGGATTTCCTTAAACAACACACATGTGATGCTGTGTGGAGGGACATGGTAAATGATTAATGCCCAATTATCTGGATTGTCCTGAAATAGAAGCAACATATTTGTTAGAACTCACCCTCAAAAAAATGGCATCTAACTGGGAGTAAGACATTAGCTAGTATCATCATCATGGACAACAACTTCCAAGGGTAGTTTATCGTGTCTAACTGTTGTCACGCATGTCTAGTCAGTTACATTTTAATTCAATGTGTAAAGTGGGATGTAGACAATGTTTGGTCCCTTTTTACCATATATTGTAGGGAATACATTATTTAGTCTCATTATACCCGGGCGCTCTTCAACATCTATACAATATGTTGTCACATTATACTAGGACTAAATCATTTGTTACATATTCAAATTTTTTTGTGATTAAAAATTTGTTTACACAGAATGTCAGGGTTGTTTTGGGTCAGCATGCCACTACAGATGTCTTGTCACCAGATGTGGGCCTCTTCTATCAGAAACTCCTGTTTATCGTTAATTCCTTAGGCCAACTTTAAAAATACATCAGATAGGTTTCTGTTTCAGGGTTTCAAGGTCAAAGTTGTTATTTAATATCTACCATATTTTCCAACCTATAAGCTGCATTTTTTTCCCTGGTGAGTCAGGCATGCAGCTTATACATGGACGAAACCCAACCCCAACCCCCCCAAAAAAATCGGTAGAATGGGGAAAAAATGTAAAACTAGTGCAAGACATCATAAACTGGTTTTTACAAAACACATAGAACCAATTTTATACTAAATGATTTGAAGATTGCAGATTGCATTCAATTAGCATTCCCAAGGATTTGATTAATCATACCTGTTGATATATTCTTGACTTACATGGTTTCTTCACAACAGTATATGTAAGAAAGCATAGCGAATGTTTCCAGCAGACTATTGCACCCTCGGATCGATAGGTTGAGGCCTGCGACGGGAGCAACAAAAAATTTTATATGTGTGTATACTATTACTGAAATGGTGTTTTGTGCATTTTCCAAGAACCTGTAGACGCTGTGAATGGCCCAGCAAATCCATCCTCAATTATTTTTTGAAGACATACATATTAATATATATGTATAGAAAATTATCGAACATTGATTCTTATAGTAATGGATGCAGGAGCCTGTGATCTGGACATGCTCTAGTCTTGAGACTAGGCATCACTACTGTTTTGTGTTTCATGTGTCAACCTAAAGTGTCTTATTAATGACATTTTTACAATAGCAGAAGTGCCATGAAGACCGTCGAGCTCCTACAATAGTTTAGTGTAGAATTAGAGAGTATAGGTCACATGATTAGTCTTGACTAGAGGGAATATTTCTTTAGTAGACTTTCTTACCATGAGATTGAGAGGTTGCTGGTTTGAGGGGCAGAGGTCATTTTTCATGATTCCTTTCAAAGAATTTTTACAGATTTGATGTCTATGACCTCTCTAAGAGTAGAAGCTACATAATGGACTTGAATTTTTGTTGTCTTATGGGTTGGAGATTTGTGAAAGGAGGTAACCAAAGTAAAGAAGCTGAGAGCATAGGTCACCTTAATAATCTCAACTAGATTGAATTTTCATTTAGTGAAGTTGTAGAGTGTCTAACTTGTGAGCAAGAGGCCTTTTATTTGAGCCTCAGCAGGGACACACAGGTCCTCACTCCTTCAGCCCCTATTACATGTGGTATTTTTTAATGAAGTGTATAATCGTTTGACTTTCTCTTCTTCACAGCTGGACGAGGTTAGGACTGGGTATCAAGAAAAACAGAATGACTGTTAACTACAACTGTGTTCAACAAGAGGAAGTCACACTAAAGAACCGACCTCAAGTATTTCCACAGAATGCCGAGATTTTCTTAGGGTCAAATTTTAATGATGAAACATTATTTCAGGTAAAAAGCTATCATGTTTAAAATCTCATTGTCATATCTGATTTAGTTGCAAATATCCATTTTCAATCAAACAGGATTTTTTTTTTTAAATCATGCAGTGCAAAATGTATATATACAGTTCACTAGCTTTATCTCATTTTTCATCATTGTCATATATTCATTTTCAGGGAAGTTATAGGCATTTCATTTAATGATACCCACTTAATATCATGTTCTATTTGTCAGGGAGAAATGTGATAATAAGCAGAATGTGACATTAACAGTTGACATGTTTTCTTCGGGTGTCTAATCACCAAAGTTAATTTTCTTATGTGCGAAACTGACTTGTTTCTTATAGAAATTGTTTGAAGACAAAAAAAATTTATTTGATTTGTATTTCCCACAAGTTTCTATTTAAATTTCTATTTCAATAAGTGCATACTTCAATTCGTAAAACTTAAGTTCAAATCAGTATTAAAGCATTGTATCCTAATTATTTGTTCCCATTTGATGGCGACATTTGTAATAGCAACATTGACATCCCGTAATTTGGTGTCGGGTAAGTCATTTTGAAAAAGGAAATAAACACATTTTCTCACATATGACAATTCACATTTGATTATTTTCTCATCATATCTGTTAAAAAACAATCTTTGTTGTTTTGAAAATCGATTCCAGTATGCAAATTAAGACTCATTTTCAGGATGTTTTGACAGCCTGTCAGAAAAACTTAGTGACATGGCACCCACTCACACATGGGCCTAACCACTAGTGTTCCAAGTTGCAAGTGACAAATGGTTTAAAACCAATTTTAACTCTTTAAATGCATTAGCCAGTTTAAAAAAACAATGCACCAGGCTTCTTAGGATGTTACGGGTCAATCTATTGTTCGGAAGTCGTGAGATGTGAAAAGTTGGCCCATAAGGCAGTGACGACATTTACATAAAGTTTCTAGGTATAACTCATGGCCCTTGCTTTAGTCATGAATCCATAGTTCTTGGCCTCACTTACTTGTGACTTACCTGCATTTGTTATCAAAGTGAAGTGATATTAAACATTGGTTGTTGGATTATATGGACTATATAGGAAAAAACTGGTGACATTGATAGTGCTTTTGTATGGTTAGTTCTGTTAAGAAGAATTTAGACAATTTTTTCTTCTTTTTTAGTAGTTTTAAGGCCTTATGACATCCACTTTGGTATTAAACCTTTGGATTTAAAGGAAAATTAATTTGGCATTCATAGCACTGTGATAATATTGCCAATTTGCATACAAAAGTATTTGTTTTAAAATAGAGAACTTTTCTGCATGTTTTTAGAAAAGTGATCCTATTAAGTTTTACAGAGAGAGATATCAGTGTTCTTGTGCACATAAAATAACATTTGTTTTCTATTCAGGGTTTATTCCAAGAATTTATCATCCTCCCTGATGCAAGGGTTGCAAAATCGATCTGTGAAAGCTTTGCCCCAGATTGTGGTGTACAAGTGAATGCTGAAGTCAGCCGTGCCAAGTCCGATTCCAGTATCATGTACCCAGATGGTATGGTCATTGACAAGTCAGGTGCAGCTGTCAAACTTCCAATGATTCCAGAGGGAGAAGTCGAATACATACCTATTGACAAATCTGGAGGGGATCCCCAGCTTCTCACCGACCAAGACGGACAAGTGGTGGGTTAACTGTCTGTAGATCATGTCAGTTTAATGACATGTACAGTCATTTATACAGAACTCGTAACCCAATAGATTATTGTGCATTAAAACAGTGCTGATCATTTATCTATCCAAGGTCTACAGTGTATATGGAAAATCTACTTTTGAACAACAAGTGTTTCGGGATAATACCAATTTGAAGGTTCAATGTGATAACTGTTTTTATTTAAGAACAATACAGGTCTTAAAATTCAGGAATAGATTTTTTCACAGAGTGACACTATAAGTTAAAAGAAAACAAACAAGGAATGTTGTTCATAATTCTTAATATCATTTGCTTTGAAATAAAACTAGAAAGTCACGACAGAACACACTTTAAATTTCAAGTCTTCAATATTCTATTATGCATTCATATTGCGTTATATTTTTCAGCTTCTGGAGTTCGATAAATCTACTGGTATCTCCTATGCCTACAGATATGTAAGTACAACATCTATTTCATATCAGAATATTTTATTGTCAAGATCAGAAAGAAATTGGGCAACAGACGTCGCTTAAGAATGTCCTTTCCTTGCAATAATAAACTAATACACTGACACATCAATCAAATTGTCAGTAAATTATAGAATGATTAGATCTATTTAGTGTATACTACATGATTTTCATTATGATAATATATCAGTCCTTCATGATGAAATACAAATAGTTCTACTTACAACATCGGCTAAGTATTCATAAAGAGGATGTAACAAAGGACAAGCATTGGATTAAGATATTTGGAAATGAGGACAAATCGAGTTAAACGTACAGAAAAAATATACAGTTTATCACAATAGACATTCTAAGACTAAACAAAAAGTGATATTTACATTCATCTTACATTCATGCTACATAAAAAAAGCAAAGTTTATAAAGTTCATGGCCAAATAACAGTATCACACAGCATCACATTCACACGAATCTGAATCTCACGCACAAGCACAGCATCACATTCACATGAATCCAAATCACATGCACAAGTCACAGCATCACATTCACACAAATCCGAATCATGTGCACAAGTCACAGTATCACATACACACGAATCCGAATCATGCACACAAGTCACAGCATCACATTCACACGAATCCGAATCATGCCCACAAGTCACAGCATCACATTCACACGAATCCGAATCATGCCCACAAGTCACAGCATCACATTCGCACGAATCCGAATCATGCACACAAGTCACAGCAATCAATGAGTAAAAGTGTTCCTTACAAAAAAGTATGCCAAGTTTAAGGTCTTTGCACCTCTAAATACATAGATGCACATACCTTAATACTTACTGTCTTTTACCAAGTATAGTACAACAAACAGCATCTGTATGAGTGGATCTGCTAAGACTTAAATCAGTCACTTAAAGTGTAGTTTGCTCGGAGACCAATCCATTCATCACCTCTTGACCTACAGCTTATCTCCTATGACTGACCAGTGAATAAATGCAATCCTGTCGCCGAAGTACAAAGACTAGCAAGGTCGTGTATGGTGTGATACGTAGATTTTAAAACATCATGGAAAGTTTTAAAAAATGCAAAATACAACAGGCAAAAATGTATCAGCTGCAACAGCATCATAGTTGGTTCTTTCATTTCATTTCATGTCTTTCAACTGCTTGGTCTACGGTTGTAATCGGCATCAACCGCAGACTACATTTAGAAGAGAGCTACAATCTCTTACTCCCTATATCTAAAAACTGAGACTATGATCACATGTCGGTTAAACTTACAAATCAAGATATAAGTATGGCATTTCTGGGCTGTTGTACTTTCATACAACCGTAAAATTTGCTACCTGAAATCAACTCAAACTGACAGTATAAGAAAGCAAACAATGTTCCGCACATACTGGGAATGAACAAATAAATAACATAGTAAACTATACAATTATACACTACACCTAATCAGTTGTTATATCTGATTGGACCGCAGGGTAAAATAACCAGTGGAAATGTATTAGCTGGTTTATAGACAATGAGAAATACAGAACAACAAAGTGAAATATGTAGTAAAATATTAGCGACTTACCAAAGTCTGTATTCCATGTTTGTAGAAGTATCCAATAACTAAATATTTCTAAGCTGCAAGTGTCAATCCATCGCTTTTTACCAGTCCTTCAAAAAAAATGAGTTTTTAAAAATCTATCAAAGGTAATGATTTAAAACATAATTATGGCATTTTTCAAAACTTCAGCAATATTATAAGGCCAATATGACATTTTAGGGACCACCAGGACCTCCAGGCCCCCGGGGACCCACTGGACCGGCAGGACCCCCAGGAGAAAGGGTAAGGATTACTCCATACAGAGTGGTTTAACTGACTATTTCCTGTTGTTTTATTTCTACCAGGTGTTTTTACCTTCAACAGGTATTTCCATTACTTTATTTCCTTACATACCTGAGATTAAGAGTCTGTGATATACATAATTACTATCCAGATAGAAAATAATGACACATTACAGACAAACCTTTGTATCAAGTACTGACATCATACTTTGTTATGAAAATAGTTAAAAAAACATTTCAAAGGTTAACTAAGATTTTGAAGTTCATATTTAATTCTGGAGCTTAGTTTAAACAGTATTTGTTGAATAATCCATTTACACACATATTGACAGGGACAGATCTGCTTCTTGTGATATGATAAATAAAGATGTGTGATTTTTAGGGATTTTCTGGACGTGATGGAATCCCAGGAGCTACTGGAGTCCAGGGATCACCTGGTCATGTCTTCATCCTCCCAGTAAGTTTATCATTTATTTGTGTTCCTACTTTTTTCATATATGATGATTTGTATATAGATAGGAAAATTGTTATTTGTATATATCAGAGATTTCACATTTAATAAATATGGTTTATTTATATATATTGCTAAAATTCATGAAGAATCAAAAACGATGAACATTTCAAATGCCAAAAAAGAGACAGTTTAAAAAATGATAATATTACCTTGATTATTTTTTAGCTCCCAACTGAGGGTAAAAACTCTAATCAGGCTGCTGCATTCAGGACAATGCTGGAACAGCACATGGTAAGAATGATATAATTCCTGGTCACATGTACAATCAGCTGACTGATGGGATAAAATTTTATACATGATATACTTCATTTGAATGAATTATATTCTCTTTTAGCATAAGAATTGGATGGAAAATACTCACAGTGGAACCATAGCAGAATATTTTGAAACAAAAAAAGTTGTCACCACAAAACACATGTTGACAAAGTGACAACAATATCAAGTCTAATTTCAACTGTTAGTTATAAGTTTCAGGTTCAGAGCCAACTACATTTAATACAATACACAACTGAAATTGGACTGGTAATGAAAACCTCTGTTTGTCTCTTCAGATGGCAATGTCAGGAGCCCGAGGCCCCCTTGGTATGACTGGTCTCCCTGGTGCAGTCGTAAGTACTTCTAATTGTAACCTGCTGCATAAACAATCTTTTCAGTAGTCTGGTATGCTCTGTATCACCTGATATCAGGACAGTGTGTTTTTAATATAATGATATTGTATCACTAGATATCAAGGGTGAATGTCTAGACCTCCACATTTTGTCACTAGATATCAGGACTGTAGTCTCTCTAGACCTCCACATCTTATCTTTTGATATCAGGATTGTAGTCTCTCTAGACCTCTACATTGTATCATTAGATATCAGGACTGTAGTCTCTCTAGACCTCTACATTGTATCATTAGATGTCAGGACTGTAGTCTCTCTAGACCTCCACATTGTATCATTAGATGTCAGGACTGTAGTCTCTCTAGACCTCTACATTGTATCATTAGATGTCAGGATTGTAGTCTCTCTAGACCTGCACATTGTATCATTAGATATCAGGATTGTAGTCTCTCTAGACCTCTACATCTTATCTTTTGATATCAGGATTGTAGTCTCTCTAGACCTCTACATTGTATCATTAGATATCAGGACTGTAGTCTCTCTAGACCTCTACATTGTATCATCAGATATCAAGGGTGAATGTCTAGACCTCTACATTGTATCATTAGATATCAGGATTGTAGTCTCTAGACCTCTACATTGTATCATTAGATATCAGGACTGTAGTCTCTCTAGACCTCTACATTGTATCATTAGATATCAGGACTGTAGTCTCTCTAGACCTCTACATTGTATCATTAGATATTAGGATTGTAGTCTCTCTAGACCTCTACATTGTATCATTTGATATCAGGACTGTAGTCTCTCTAGACCTCTACATTGTATCATCAGATATCAAGGGTGAATGTCTAGACCTCTACATTGTATCATTTGATATCAGGACTGTAGTCTCTCTAGACCTCTACATTGTATCATCAGATATCAAGGGTGAATGTCTAGACCTCTACATTGTATCACAAGATATCAAGGTTAGAATGTCAAGACCTGAACATTGTATCACTAGATATCAAAGGTGAATGTCTAGACCTCCACATTGTATCATTAGATATCAGGACTGTAGTCTCTCTAGACCTCTACATTGTATCATTTGATATCAGGACTGTAGTCTCTCTAGACCTCTACAATGTGTCATTAGATATCAGGATTGTAGTCTCTCTAGACCTCTACAATGTGTCATTAGATATCAGGACTGTAGTCTCTCTAGACCTCTACATTGTATCATCAGATATCAAGGGTGAATGTCTAGACCTCTACATTGTATCATCAGATATCAAGGGTGAATGTCTAGACCTCCACATTGTATCATTAGATATCAGGATTGTAGTCTCTAGACCTCTACAATGTGTCATTAGATGTCAGGACTGTAGTCTCTCTAGACCTCTACATTGTATCATTAGATATCAGGACTGTAGTCTCTCTAGACCTCTACATTGTATCATTAGATATCAGGACTGTAGTCTCTCTAGACCTCTACATTGTATCATCAGATATCAGGATTGTAGTCTCTCTAGACCTCTACATTGTATCACAAAATATAAGGGCTGTCAGTCTAGATGTCTAACTTGTATCGTTAGATATCAGGTGTGTAGTCTCTCTAGACCCTGACTTTGTATCACTATGCAATTTAGCACTACAAAAGAAATGTGTATTTTACTTTTTCAGGGCCCACCGGGAGTTGATGGTTCTAAGGGAGACTCTGGTAACCCAGGAGAACAGGTATGATTTTCAGCGACCTTTGCTCCCTAAAGAGAAAAAACAGTTTATATCAAATTAAAGGATGAAACAAAATAACGGGTTTCTTCAAATTGCTACCAAATCAGACTGATGATGAAGTGAAATAGATTAAATACTTCTTGTAAAGAAGAAATAAAGAGTCATTCCAGCTATTTTTGACAAAAAGTAGGCTGCTGTGAATATGATCTTCATAACTAGTTTGTTAGAGGTTCTGTTTTAACTGGTAATAAAAATTAGGGTAGAAATATGCTTATAAGCTGTTACCTGGATCTTCAAAGAACTACAGAACTTGTGTAATGAAATACATATTGTATAACAATGATTGTCTCAAAGACTGGCTGAGATGTCAGCCAAAATCTGTGGAGTCTTTATGATGTATTGCAATGCTTCTCATGTTTTAAGGGACTGACTGGACCAAGAGGTTTGAATGGCCAAAGGGGAAAGCCAGGAAAGAAGGTAAATTTGTGTGAAATGGATAAGTATAGTTATCTTAGGGTAAGACAAGGGAGCCAACACAGATATTCTGGTTCAGTGTCAAGGAGTGGGCTTATCACAGGACAGGGAAGTAGTTTAGTGGATAACTCTAAAGAATAGAACAGCATTAAATATGTTTGGTCTGATAACTTGGGCTTGTAGGTATGGTGGAATTGTCAATTCAATAATATTAATTATGTATTATCTTGGTCCGCAATGTAAATGTTCCTAAGTGTTTAAATCAAAGTTTACTGAAAGACATGAGGTTTCCAATATGATCAGTTAAAACTTATTTGATGCCTTATAACAGAAGTCAAACAGTTTCTGCTAAAAACATTAATAATACAATGCTATTTATATGAGGGTGTTTTCCTCTTTAGAAATTATAGAAATGGCACCCCATGTAGTAGACATTACATGTATACATTATATGATACACATGAAATTGCAATCTGACTTTTCCTATGGTTGAACCATTACAGGGACGTGAAGGTGCTGAGGGAGAGCGTGGCAGTATGGGACCTCCTGGAGATAAGGTACACAAGTTACTGATTGGCTGGATATCCCTCATCAGTGATGATATCCAGTAGAAAAGCCTTTGATGTAGCATTGTCTGATTTAATTACAGACATTTCCCTATCTTATATATTGGCATTGTCTTAACATTTATATTCCTGCCTGCTAGGTTTGTGTTGTTAAGTCTTGTAATTTGATGATATTTTTGTGTGTTGATATTTTGGTTATTATTTTTTTTCTACATTAAAAATGTAATGTATTTTGCCATAGCAATATTAATTGATAAGTTATAGGTATTTAAATAGGTCAGATCTCTAATGTAGGTCAATATTTACTACTCATAATTAAATGATAGTTATAAAGAAACTGTAAAGAATTGGAATTCATTGCATTACTATAATCAAAATATACATCATTTTTGTCTTCCAGGGAGACCTTGGATTTCCAGGAATGATTGGTATGCCCGGAAACAAGGGAGAGAGGGTATGTAGTTAGTCCTACTTATCTACACAGGAGCTAGTCCACGTAATAACTCTACAGCCATAGCTAGTAGCGAAGAAAGATGCCAGTTAATATATAGCCACTAACCTGATAGAGATTTTAATATTGTACATAGTTGCCAGTTTCCTGAAGTTGCTAATTGAAGCCCTGTTGAAAATTCTGTGGGTAGTGATAACACAAAACATTTCTGACACAATAAGTGATGATATAAATGTATGATATATCACTTGTCAAATGGTTGAGAAACGGTGATGATCAATCCTGATATTTGAACCATTTCCCAGTACTACGTGTTACTGTTAGTACATTTTTCTTCCTATGCTGTTGTAGGGATCTGCTGGAGCACCTGGTCAGTCTGGACCTACAGGACCTGAGGGCAAGCAGGTAAGACCACAATTCGCTTCATCCCTTGCCTAGAAAAATCTTGTAATATGTATTTAATGCCTTCAAAAGGCCTTGACTTTATATCTTTGGTGTTGAGATAAAATATAGAACAAACCACAGGCAATTGAAATATTTACAAATCTTCAAATTGTCACCAGAAAAAGACAGATTAATGTCAGTCTTGGAAAAGTATCATTATTCACTATCTCAAAGTCTGTCATTAAGTCTAACCACCCTCCTACTGTGGTCTTTATTGAACCCTTGTATCTTTTTTTGAGTTTGTGACAAGATGCTGGTGAATATTTTAAACATACATACCGTATTTGTCCTGAAAAGAGCGCCGGTAAATAACCAGTAGGGCGCCTTTACTAAGATATTTTTTCTCTTGAGTTAAAAATCTGGTAAATAGTCATGGGGTTGTCAAATATCAGGAAGTATGAAGTTACAACATAGTTTAGACTTCAATCAATCTGTTACAACTGCCGAAGTGACACTTAATTTTCCGCTAATACACTTGAATTGAAACAATGTTATCACTTTCACAAATTGTCAAGATCGTCATGTACACCTAGTCCTCATCTCAGGATGCTTGCCAAAAATTCCCATGACCAGCCAGTACCGGTGACGTGTCAAATTTTGTCTCAAAACGTGTTGGAGACTGGCTACACTCCAGCATGCCATTTTGATCAAAATGAAAAGTTACGAAAAAAAAATTCAAAATTAAGGTGATCAAATTTGCCAAAGAAAACGGTAACCATAAAGCCAATAGTCATTTCAAAATTCATAGAAAATGTGTGCAGAGATGGCTGAAAAATGAGGAAAAAATCAGAACCGAAGGAAAGCAGCGTCATAAATGTTCCAGCAGTGGAAGGAAAGTGAAAAATTTGGACATTGACAACAAACTTATGACTTGGCTAACAGACTGGCGAGAGAAGGGAGTCCGTGTAACTGGAAAAGCACTCAGGGCTGAGGCATTAACTGAACGGATGTCAGTCTTTTAAAGCTTCTAGCGGATGGTTTTGCTCTTTCAAACGGAGACATCAAATTTATATGAAACGGACTACCCATGTAGCCCAGAAAAGTGTTTCTGCAAACGACGATCAGGTGGATTATTTTTTCCGATTCATTACTCGCATGAGGAGACTGCGTAATTATGAACATCGAAATATCGGTAATATGGATGAAACGCCGATTTGGATGGAGATGCCTGGGAAATCAACCCTTGAACCAATAGGAAATAAACTGTGAGGGTTATGTCTACTGGACATGAGAAAGAGAGGATAACCGTGATTTTATCAGCGCTGGCAGAGGGAACAAAGTTGGCCCCATTCGTTTTATTACTGGGTGTTAGACCACTGCCTAAAACAGACCTGCCTTCCGGGATTGTTGTTCACATGTGTGATTCTGGGAAAAAGTTTTGGACAGATGAAAAAATAATTCAAATATGGCTAAAAACCGTATGGGGAAGGAGCAGTACCGAAAAAAAAGACTTATCGTATGGGACACATTTAGAGGTCATATGACAGAGAATGTCCAGGATGTAACTAGGATAACGTGTAACACGGACATTGCCTATATACCAGGTGGGTGTACCAGCAATAACAACCAGCTGATGTATCCTGGAACAGGCCTTTTAAAGCTGTAAATATGATGAGTGGCTTTTTGAAGATGAAGTCAGTCTGACGTGTCACGGAAATCGTTATCCCCCCGAAAAAAAACTGATTCTGAAATGGATGAAGGAGTCCTGGAGCAGCACTACCGCGGATATTTTTCGGAAATTGTTCATTGTCTGTGGCATTAGCAATGCCATGGATGGTTCGGAAGACGACCTGCTGTTCACCTTTGACTCCGAATCTGATGATGGTGGATCCGATAGTGATTTTTAGGGATTTACCAACAAAGATTTGGAAATAGCACAGGCTGTGAATGACAACAAAACAGTTGACGTCGAAAACTTCGAACTTGAAAGCGAGTCAGAAAGTGACTCTGACATGGATGAGAAAGATTATTACCATAGTGATAGTCCTGGTCATTGATCATTCAGACCTACCTGTATATTCCGATGTGTGTTGACAGATAGTCCTGGCCATTGATCATTCAGACGTATCAGTATATTCTGATGTGTGTTGACTGATAGTCCTGGCCATTGATCATTCAGACCTATCGGTATATTCTGATGTGTGTCGGCTGATAGTCCTGGCCATCGACCATTCAGACGTATCAGTATATTCTGATGTGTGTTGACTGATAGTCCTGGCCATCGACCATTCAGACGTATCAGTATATTCTGATGTGTGTCGGCTGATAGTCCTGGCCATCGACCATTCAGACGTATCAGTATATTCTGATGTGTGTCGGCTGATAGTCCTGGCCATCGACCATTCAGACATATCAGTATATTCTGATGTGTGTTGACTGATAGTCCTGGTCATTGATCATTCAGACGTATCAGTATATTCTGATGTGTGTCGGCTGATAGTCCTGGCCATTGATCATTCAGACGTATCGGTATATTCTGATGTGTTTCGGCTGATAATCCTGGCCATTGTTCATTCAGACCTATCGGTATATTCTGATGTGTGTCGGCTGATAGTCCTGGCCATTGATCATTCAGACCTACCGGTATATTCCAATGTGTGGTGACTGATAGTCCTGGCCATTGATCATTCAGACCTACCGGTATATTCCAATGTATGGTGACTGATAGTCCTGGCCATTGATCATTCAGACATATCGGTATATTCTGATGTGTGTTGACTTATAGTCCTGGCCATTGATCATTCAGACCTATCGGTATATTCTGATGTGTGTCGGCTGATAGTCCTGGCCATCGACCATTCAGACGTATCGGTATATTCTGATGTGTGGTGACTGATAGTCCTGGCCATCGATCATTCAGACCTACCGGTATATTCCAATGTATGGTGACTGATAGTCCTGGCCATTGATCATTCAGACGTATCGGTATATTCTGATGTGTGTTGACTTATAGTCCTGGCCATTGATCATTCAGACCTACCGGTATATTCTGATGTGTGGTGACTGATAGTCCTGGCCATCGATCATTCAGACGTATCGGTATATTCTGATGTGTGGTGACTGATAGTCCTGGCCATCGATCATTCAGACGTATCGGTATATTCTGATGTGTGTTGACTTATAGTCCTGGCCATTGATCATTCAGACCTACCGGTATATTCCGATGTGTGTTGACTGATAGTCCTGGCCATCGATCATTCAGACCTACCGGTATATTCCAATGTGTGGTGACTGATAGTCCTGGCCATCGATCATTCAGACCTACCGGTATATTCCAATGTGTGGTGACTGATAGTCCTGGCCATCGATCATTCAGACGTATCGGTATATTCTTATGTGTGTTGACTTATAGTCCTGACCATCGATCATTCAGACCTACCGGTATATTCCGATGTGTGTTGACTGATAGTCCTGGCCATCGATCATTCAGACCTACCGGTATATTCCAATGTGTGGTGACTGATAGTCCTGGCCATCGATCATTCAGACGTATCGGTATATTCTGATGTGTGGTGACTGATAGTCCTGGCCATTGATCATTCAGACGTATCAGTATATTCTGATGTGTGTTGACTGATAGTCCTGACCATCGATCATTCAGACCTACCGGTATATTCCAATGTGTGGTGACTGATAGTCCTGGTCATTGATCATTCAGACCTACCGGTATATTCTGATGTGTGTTGACTGATAGTCCTGGTCATTGATCATTCAGACCTACCGGTATATTCAGATGTGTGTTGACTTTTTGGGATGAACAATAGAATGTTAGATTCTAGATCTAGTTCAGTGATACAGAACTTTAATGAAGAGTAATGTCACATTCACAAACAGTTTTAAATGTTTTTGGATATTAAAATGTTTTTCTAAAGGTAAGAAATTTATGTTATATTTATTCACTACCAAAGAAAGATTGCTAGGGTGTTCTTACTAGAGCAGGCACCCTTAAAAGGACAAATACTTGGTACTTTTGCACTGTATCTTTATTCATATGAGTGTTGAAATATCCCAGATGACCTGAAGAGTCCAAACATAGACAACTTCTGTATGTTTTAAGGAAGGGAAATGATGTAGCCATTTTGCTGATATTCAGTGACAAGCCTAAAACATAAAAGGGGGAAGGGGGGAGGGGAAGAGCCAACACTGGTGTAGTATGTAGGTATTTTGTTGTATGTTTGCCCTGACGAGCCGTAACTAGCAAAACTGGTCAGCAAGAATAAAAGTCTAAAATATACTTATCTTGTTAATCTGGTTCGTGTCAAGATCACTCTTCCATGATCCGTAAGCCTAGACCATGATACCAGGCAAAAAGGTTTCTGGCTCCTTGTACTAGCTCTGAGCCCCCTCTCTTTCCTCACTCAGAGGAGGGTCAGTCAGCAGTATAATAATATCCTCATCCTCACTTGCCTGGGATCTCTCTACCGTATTTGATCAAAACCACACAAGTGATTTCTTAGAAATGAAATCGGATTGCTCAGAATTACCCACACTTGGTATTTCCCCCCAAGGTGTAGAACTTTCCAGTTGTTTGGTTGAGGATCCAGACCTGCTAAAATTGATTAAAGCTAGACCTCCAGGTTCCTATATAGGCCAATAGTTTGTTCTAATTATGATGTAAAGTATTCAGTTTTCTTTACTCCATGAGGATATCAAGACTAGATAATGTGTAACAATCTATAACTGTTTAACTTTGTAGGACAAATTTTCCACTGTTGTCAGAGTTGGAGCTAGTTCACAGGATTAAATTTTGTATAATGTTATCTGAAGCAGTATACAAGGTATTCATATCTATATATATATTTATATCAATGTTTACAAGCATAATATTTTCTCATTTTCACAAATTTAATCTCGTAAATATTCCCAACAATACAGCGATGGGGATATGTAAGTATTATTTTACAGTGCTTGAATGTACATGTTAAAATGTCAGCTATTCATTTGGTGAAAATATTTTTTTTTTTTTCAGGGAGACCCAGGTGAGGTTGGACCTATTGGAGCCCCAGGAGAGATGGTTAGTAGATACAAACCTAAACAAAAATGTGATGTATTGTTCAGAGGATTTTGTGATGTTAGCTTTACATAAAATCATGTTAAGAATAAATTGTGAATTATTATTGCAAAATTGTACGCTTTCATTGGGCTCAAATTTTGTAATTTTACTAAATTACATAGGCTCTCTCATGAAATCCACCAGTTTTATATTCCATGTCAATATTTATCTGTATTTCATTTTGTTAACATATGAATTTGTGGATTAAACACCAAATCAATGAAACAAACCCTCATTAATCATTTTACAGTTATATGTAGTAACTCAAAAGTAACAATGACTGTAAGCCTTATCATTTTATTGATAACTTTTTGATTCAGAAAACAAAGAGATTTTATTCAATAAACTTCAGCATTGAAATAAGTCATTAGTAAAGTATTAATATATGATATTTCCTCAGGGACCACGTGGATTCCTTGGACCTAGAGGCAGGCCAGGAAGCATTGGACCACCCGTGAGTAACACAAACACTATTCATCCTCCTGTCCTAGATTTCTGTGTGTCCTAGATTTCTGTATGTCACATGACATCATTTATCCCCCATCCTAGGTATCAGTGTGTCGCATGACATCATTTATCCTCCTGTCCTAGATTTCTCTGTGTCACATGACATCATATGTCCCCCATCCTAGGTTTCAGTGTGTTACATGACATTATATGTCCCCCATCCTAGATTTCAGGGTGTCTCATGATGTCATAAACTCCCCTGTTTTAAATGCTAATAATTTGCACAGAGGAAAACTGCCATAAAACATCTAAAAGCTATTTTTAAAATACGTCAATAAAAAAAATGTGCACAGAACTCAACAGTTCTTAGATTGATATCGGTGAGAAAACATGGTGTATGTCATTATTCAATGAAGAAGTGATGTTTGAAATTCCTACTTTTCTTAGGGAATTCCAGGAACTGAGGGACCACCAGGACCCAAAGGAAACCAGGTATGGTCAACAAGATTTCTAATACAATTTAGAATTTTTCTATTATATTTTGCTCAGATGTATCACAGACTGAATATTGTTTGCTATGATGATAAAGAGATAGTTAAAAGACTTAAAGTTCTTTATTCACTGGTATATTTTCAGTACACTATTCACTATCTGCATTAATGCACCAATTAAGTTCTTAACTTTGTAAATTTGTTGCTATGCTTTACCATAAGTTTACTCTTAATCACAATATTCTCATATTATCATAAGCTTAACTGATTAATTAATATGATGAATTTTTAATATTGTAAAAACATGATAATTGTAGATGTTTGTATGATGAATGTTTCTGGTAATTGCTTCACACTGAACATTTTAAATTTTAGGGAGGAAATGGCGCCCCAGGAGCCCCCGGACAATCTGGTGCACCAGGACCAACTGTATGTTGTTATTGGTCATTTAAATGTTTTACTTATAAGGGCTATTCTAATAACACATCTCAGTCCTAAGGGCTATTCTAACAACATATCTCAGTCCTAAAGGCTATTCCAACATCACATCTCAGTCCTTAGGGCTATTCTAACAACATATCTCAGTCCTTAGGGCTATTCTAACAACATATCTCAGTCCTTAGGGCTATTCCAACATCACATCTCAGTCCTTAGGGCTATTCTAACAACATATCTCAGTACTTAGAGCTATTCTAACAACATATCTCAGTCCTTAGGGCTATTCCAACAACATATCTCAGTCCTTAGGGCTATTCTAACAACACATCTCAGTCCTAAGGGCTATTCTAACAACATATCTCAGTCCTTAGGGCTATTCTAACAACATATCTCAGTCCTAAGGGCTATTCTAACAACATATCGCAGTCCTTAGGGCTATTCTAACAACACATCTCAGTCCTTAGGGCTATTCTAACAACACATCTCAGTCCTAAGGGCTATTCTAACAACATATCTCAGTCCTTAGGGCTATTCTAACAACACATCTCAGTCCTTAGGGCTATTCTAACAACATATCTCAGTCCTTAGAGCTATTCTAACAACACATCTCAGTCCTAAGGGCTATTCTAACAACATATCTCAGTCCTTAGGGCTATTCTAACAACATATCTCAGTCCTAAGGGCTATTCTAACAACATATCTCAGTCCTTAGGGCTATTCTAACAACACATCTCAGTCCTTAGGGCTATTCTAACAACACATCTCAGTCCTAAGGGCTATTCTAACAACATATCTCAGTCCTTAGGGCTATTCTAACAACACATCTCAGTCCTTAGGGCTATTCTAACAACATATCTCAGTCCTAAGGGCTATTCCAACATCACATCTCAGTCCTTAGAGCTATTCCAACAACATATCTCAGTCCTTAGAGCTATTCTAACAACATATCTCAGTCCTAAGGGCTATTCCAACATCACATCTCAGTCCTTAGAGCTATTTGAACAACATATCTCAGTCCTTAGGGCTATTCCAACAACACATCTCAGTCCTTAGAGCTATTCCAACAACACATCTCAGTCCTTAGAGCTATTCTAACAACATATCTCAGTCCTTAGGGCTATTCCAACATCACATCTCAGTCCTTAGAGCTATTCTAACAACATATCTCAGTCCTAAGGGCTATTCTAACAACATATCTCAGTCCTAAGGGCTATTCTAACAACACATCTCAGTCCTTAGAGCTATTCTAACAACACATCTCAGTCCTAAGGGCTATTCCAACAACATATCTTATTTCTAAGTCCTACTCCAGGTTTTATCCAGAGCTGCCTACCCTAGACTTTATTTGATTCATCATGCATTGATATTATGGGCAAGAAATTACACCCAATTATATATAGTAATGAATGTTCTGAAGTCAGTTGGAATGTTTTTTACTGAAATAGTCCTAATTCTATTAATGAGAGGGATAGTTTTAAATTGATTCATAATTAACATTGTTGATTATTTCTACTACTAAGGATTGCTGTAAATTTCCCTCGTATCTATGTCCTGTGCTATTCAGTTTCTGTTATTCAGTTGTCTTTCAGTATTGTTACTATGTAATTATTTGTGCAATTCAGTTAGTTACAGCAAATCTGTTATGTTTGGTGAGAATTTCTTTGATGTCTACACTCAGATGTCTTCATCTCCATTAAAGAAATTTGCTGAATTTTCTATGAGTTTAAATTTGTGTACTTGTTGTCGCTGTTTTTTCTCTCCCAGTGATATATTGTGACTTGTTTGAAATTTTGTCCATGTTAGGGACCACCAGGACCCCCTGGTGCTATTGGCCCCCAGGGAATTCCAGGTCCACAGGGAAAGGCAGGTCTACCAGGCATGCCAGGACCCATTGGAACACCAGTGAGTGGAAGATTGATCAAGCTTTGACTCTTAATAGTCTTCTGACAATTAAATTGAGCCTTCAGTACCAAGGATTTGGTCTTCTTTGAGTGAATTCGAGTATATTGAAATTTACAATTAGAAGGCAAGATTGTTTATAGCAAGTGTTAAATTTTAAACATGTCTCTTTTTTTTTTCTTTTTTTTTTTTTTTTTTTGACGAGTAAAGATTTAAAATCATTCAGATGATCATGTACATTGATTACTGTAAAATAATGGGAGGGAGAAGATTTAAAAGAACTGAATGTTTTGTAATGAGAAATGATTGTTTTGACAGGGTGTTCCAGGACATCCAGGAGATGTGGGAGGAAAAGGAGACACTGTAAGTACATACAAAATCATAGACCTCCATCCTTGGAGGATGTGTCTTATTGGACTGGTACATGTATCTTGGACTTAAAATTTCATTTGACAGAAAATTTGAAAAATTATGAACCTGTAGTCTACGATGGATTGAAATCTTTGTCAAGACAACTTCTCCATTGTCAGTTCTAGTACATCAGGTAAGCTTGCCCTGATGTCATCCTGCCTATAATGCTAGACCAGCTGTTATCAAAAAAGTACAATTTAATACAACAGAATCATGCTTCAGGATTTGCTTCAATTCTTTTCAATCTATTTATTCATTAAGAGTGTTCTGCATACCACTAGATATCTTGATGGATAATGACTTAGAGAACTTAGTGGAGGTTGGTGTTTGGAGATTTTTCTGCATTATAACCATAATAATGTATTCATGTTATATACACTTACTTTCAGGGTCCACAAGGTATGCAAGGTATTGTGGGCTACCCAGGAGTCCGAGGACTGAAGGTAAGACCGACCTATTCTATCAGAAGAAGAAATGCTTTCTGTAAAAATCAGGAAACCACATATTGTGTATGGACTTAAATTACATTTAGTATTTCGTATGTAAACCTTATTTAGTGTTATATATGTAGTACGTGTGATATTGACAAACTTATTTGATATTGATTTTATATTTTATTGACAGGGTGATATGGGACCAACAGGAGCTGTAGGAGAGAAAGGAGTGAAGGTAGACCATTATTTCAGAAGGGAGCAGTTCTGTTAGTGATGAAAACATCTAAGATATATTGCACAGTTATCAACATTTGTTTTTTGGTGTTGATGTGATATTTTATCCTCTAACAAAGAAATCTCTAACTATCAAACAATATCATTCTGTAGTTAAGTCATTATTTGTTAGATTGTATGTGGTTCATTATCAAAGTGTATTACGATGGAGAAATTGTGTGTGATCACCTGTTACATGTGTAAATATTTATATTGTGAATGTAATATTGCTCTGATGTACTTATGTAAACAGATGAATGTTTTGATTTCTTAGGGATTCCATGGACTGCAGGGAATTAAAGGAAGCGTTGGTAATAAGGGAGATCGTGGGTACAAAGGACTGATGGGACCCATGGGCATTGAGGGCATCCCAGGTCCTAAGGCAAGTATATAGAAGTTTCTTGGTCTAAATATTGAAGGTCCAGATTTAATGAGCATTGAGATCACCCTTGCTCCTGATGCATGTATATTAAGTAGTTTCTTAGGCAATTGATAAAACAGAGTTCTGAACCATGAAAAATCACTTTTGAACATGAAATTATTATGGTAAATGCTTTAGAAATATTTTTGGTGTATATTCCCCGCCCCTTCCCCTTTCCTTAAACACCACCCCCCAATCACCCCCAACCTCCTCCACCACAGTTTATAATGTATAAACTTCCAGTTTGTGCTCTCTATGTAAATCAGTGCAACAAGGACTTACTTGACTTGACTATAAATTTGCATTTGAATAGGGTAATTCTGGAGTTATTGGAAACACTGGCCCACAAGGAACAGCAGGGGAGAAGGTAAAACATGAGGAATATTTGGTTGTTGTCTATAAGACATGAATGGTTGGATTTGTAATGGTTTTTTTCTTTCATATATGAATAGAATTTAAGATGGTTTGAAAAGTTTCCAAATAAATGTTGAAATGACTGTATAAAGCAATGTATATTTTATATTTTGATGGAGTTTGAATTATGACTATGTTCCCATGTCTTTATTTTCTTGGGTTTTTTTTTTTATAGTCTTGTTTTGTTTATTTCATTTGCTATTGTAAATGTATTTGTAGTAATTTCTTTTTTTCTTGTCTCTGATAGGGCCAGATTGGTATGCCCGGTATGCCAGGATTTCCTGGACCACAAGGTCCTAAGGTCAGTTTAGTGATTATCATGGCTTTGTGAAAGGTGTTCGGATTTCCTCTATATATGACAATTTTATACTGTCACCAAATCTCAGGTTAACACATATTATACTTACTTGTGTGAATGATATCAACTTTAAGTTCCTGATATGTAATGCCTCAGAGTCATATAATATATTGAACAGCCTAAAAAGTTTGATGCCATTTGAGCATCCATAGCTGTGAAATGTCCAAAAGGAGGATAGGGAAATGTTACTGGGTTAGTTATCATAGAACATAAAGAGTTAATACCACTGTACCGTTAGGTAATATTTACTCATCGTAGATGGTACCTAGCTTTAAACACAGTTTATATCAGATTTTTTTGTTTTTTGTCCATGGTCCCAAAATTAATTCAAACATTATGAAACAAAAAATGAATCATTTTGCTATGACAGGGTGAACCTGGCAGGCCAGGACGCCGTGGACGAAGAGGAGTTAGAGGCAAAGTGGTAAGTTAGATGACTTTCTCTTCTCTTCTCTTCAAATAGAACTGGAATCAATGGCTAACATCTTAATTGTTAGTTTTTTCATAATTTGGCAAAAACTGTTTTATTAATTGATAATAGTTCTCTTTTTGATTTGAAAGTTAACACCCTCATTCTGTAGCTTAAAAAAAATTAATTTGTTAAAACATGTCTTTGAATATGTGATGATATTTTAATTGTTTGTCTTTTAGGGATTACATGGACAATCTGGTGACCGTGGAGAGAGAGGAATGAGAGTAAGTATTCACATGCACATATATTACAGAGCCAGGCAGTCTTCTATAGCAATGTTCCTCTGATGTCATCCTTTGGTATCAGATGATACAATCAGTGCTGTAATACTTGCACAACTGATTTGTGAGGATGGTTTGCTAGAAATACTTAAATTGTCCAAATTTTACCAGCATCATGATTTTAAATCATAGTACAAGGAGAAATTAAGTATCAACCACACATCATTTTCTACATAACTTTTCTTTCCTTTATAGGGACCACCTGGTGAGAGAGGAAAGGAGGGAACAATTGGGCCTATTGGACCCAAGGGAGAGAGTGGTCCACCAGGGCCACCAGGTTTCCAGGGAGAGCAGGGACTTCAGGGAGCTCCAGGAGGAGTGGGATTGATGGGCCCCATGGGACCTCCAGTAAATATTCTGTTTCTTGTAACAGAACTCTGATTTATTATCTCCATTTTTGAACTCATAATTGAAATGCATTCTGTTATTTTTGTAAGAATCTAAGAAAAAACAAACATTGTGAAAAGAATATTAAAAGTATATACAGTGGAATTTCTCCAAACTGGTTATACATTGGGCATGAACATTTGGTAGGTTTATGGAGGATTCTGTTTGCAGAAGGGGAAAGTTTTGACTGGTCTGAACCCAATTATATTCAATATACTGCATTGCTATCAATTTATCCATACCTAACATTCCCTTTGAACATTTATACTGTACATATCCAAGTTACTGAATGCAGAAAAAAGTTTATGAATAAAAGAATTTTGAGAAAGTGGAGAAAAAACCAGTTAATCTGATGTGATTTTTACATATGTACATGTGCCCAGCCATGTGTGCTAGTTGTCTTTCTATCTAGAATTTATTCAATAGCCTGATGCTTCGTTGATTAGTACATCAAAATTATCTTATAAGACAAGATTAACATTCTTATTTCATATAACTAATGATGATATATTTCATAACTCATGCAAGTAAGATGTGAAACTAGGATTTTCTGTCTCTGTATGACACCTAAGTAGCCTACTTTTCACAATGTCCATAGCGCTTTCTGGTTTCGGGAAACAATAACTTCATTCTGTATGGTTTCATCTTGTCCGATTACAATTGAACATCATAGATTATGATTCTCCAGACTGGGGTAAGGATTGTATAGAAAGCCTGCCAGCAACATTAATGCTCATGGTTTGATATTTGGAGCTCTGGTCCTAAAATCTTGACTTTCAGAAATAATTTTTAGTATATTTTAATCATTTTGGACATAAAATCAAATCGATATTTGGAATTTAGAGGGATCAATTATAGGAAAACAATAAAGCGGACATCATTCCCGACATTGATGTTTTGTTTGGTTTTAAGAGATGATCGGTTTGGGGAAATTGCACTGTACAGTGTATAAGGTAAACAGTTTTATGTAATATTCGTATTGCATTAAATGTTGTATAGGCAATTTAAAAAATAAATTTTCTTTTTCTGTAGGGTCTACCAGGAAAGGATGGCCTCTCAGGATTACCAGGAGAGCGAGGAGAGACTGTAAGTAAAAAACTGTTAGGTAAAGTCATTTGTCCAATGACTTTTAATTGAAGAAGTATTGAGATTTCATTTCTGAATGGTATTAAAGGAGATTCCAGTTTTTTATCACAAATTTATTTCTTACACAGGGAATAATGATTTTTTTCCATTTATGCCTGAATTTGTTGTTCCGCATGACATGTTCCTTTATTGAAAGTTTTAACTTTATGGTAAATCGTGCCTTTCCAGGGACTGCCAGGAATTCCAGGCCAGCCAGGGCAGATGGGAGTTATGGGACCAATGGTATGTACCACGGAGTCTTTCCTCAGTCTATCCTCATGTCAGATTATATTACAATACTTAATTACATTTCATTGAAATATGCAAATACAGGAACTTTAGCTGGACATTGCATATTAATGATGGATGTTTTCACAATGAGCTACAAACATAAGAGACAATGATTATTGTCCATGTTTTAATTTGTTTTCCTTCAATCACAAAATCTGTGATAATAAATTCCATGTGAAAGACAGTTAACAGTATATTTGTTTTGTATAGATTGCTTTCATTGCAGTGTTATGATTACAAGCATATTCAAGTCCAGTCACCTGGTACAGAAAATCATGTATAAATATTGCATTTGTTTGAATATTTTCTGTGTGCAGGGCCACTCTGGAGAGGCAGGTGCACAAGGAGATACTGGACAACCAGGAAACCCAGTAAGTAAATCAACACCATGATTAGTGTTACTGAGGTTAGAACCAGTAATGTGGCTGCAGCAGCATTTCTTCCTACACTAAATCATGACTGGATATACAGGCATTTTATTGTTGACAAGCTACACAAAATCGGAAATGCTTACTGTTTCAGAAGTCTTATAATAGATATTAAGCAATGGCCATTGTTTTTTAATACTAGTTACCGGGATAAGAAAGACAAGGATACCTTCTAATGCAAAGATCTCTTCTGAAATGTTGTTACAAATCAATTTGAGGGAAGAATTTATCTAAGCCAGCTTTGGATAAAGTAGGTTAGGTGCTGTTTGAAAGGTTTAATGTGTAAAATACTTCTCTTTTCTGAATCTAATCAATATAACCTAAACAAACTGAAACTCTGTTTACTGTAAAATTGTTTATTTTATTTTCGTTCATTTCATGGACATTCTTAATCGACAAATTTCAATGTTGAAATTAGTATATTAACAGATTTATTGAGCTTTATCCACACAATTAATTGTCCTTGAAAAAGCAATTTTGTGAAAAACAAAAAATTGAGCCATAAGAAAGTATATAATTTTACAGTGAGTGAATAAATTATTCACAGTACAGTACAAGTATAACTGAGTAATACGCATCATAACTTATGTTGTGATCCGGTATATCAAAATTATTGTTTGTCCAACAAACATTTGTTTGTTAAGATCCAGTACCAATATTGAACCATACCGTTGATATTACTTACTAGATTCTGTATATAGAAGATCCAGTACCAATATTGGACCATACCGTCGATGTTACTTACTAGAGTCTGTATATAGAAGATCCAGTACCAATATTGGACCATACCGTCAATGTTACTTACTAGATTCTATATATAGAAGATCCAGTACCAATATTGGACCATACCGTCAATGTTACTTACTAGATTCTATATCAGAAGATCCAGTACCAATATTGGACCATACCGTTGATATTACTTACTAGATTCTATCTCTCACATCGAGAAATATGCATCATAACTTATGTTGTGATCCGGTATATCAAAATTATTGTTTGTCTTTGCCTGTATTGTCCCGACAATAGAAGAAAACTACAAAAGGTAGCATATATAATAGATTAATTGGGTATAGCGTCCTCCATGTCCATCTATCCTGTGATATACCAGCAGATGATACGTGTAATATATCTGAAGTTACATGTATGATGTCTGATATTATCTGATATTCCACTAATGACACCTGATACTAATGGCAACCTTCTGTATGAAATAGTTCTCAAACTTGTACAGGTCATAATTCCGACTGAAATTTGTCATTCTGTTTGTTCTTAATTTTACTTCAGCTGATATGCCAGTTAAACCAACCAACATGGATACAATGTTTTGTGATTTGTTTTACAGGGTGTACCAGGAGATGTTGGTTTGCCTGGACCAGCTGGAGAAAGGGGCATTCCAGTAAGTTATTGGATGAAGGTTTTCACTCCCATATAACATAAAATCAGTATATTTGCATACCTATGTGATTTACACAGGTAGATTTTGAAAATACTTCTCCCAAGCTTTTACACCTGAAAAGTAACAGTAAGTCCTGAAAATCAATCTCTTATTAACATAACTGTCAGTATTAGACAGGTATCAATTGTTTCAAACATAACTTTTAACTGTTCTAACTTGAATACATACAAAATAGTATACACTGTAGCCCTGTTTTTAGGGACTTCCTGGCCCAGCCGGCAATGATGGTGTGATGGGACCACCAGGACCCATCGGATTTAATGGAGAGAGAGGATTCCCAGGCCCTCAGGTAAGCAAAAAAATCAACAGCTGATGCTGCTTCAGTTTTTTTAAAAAAGAATTGGCATAAAAACTTTATTAAAGATCAAATGTATGAAGAAGTAAATTATCAAATCACTAGGCTTAAGATGTAAAGTTTTGTACCATCTGTCACTATATGTTATATATCATAAAATTAATGTTTCAACATTTAACACGAGGAATTTGATCACTCAGTCGGCAGAAATCTAGACAACTCAAACTCAGATAAAGATCCAAAGTGTGTAGCTTTAATCCCTACTTGTGACAGAAGTGTGCTTGTCAGAAAGCGAGATCATGACTGTGCTGTCATGGTTGTGTTCTCAGACAAGACAGTGTACGGTACCCTAATTCCTCAGACAAGACAGTTTACAATACCCTAATTCCTCAGACAAGACAGTTTACAATACCCTAATTCCTCAGACAAGACAGTTTACAATACCCTAATTCCTCAGACAAGACAGTTTACAATACCCTAATTCCTCAGACAAGACAGTTTACAATACCCTAATTCCTCAGACAAGACAGTTTACGGTACCCTAATTCCTCAGACAAGACAGTTTACGGTACCCTAATTCCTCAGACAAGACAGTTTACAATACCCTAATTCCTCAGACAAGACAGTTTACAATACCCTAATTCCTCAGACAAGACAGTTTACAATACCCTAATTCCTCAGACAAGACAGTTTACAATACCCTAATTCCTCAGACAAGACAGTTTACAATACCCTAATTCCTCAGACAAGACAGTTTACAATACCCTAATTCCTCAGACAAGACAGTTTACAATACCCTAATTCCTCAGACAAGACAGTTTACAATACCCTAATTCCTCAGACAAGACAGTTTACGATACCCTAATTCCTCAGACAAGACAGTTTACGATACCCTAATTCCTCAGACAAGACAGTTTACAATACCCTAATTCCTCAGACAAGACAGTTTACGATACCCTAATTCCTCAGACAAGACAGTTTACAATACCCTAATTCCTCAGACAAGACAGTTTACAATACCCTAATTCCTCAGACAAGACAGTTTACGATACCCTAATTCCTCAGACAAGACAGTTTACGGTACCCTAATTCCTCAGACAAGACAGTTTACAATACCCTAATTCCTCAGACAAGACAGTTTACAATACCCTAATTCCTCAGACAAGACAGTTTACAATACCCTAATTCCTCAGACAAGACAGTTTACGATAACCTAATTCCTCAGACAAGACAGTTTACGGTACCCTAATTCCTCAGACAAGACAGTTTACAATACCCTAATTCCTCAGACAAGACAGTTTACAATACCCTAATTCCTCAGACAAGACAGTTTACGGTACCCTAATTCCTCAGACAAGACAGTTTACAATACCCTAATTCCTCAGACAAGACAGTTTACAATACCCTTATTCCTCAGACAAGACAGTTTACGGTACCGTAATTCCTCAGACAAGACAGTGTACGGTACCCTTATTCCTCAGACAAGACAGTTTACGGTACCCTTATTCCTCAGACAAGACAGTTTACGGTACCCTAATTCCTCAGACAAGACAGTTTACGGTACCCTAATTCCTCAGACAAGACAGTTTACGGTACCCTAATTCCTCAGACAAGACAGTTTACGGTACCCTAATTCCTCAGACAAGACAGTTTACGGTACCCTTATTCCTCAGACAAGACAGTTTACGGTACCCTAATTCCTCAGACAAGACAGTGTACGGTACCCTTATTCCTCAGACAAGACAGTTTACGGTACCCTAATTCCTCAGACAAGACAGTGTACGGTACCCTTATTCCTCAGACAAGACAGTTTACGATACCCTAATTCCTCAGACAAGACAGTTTACGGTACCCTAATTCCTCAGACAAGACAGTTTACGGTACCCTAATTCCTCAGACAAGACAGTTTACGATACCCTAATTCCTCAGACAAGACAGTTTACGATACCCTAATTCCTCAGACAAGACAGTTTACGGTACCCTAATTCCTCAGACAAGACAGTTTACGATACCCTAATTCCTCAGACAAGACAGTTTACGGTACCCTAATTCCTCAGACAAGACAGTTTACGGTACCCTAATTCCTCAGACAAGACAGTTTACGGTACCCTAATTCCTCAGACAAGACAGTTTACGGTACCCTAATTCCTCAGACAAGACAGTTTACGATACCCTAATTCCTCAGACAAGACAGTTTACGGTACCCTAATTCCTCAGACAAGACAGTTCACGGTACCCTAATTCCTCAGTAGGACAGTTTACGATACCCTGATTCCTCAGTAGGAGATGTGATGGGCCTCCAATATTGAGGTAGCTATTTCCAGAAGGCTCTGCCTTACAACAGTTCTGGCTGTGAACAGAGCAATAAACACTACAGACAGTGATTTAGACTATTTATTGTAGTCCACAATTTCACTATTGATATTATGTATTGGTCAGCTATTACTGTGTTTGACATCTTTAAATTATGGCTGTTTTTGTATAGGGTAAAGATGGCCTTAGAGGGGAGCCTGGAATGGACGGACAGCCAGGACCACTGGTAAATATTTTGCCTTTATTTTTTCTTTTTTGTTTTCAATGAAGTTCAAACAACAACTTTTACATGTAATACAGATTTTGACTGATACAGTTACATATCCTATCATATTATAGTATTTAAAATCTACCATAAATGTTTAAAATACAATACAAATTTAAAGCACCAGTCGATTATCAAAAGAGATGAAAAATATAATTATTATCCTGTCACATCTTTAGTCATTTCTTGGTGATGACACTTTACAAAGAGATAATCACTGTAATGTAAAATTTTACGTTGTAAGAACAATTATAAATATTGATAAGCTGATTAGATCTGAAACATAACTTCTGTCCATTATAGGGTATGAAGGGAGATGTTGGCGAGCCTGGTAATTCTGGAGCACAGGGTGTTTCAGTAAGTATTGAATCAATCATGAATTAAACGATTTTTTTCATTATTAAAAAATATTGTACACAAAATGTAGTGTTATGGAATTTTCTGATAAAATGTTCCTGTTATATTAGAAACTTATAAATGGTCAAAAGAAATAAACTATGGAAAGTTATTATTTTTCATTAAATTGAATATTAAATAGAATTATGGATTTTTAATGATCATGTTTTTGTATTCATATGCCGTATTGTCTGACTTCAGGGCCCCCCAGGACCCACTGGTCCAGAAGGCTTTAGAGGACAGAAAGGAGACACAGTAAGTAAATCTTTAAGATCCAGAAACCATTGTATTCTAGTGACAAAAAATATTACATGAAAAGTTGGAGAAAATATGATGTTCATCTTCAACTTCATAACCTGAATCACTGACCATGTCGGGTCTCCATTTCATGAATGTAAAAAAGAATGTGTGTTACTTTGTCATTGTAAACAAATGATGTCTTATTGCATCAATATAAACACCTACATCCCATCATTGCTTCAATGTAAACACCTACATATCCTTACTGCATCAATGTAACACCTACATATTCTTACTGCATCAATGTAAACACCTACATCTCCTTACTGCATCAATGTAAACACCTACATCTCCTTACTGCATCAATGTTAACACCTACATTTCTTTACTACATCAATGTAAACACCTTCATCTCCTTACTGCATCAATGTAAACACCTACATCTCCTTACTGCATCAATGTAAACACCTACATCTCCTTACTGCATTAATGTAAACACCTACATCTCCTTACTGCATCAATGTAAACACCTACATCTCCTTACTGCATCAATGTAAACACCTACATCTCCTTACTACATCAATGTAAACACCTTCATCTCCTTACTGCATCAATGTAAACACCTACATCTCCTTACTGCATCAATGTAAACATACATCTCTTTACTACATCAATAAACACCTACATCTCTTTACTACATCAATGTAAACACCTTCATCTCCTTACTGCATCAATGTAAACACCTACATCTCCTTACTGCATCAATGTAAACACCTACATCTCCTTACTGCATCAATGTAAACACCTACATCTCTTTACTACATCAATGTAAACACCTACATACTGTATAAAAAAAAGGGTATGAATGAAAAAATTAGTGAATTTTTGTGTAGCATGTTTCCCCCTTGTAAGATAAGTTCCAAGAAATATCAAGATTATGAAGTCACATCTTTCTCTTTGAGAAATAAAAAATTGTTATCTTTATGGTGAGAATATGTAGTATATAACATAATTATGACATTCATATATAGAAAGGACCCATTGAGAACACCCGTCCTTACATAACATCAACACAATAACTAGTCATGTACATTTGTTTGGTGTGTAATCAACTGCTGAATATAGATCACTTTTGCGAGAGATTTTGTCTTTATTTTTTCAAAAACAAAAAGTCAGTATTCATGTAACATATATTGTATTAAAATTCAAAATAACATTAAGGTCTCACTCATTTTAGAAATGATGTACTTACTGTTTGTTAAGAAGAAATGTCAATTTTTTCCTTGTCTTTGTAGGGTCTGGAGGGACCAAGTGGGCTTCCAGGCAACATGGGACAACAGGGACCAAGGGTTTGTTTCATATTTCAATCTTATTTTAAGATTTTTTGAAACAGAGTGATTACATGGTATAAGATTAAAATTTAGAAGTTTAAAAAGTATTGCACATTTAGTTTTCTGGTATTGTTTACTCTGTCTTCCATCTGAATGCTGATTGGTCGAAAAGATATGCTTACATAAAATGAATGTTCTGCTGCTCATCTGAGCTCCTATATAAAATTAATCTTACCAGTACATCATTAACAAAAGAATGAAAAAACTAAATGTTGTTCCTTTTTATAAACAAATAAAACTTTGCTTTTACAGGGTTATGATGGCCCACCAGGACCAGTTGGAGCTCCCGGAGAGGACGGAGATCAGGTTGGATGCAGTTCCATAATGATGGACTGTTTGCGTTTATCAGTTTGACCAATTAGGTCAGAGTTGTTGGTGAATGAAATAAGGATGGACCTACAGATTAATTTTGTTTCTGACAAGCTTTGACTAAGCCTTTCATGACCTGTTTAAGATATGTTATTAGTGGTGTGTAAGAAAGTTATGCCATGTTTTCTTTAAATGTTTCTGTTGTTTTCAGGGTGATTCCGGACCACCAGGGCCTAAAGGATCTAAGGGAGAATATGGAGCAATGGTAGGAAATAAATTACTGGGATACATAATTATCTGACACTTTAGATGGTTTGTAGGCTTTTTCTTTCTTTGCTCAGATGAACCCTAATGCTGCACCCCAGCATCATCAGTTGTTTAACACTTGTCATCCCTAACTGATGTCCACACCAATTAAGGGCATTAAGTTTGTTACACCATATTGATTTGTTTGTGGTTATCTAGTAAGTTTCTGTGTATATCTGATTACATATCTGTACATAGAGGTGATTTGTGATGTTGTATTATCATTTTAGGGACCACCTGGACCGTCTGGACTTATGGGAACCCAGGGACCAACTGGACCACCAGTAAGTAGGCATTTACATGTTATACACATATAAGAGTCCTTATGATCTAAAGAAATTTTGAATTTAAATACTTTGACAGTCTTTAATTAAACTTTTGTTTATTTGCGTAGTTTTATCCTCAAGATTACTTGTTTATATCACGACACTCCTTTTACAACACCAGGTTTCTGTTATCTACATCAATACGGTGGTGAGTTCTTTTACGCTAAAAGCTGTTATTTCATTCAGTGCTTTTTAATTGTAGGGTCCTCCAGGTGAGCCAGGCATTCAAGGAATCCAGGGACCAAGCGGCAATAAGGGATCTGAGGGTCCACGTGGCCTGCCAGGAGCCACTGGGCCTATTGGTTTGCAGGGACTTCCAGGAGTCATAGGCGTTAAGGGCGAGACAGGAGACCGTGGAGCATCTGCAAGTATCATTAAAAACAATCCACTGATATTTCTCAAATCCATCTTAATGTCTTCTTAAACTTTTTCATAATTTATTATTAAAATAAATCTATTGTCAAATAATCATGTTTTAGGCACCAGACTCAGGAATTTGAAGATAAAAGGTTTATATTTTTGAAAGTTGTAGTAAAATTTGAAAAAAAATATTTCTGAAGAAAATTAAAAATGATCCTATGTCAGATTGATGACTGTTTCTATGATAACTTTATGTGTGTAGGGAGGACCTGGAGCTCCAGGACCCCAGGGACCACCAGGGCCACCAGGCTCAACTGTAAGTACACCTGTATCAAAAAACTAGGAAACAAAGCTTGATATCAGCATATCATCATTATCCCTTTCATCTGCTCTGATCTGCTACAGATTGCCTGTAAAGTTTTATTTTCTAACATCATAATCATGTTATACCACATCAGATCTGAAAACACAACAAGGGTTCTTCTTTTATCAAGGCGTTTACTTTTTTGAAGTAGTTCATCAATCTCCAAGAATAGATTCAGTGACTCAGTTTATTGGACTTACTAATGCTGTTTGAGAAAGTGTGCTACATTGGCATTAAATTTTTTCATTTGGTGTGTAAAAACAAAAAAGATTTTTCATTGAAATTTAAAATTATTTTTTTACATTTCAACTGTTTAATATTATTTGGCTTTTGCATTAATGAAATCTTTATGTAGAGGGAAATCCATTGATACATTTTACAGGCACAACTCTGTATAGGTAGTGTAGAAATCTTTATGTAGAGGGAAATCCATTGATACATTTTACAGGCACAACTCTGTATAGGTAGTGTAGAAATCTTTATGTAGAGGGAAATCCATTGATACATTTTACAGGCACAACTCTGTATAGGTAGTGTAGAAATCTTTATGTAGAGGGAAATCCATTGATACATTTTACAGGCACAACTCTGTATAGGTAGTGTAGAAATCTTTATGTAGAGGGAAATCCATTGATACATTTTACAGGCACAACTCTGTATAGGTAGTGTAGAAATCTTTATGTAGAGGGAAATCCATTGATACATTGTACAACTCTGTATAGGTAGTGTAGAAATCTTTATGTAGAGGGAAATCCATTGATACATTTTACAACTCTGTATAGGTAGTGTAGAAATCTTTATGTAGAGGGAAATCCATTGATACATTTTACAGGCACAACTCTGTATAGGTAGTGTAGAAATCTTTATGTAGAGGGAAATCCATTGATACATTTTACAGGCACAACTCTGTATAGGTAGTGTAGAAATCTTTATGTAGAGGGAAATCCATTGATACATTGTACAACTCTGTATAGGTAGTGTAGAAATCTTTATGTAGAGGGAAATCCATTGATACATTGTACAACTCTGTATAGGTAGTGTAGAAATCTTTATGTAGAGGGAAATCCATTGATACATTTTACAGGCACAACTCTGTATAGGTAGTGTAGAAATCTTTATGTAGAGGGAAATCCATTGATACATTTTACAGGCACAACTCTGTATAGGTAGTGTAGAAATCTTTATGTAGAGGGAAATCCATTGATACATTTTACAGGCACAACTCTGTATAGGTAGCATAGAAATCTTCAGAGCTGAACAACATACATCATATATCTATCTAGGAATGTTTCTTCCTGTATTTGATATTTTCTCAGTGTGTAGAGAGTTTTGTCATTTATGATAGACTTTTGTATTTATTGTGGTTCAGTTGAGACAAACTTTCATATTTTAAGTGGCTCATTTGAGACCATCCTTGATACTCCAGGGGTTATGATCATTTTCACTTTCTGCACCCTGGAGCATGTCATGTGCATATGTGACACTTTGTGGACAAGATGAAAATACTAGTTTGATCCTTTGATGTACATCAAACCAATCTCGAGGTCGCATAACGGTATATTGTAATGGCTATGAAGCTGAGTTTCAATCCTTTGAAATCTTCAAAAGGAGTGTATCAGCCTGTGATTGGTCAGTTTTTTTCTCCTGAAGCCAATCAAATTACTAAAAGGCTTAGAGGCATGATATTTAGCTGTTATGTTCCTTTTATGAAGCCTGACAAAGTTTGTGAAAATAAATGACGTTGACTTATGTTCAATGTCACAGGGGTCAAATTTGTTAAAACCTTTAAACAATTTCATTTTATGAACTAAAAGGCCTTGAGGCAAGATATTTGGCTGATGTATATATATATATATATTTGGTTGGTGTGAATATATATATATATAAGGTAAGTGCTGCATGCCTATTGGGCCTCTTGTGTGTTAATTTAGCTCAGTTAAAGCTCATATTTTATGAGCTTCTCACAGGTAATTGCATTATGTAGCTTTCAGTTGATGATATTTTCTTGGTGTATTTTTAAACAGATGAATACAAACCACTTCCATTAATTTACAGGGTTTACCAGGAAACACAGGACCTCCTGGACCAGAGGGCAGACAGGGACTGAAGGGAGAAATGGGAGCAACTGGTGAACCAGGAAACCCAGGTCAGGACGGCACTGTGGTAAGTTGCATTGTTTAAGTATTTAACACTAGAGAGGGCAATGAATTTAATTCTTATACTAGGATAGAATATAATCACAAAACATTAGAATTAAGAACATAACTGTTCATTAATATTAATTGAAAAATCATCTATTAAGGTCAGAATACCTGGAAAATACTAAACCATTAAGATAATATAACAAAGATTGGGTCTAAAAATAGATTTATATCCTATTTATTAATATACTGGGTAGTAAGTAGTCACTGTGATGTTGCTTGTGAGAATACACTGGTAATGTGTGTAGATTACATACCGTCAAATTGCTGATCGAAAATGAAATGTTAACACGATATTATTGTCCTTATCTTATTATCACCCAATACTGGATTCTTTCTTTCTTTCTTTCTTTCTTTCTTTCTTTCTTTCTATACCCAGAAGGAATTCTGTTGAAATGAATTAGGAGTAAATAAATAGATAAATCTGTTTATGCCAATGTGTGTGCAAGAAAAACTTATGATATGACATCCTGACCTTCTAAAATAAACATTCCAAAATGTTACCATGGGAACACACAGATGCTTATGGACAATCAAAAATTAAGATTTCACAAAAAATTGGTATTTTGATGGCATATATGATGGTTCCATGATGGATGATGTAGCTTTGCACAGCCTATATTTTTTATTGATTTGAGCCCTAAAGGGTGTTGGTCACTATTGATGGGGGTGTTGGAGTATTAGTCAGCTATTCTGGCAACAACCTTAGTTAATCTTGCCATCTTTCTTTGAAACATTACTTCAGCACAGTTTCTTACATCATTTAGGGTACCCAACCCCTAATTATTAAAACGAATTTGCCTTCTAAAACATACAATATTTCAATACTGTGTGAAAATCTTAACATTGTATGTCCAAAGATAATGCAGAATAATATAGTAGATTTCTCAGCAATAATATACACTTTTGAAATGATTGTGTGATCTTTACAAATTACAGGGGCCACCAGGACCCCAAGGACCAAAGGGATTAGATGGGCGACCAGGTCTTCAGGGACCACCAGGACCCAGGGGTCCTGCTGGACTCATTGGCCCCAAAGGACATAACGTAAGTAAACGCTATCTTATTCACCAATAGTTATCATCCTATCATATTCTCCAATATACTGCTGTCTTATTCACCAGTAGGATGTAAGTATACTACTAGCTTATTCACCAGTAGGATGTGAGTATACTACGGTCTTATTCACCAGTAGGATGTAAGTATACTACTAGCTTATTCACCAGTAGGATGTGAGTATACTACTGTCTTATTCACCAGTAGGATGTGAGTATACTACTATCATATTCACCAGTAGGATGTGAGTATACTGCCATCTTATTCACCAATAGGATGTGAGTATACTTCTGTCTTATTCACCAGTAGGATGTGAGTATACTGCTATCTTATTTACCAATGGGATGTGAGTATATTACTATCTTATTCACCAGTAGGATGTGAGTATACTACTATCATATTTACCAATGGGATGTGAGTATATTACTATCTTATTCACCAGTAGGATGTGAGTATACTACTGTCTTATTCACCAGTAGGATGTGAGTATACTGCTATCTTATTCACCAGTAGGATGTGAGTATACTTCTGTCTTATTCACCAATAGGATGTGAGTATATTACTATCTTATTCACCAGTAGGATGTGAGTATACTACTGTCATATTCACCAGTAGGATGTGAGTATACTACTATCTTATTCACCAATGGGATGTGAGTATATTACTATCTTATTCACCAGTAGGATGTGAGTATACTGCTATCTTATTCACAAGTAGGATGTAAGTATACTTCTGTCTTATTCACAAGTAGGATGTAAGTATACTTCTGTCTTATTCACCAATAGGATGTGAGTATACTTCTGTCTTATTCACCAATAGGATGTAAGTATACTGCTATCTTATTCACCAGTAGGATGTAAGTATACTGCTATCTTATTCACCAAGGAGATGTATATCATGTACATGTGTTACAGTGCTTTGATTTTTGTAATCCTTATGAAACAAGATACATTATTTTATGTTAAAACCTCTCCATACATCAGTGTGTTTGAGTAAGATACCTTATTTTATGTTAAAACCTCTCCAGGATATACAGCAGTGTGTTTGAGTAAGATACCTTATTTTATGTTAAAACCTCTCCAGGATATACATCAGTGTGTTTGAGTAAGATACCTTTTTTATGTTAAAACCTCTCCATACATCAGTGTGTTTGAGTAAGATACCTTATTTTATGTTAAAACCTCTCCATACATCAGTGTGTTTGAGTAAGATACCTTATTTTATGTTAAAACCTCTCCAGGATATACATCAGTGTGTTTGAGTAAGATACCTTATTTTATGTTAAAACCTCTCCAGGATATACATCAGTGTGTTTGAGTAAGATACATTATTTTATGTTAAAACCTCTCCAGGATATACATCAGTGTGTTTGAGTAAGATACCTTATTTTATGTTAAAACCTCTCCATACATCAGTGTGTTTGAGTAAGATACATTATTTTATGTTAAAACCTCTCCAGGATATACATCAGTGTGTTTGAGTAAGATACCTTATTTTATGTTAAAACCTCTCCATACATCAGTGTGTTTGAGTAAGATACCTTATTTTATGTTAAAACCTCTCCATACATCAGTGTGTTTGAGTAAGATACCTTATTTTATGTTAAAACCTCTCCAGGATATACATCAGTGTGTTTGAGTAAGATACCTTATTTTATGTTAAAACCTCTCCATACATCAGTGTGTTTGAGTAAGATACCTTATTTTATGTTAAAACCTCTCCATACATCAGTGTGTTTGAGTAAGATACCTTATTTTATGTTAAAACCTCTCCAGAATATACAGCAGTGTGTTTGAGTAAGATACCTTATTTTATGTTAAAACCTCTCCAGGATATACATCAGTGTGTTTGAGTAAGATACCTTATTTTATGTTAAAACCTCTCCAGGATATACATCAGTGTGTTTGAGTAAGATACCTTATTTTATGTTAAAACCTCTCCAGGATATACATCAGTGTGTTTGAGTAAGATACCTTATTTTATGTTAAAACCTCTCCAGGATATACATCAGTGTGTTTGAGTAAGATACCTTATTTTATGTTAAAACCTCTCCAGGATATACATCAGTGTGTTTGAGTAAGATACCTTATTTTATGTTAAAACCTCTCCAGGATATACAGCAGTGTGTTTGAGTAAGATACCTTATTTTATGTTAAAACCTCTCCAGGATATACAGCAGTGTGTTTGAGTAAGATACCTTATTTTATGTTAAAACCTCTCCAGGATATACATCAGTGTGTTTGAGTAAGATACCTTATTTTATGTTAAAACCTCTCCAGGATATACATCAGTGTGTTTGTGTAAAATACCTTATTTTATGTTAAAACCTCTCCAGGATATACATCAGTGTGTTTGAGTAAGATACCTTATTTTATGTTAAAACCTCTCCAGGATATACAGCAGTGTGTTTGAGGAAGATACATTAGTGCAACATTTACATTTTATTTTCGAACTTCAGATTTTTATCTTTCTCTTTTCTATATGGTTAAGTATCATTTGGCAATTTATATTAATCAAATGACTAATGACATTTTATGCTCTAGGGTATGCCAGGAGAGGAAGGTCTGCCAGGCCCTACAGGAGAGGCTGGACTTAAGGTAAAAAGTCTATAACATTTATTTCCTTGTCTTCCATAGTTTGAAAATGTCTGTTATTATTTGGTGTAAGAATACCTGTAGATATTGAATGCTCAAGTAGACACCAAATTTGCCTGTATCTATTCAATCTGCAGATTGATTTTTAAAGAATCCTTCTTTTTAAGAAGATGTGGAATATGGTATATAGATTTTGAGATATTTTGTGATCTTTCACCTCTTCTTGAAAAATAATTTATTCTCTTACAAAAAATGGTAATTGTGATTATCTTTAATAACAGGGTGAGCCAGGACAGGACGGTCCAGAGGGCCAGCGAGGACCAACTGGACCAGTGGTGAGATATTTCATCTACTATTGTCTAACCAGTCAAAAGTGCAAGTGAGCTTGTGATTTTGGTGCAGCATCCTTTTCCCTTTTTCCCTTCAAACAACTTCTTCTCAATATCCAAAATGCAGTAGGTTTGTAGCCTGCTTGGATAAAGGGTTATCAGGTTTCTTAAATTGACAAATAACCTTGACCTATTTTCAGTGTTACAGTTAAATCCATTGAAATATTGAAACAACCTTTCCTCAATAACAAAAAGATCCAGGACTACCAAGTTTGTTCAAATTAATTATCTTTGACTCATGTTCAAGGTCTCATGAGCCAAATATGATTGGATTTTTAAATGACTTTTAACTGATACTGATATCAAGCCTTTTGCATTCTGGGATGAAATACTACTAAGTTTGTTCAAATGAATGACCTTGACTAACTTTCAAGGGTCAGTTGTGTTGAATTTTTTTTAATTTCTCAATAACCAGGAGTCCCAATATTGAGTCTGTAGGATGTTATTATGAAGGGCTACCAAGTTGAAATTAATTACTTTGATACAGAGGTCAAATGTAATACAACCATCAAAGTGGTTTTTTCCAATAAGAAAGGAGTCGAGGGTTACAATATTTTTCTTGTCGCATGCTTTAGAAATAGGCTTTCAAATTTACGTAAATTGACTTGATCCACAAAGTCTTTTATTTAACCTGCAGAAGAGGTAAGCAGTACATTACAGTTGAGCCTCTTTTCATCATAAGTACAAGAATAAGGGGCACAAGTGGGAGATTTTAAAATGGCCTCATTATGATTAGTGAATAGTAGATGAGAAATATGTACATCCCTTGTTTCAAAGCTGAAATAAACAAGTATATGGTGTGTGTTTAATTCTGCTATTTCGGATATTTTCAAATGATATGTTAAGTGGATTCTGATCCAGATTAATTCCCAACAGTAAGTCTAATGTATCCAATGTGGCAGGGTCTCCCAGGAGTACAAGGAGAAGCTGGACTTCCAGGAAGAGGAGGAAAGACGGTTAGTGCTCTTCTATTCTTCAATGTACTATATACAGACAGATCAGAAATTACCATTAAGTGCATTTTTATTGAACAGTATGTGGACATGGTTCTGCTAATCCTAGCAAACAAACAATACGTAACTGTTTCAGTAAAGGCCTGTTATATCTGATTATGAACTTTAGGCCCTGCAATATCTGACTTTTGAAGTTGAGGCCATGCTCTAACTATTGAAGTGCAGGCCCTGCTATATCTAACTATTGAAGTGCAGGCCCTCCTATATCTAACTATTGAAGTGCAGTCCCTGCTATATCTAACTATTGAAGTGCAGTCCCTGCTATATCTAATTATTGAAGTGCAGTCCCTGCTATATCTAGCCATTGAAGTGCAGGCCCTGCTATATCTAACTATTGAAGTGCAGTCCCTGCTATATCTAACTATTGAAGTGCAGGCCCTGCTGTATCTGTCAATTGAAATTCAGGCCTTGCTATACCTGTTTGTGAAGTTGAGGCCTTGCTATATCTAACTACTGAAGTCCCCGGCTTTACTGCTGCAACTGAATTAATATTCAGTTGTTATATATATCAAACTTATAAGATTTAAGTTATATTTGGCTTTATTATTGTAGGGAGAGCAAGGAAACCCTGGTCCTCAAGGAGTACAAGGAGAATTGGGTTCCAAGGGAAATCGTGGTTTGCCTGGTACAACTGGCCCTCGTGGACCATCAGGACCAACAGTGAGTATACAATGTCTAGTACAATCTTGTAATTCATCATCTTCAAGTTACTTGATCTCATTAATAACTAGAAATAAACCTAGTTCCCATAATTATCTTATTGAAGGTTGTCTACTGTTTCTCGTATATTGAATGGGAAAAAAAAATTTCAAAACCCCACCAAAAGTGAGACTAAAGTATTTCTTTGTCTGTTGGTGTTCATGTCGATTTTAAGCAGTTGTGTTCAGCTCATATTATAAGTTAAAGTGTAGCAAGCATTTATGGTACACAGTTCAATAGATGAAAAGAGGGAGATGGCTTAGTTTAAGAGCTAAAATCTTGTTGGCAGATCAATTTTTTATCTGTATATTTGTTGTATATGTCTCTATCAAATATTCTTGAACAACTTGAATCATAAAAAGTATGTTGATTCAGAATGTTTTGATCTAATTTTCAGATAAACATCATAAAATTTTAGTTGATTTTAATGATTTTTAAAATTTGCTGTTTTGAGTTAGGAACTGAAAAGTTGGTGTATGTTTCAGGGTTCACCAGGACCATCTGGTGTACAGGGACCACGAGGATCTCCTGGACCAGTGGTAAGCTGAACAGTTTCCTCTCAGTAGATTCATTGTAAATTCTTATTATTTGGCTTATATCAGTCCTTAATTTCAGATGTGGAGAAAGTATGTAAAGATATGTAACTATATATAATGTGTTTGGGTGTTATTCTTATTGCTAGGGAGAGGCCGGAGCCATGGGACCCCCAGGAATGCCTGGAGAGCTTGGACTTCTGGTGAGTTTTGACCATTTTCACATAGAGGTGACAATAAAAGTAATTGTTGTCTGCATTTAGGAATTTCAACATAATTATTTTTTTTTTCTATTCTTTTTTTTGTCCTCATCAAACATATGGGTATACTTACTTAGCTTATTTAGTTAAAAATAGCTGCTCAATATAAAACAGTGTATGTTACAAAGAACTAAAGGACTACAGAAATATCATACTTGTAGATTTAAAACAATATTGGCAAATGCTCTGGGAAACAGATGGTTTTGTCTTTGGGCAAAAGACTTTACCATTACTGCTCTTAAAGGAATGTGACAGCCTCCTGTATGTTATCAAGGGAGGTAACACCAGAAAATGATCCTTGGTGTTCATGGGGTGATAAACCTAGCAATGAAATAAAACAAAGCATGGGCCTATTTCCAGATATATTTACTGCATTATAGTAAATTCTGATCATGACTCACATTTTCTTATAACAAGAAAAAAGCTGGACTTTAATAAGATTGATAGATATTGTACTCCATTATTAACAATGTTGCTCTCCTTTTGTTAAGGGACCCCCTGGACCTGCAGGAACTAAAGGGGAACAGGGTGAACGTGGAATCAAGGTAGGACAATCTGGCACCTGTATTACAGCTTGTGTTTGAATGGTTGTGTTTAATTCATTCATTACTTTATTATCTTTTTACAAACATGTAATTAGTCATTTGACTATTAATTTAAGAGAAAATATCGCAAATTTATTCTTTATATATAATGGAAGGTCTATTATAGAGATTGTTAAAGATATCTTCAAAATTCTGCTCTTCATAATGGAATAAAATGTATGACTAAGTTAGGGGAGGAATGGCTCCATCAAACAGAAGTTTAAGACTTGGGTAATGGCTAGTTCTGAACCTGCAGAATTCGAAGTCAAGGTCCATTGACATAAATTTGTAATGTTAATTTACAGAGAGGTTATAGATAAGTATGTAAAAGGTTTCTTAATATAAAATATTTTATAAAAAAATATAGGGCCACCCAGGCAGAGTAGGACCACCTGGTGTTGTTGGAGACCCCGGACCTAAGGGAGAGCCTGGTCCAGTCGGACCCCCAGGACCCAAAGGAGACAGAGGAGAAAGGGTAAAGTATTAACGTCATATCATTTGAAGTGGGAATTGGTTAGACTAGAGTTGCATTTAAGACTGAATAAACCACTTGTGATATAACAAGTGATCCCATAGGTATAGAGCCTATATTATTTGCCAAAACTATCAATCATGTGAGAAAAAGAATCTTAAACTTGTTTGAATGTGGTGTATGATTTATGAAACTTAACAACAATTTTTTCATTTAAGCTTCTCAAAGGCTCACTAAAATAAAAAAAACTCTTGGTTTCATTTCTTCAATTTTTTTTTTCGGACCAGTCTGAAAATAGGATAATACATGACTAAGGACCATGGGGAAATTTGAAAAAAAGATCTGTCCAAAACCACATATAAAATGGAAAGTTATGTAACATCATATAAATATTTTACTGTGAAAACTGGGAGAAGTGTAGGTGTTGTTGCAGGTAAAGAAATGTTTCTTCTGGTTTTGTTATTACAGGATTACGATTTCAAGTTTTTACTGTAAACACATAAAAAGCAACTAAATTTAGATTATCATCATTTTAGGGTTACCAAGGTGAGGCTGGATACCAGGGACCAGATGGAGCTCCAGGCCTTCCAGTAAGTACTTGTCAGATCAAAATAATGATACAAGAATTAATGGTTATCATACCATGCATTCTCTTCATGGTATTATCTACTGTGACATAGTATTATCTACTGTTACATGTGGTATTATCTACTGTGACATGGTATTATCTACTGTGACTTGTGGTATTATCTTCTGTGACATGTGGTATTATCTTCTGTGACATGTGGTATTATCTACTGTGACATGTGATATTATCTACTGTGACATGTGGTATTATCTACTGTGACATGTGGTATTATCTACTGTGACATGGTATTATCTACTGTGACATGTGGTATTATCTACTGTGACATGTGGTATTATCTACTGTGACATGGTATTATCTACTGTGACATGTGGTATATCTACTATGACATGAGGTATTATCTACTGTGACATGTGGTATTATCTACTGTGACATGTGGTATTATCTACTGTGACATGGTATTATCTACTGTGACATGTGGTATTATCTACTGTGACATGGTATTATCTACTGTGACATGTGATATTATCTACTATGACATGTGGTATTATCTACTGTGACATGGTATTATCTACTGTGACATGTGGTATATCTACTATGACATGTGGTATTATCTACTGTGACATGTGGTATTATCTACTGTGACATGTGGTATTATCTACTGTGACATGGTATTATCTACTGTGACATGGTATTATCTACTGTGACATGTGGTATATCTACTATGACATGTGGTATTATCTACTGTGACATGTGGTATTATCTACTGTGACATGGTATTATCTACTGTGACATGTGGTATTATCTACTGTGACATGTGGTATTATCTACTGTGACATGGTATTATCTACTGTGACATGGTATTATCTACTGTGACATGTGGTATTATCTACTGTGACATGTGGTATTATCTACTGTGACATGTGGTATTATCTACTGTGACATGTGGTATTATCTACTGTGACATGTGATATTATCTACTGTGACAGGGTATTATCTACTGTGACATGGTATTATCTACTATGACATGGTATTATCTACTGTGACATATGGTATTATCTACTGTGACATGGTATTATCTACTGTGACATGTGGTATTATCTACTGTGACATGGTATTATCTACCCTTGACATGGTATTATATACGGCGTCGTTGTGGTAATGTTTACTATGATGTTAAGTTTTACATATTTTAACTTGTTATATTATCTACTGTGACATGTCTTAGTATTATTTTCTTTAACATTGTATTATATTTTCTACAATTAATCGACTTACATGTTTTGTTATTTATATTTTAGGGACAAGTTGGACCTTCAGGACCAAAAGGAGAACCAGTAAGTGTAAAATCAGAGAAATTCAGCTGTGTTTTATAAAATTTGTTGATAAGTTAGAATAGACATGCATACATGTAATAGTAATGTTATCTTAATCATGTTGAATTAACAATCTGTGCTACTTTTAACAGGGTTTCCCTGGATCCAAAGGAGAGGCTGGACACAGAGTAAGTATGAAATACATGTAAAACCTTGACTGACACTATACCTTTAACAAAATTTCAGTATTGTATGTAGAGTAAGGACTGTTATGGATGAGTCGCATGAAGGTTATATTGAAAATGAAACCCAAAGAAATCCTTGAAATAATCAATAATTCAATATTAATAATAATTCATATTATCAAGCGCCATTGATTTCTCTACCTTCTGTCATGGACTGGATACAGATGGCTCATTTAACATCATTATACTTCTTTATATGTTATGAAGGTGTGACAAAATCTTATCTACACAAATACTTCTGATGTTGATATTTCATTTGCCTGGAATCAGCATAACATTCAACTATATATGCAATAGAAATACCCAAGTGCTTAGACCTGTAATCCAAAATATGTCTGTACTGTTTGGTTACAGGGACCCCCAGGTCCAGCAGGTGCACCAGGAGAGGCACAAGCTTTCCCATCAGAACTTCTTGGAGCTCCAATGACGAAAGCTGGTGCTGGTTTCCGAAAGAGGAGGGCAGCAGGAGCCCCAGGTTTCAATGATCAATTCAGTGAAATGTTGGCAGATATGTCCAAGAATGAGTATGAATTAAAGGAAGGAGTGACCATTGTTGTGGAGCAGATGTTTACACATGTTGATCAGATCAAGGAAGAGTTGGACCGTTTGGTCTATCCAACTGGCAAACAAGGAAATCCAGCCTCGACCTGCAGAGATATCCTTCTCGGACATCCAGACACACAAGATGGTAAAGTCACATGTTTATATTCCAACACTACAATAGTAGAGTCCATCTATGATACTAGGTTAGCCTTAGTCTTTAACCGAAGACCACCAATATTTCAGTATGTAGAACATCAGACTTTACAACTACAGGTGAAGATTTATGTGAGGTGGTTCAATTGTCTCAACCTGAGATGATTTGTATTTCTCAGGAAGCCAAGAACATGGACCATGCTGTGGTATAGTAGTTGTGTCCATATGCAGCATACTTTATACTTCAATTGCACTGGAAAAAATTTGATGGGCCTCCAATGGAATGGTACTCATCATATAGGTTTTGAAATCAAGTCATTTTACAATACTTTGAGAAGTTTAATATTTCTTCAGTTTTCTATTAAAATTAAAATGTCTAAAACATTTTTTTTCAGGCTGGTATTACATTGACCCTAACCAAGGCGCTCCAGATGATGCTCTCTCTGTTTTCTGTAATATGACCGCTGGTGGAGAATCTTGCTTCTACCCGACAGAAACTACCAATACGGTAAGTGAAACTTCCTCATCCAAAACCATCAATACGGTAATAGAAACTTGCCCAACAGAAACCATCAGTACTGTAAGTGTTATTTACCCAAGGAAAAACACAAATACGGTGTACCAGGTCACTGCAGTGAAGAATGTATCATATCAAGTGAAATACAGCAGTATATGCCATTATAGAATACATGAACAGTATATTTGTGACACTTAATTTTCTTCATTTTATTTTAGAGTGATGTTAAATTTTGGAAGAAAGCCAAGAAGGGAAATCAGTTATTCAGTGAAATGAAGAATGGCTATGAGGTAACTTCAATATTTTAACATGTTAAGAAGCTTTCGTATCTTTTGACCAAACTTTAGTCTGTTTGCCTGAGGTTTCTGTTTTTTTGGAAATTAAGTGTTCCTTATCAAAAGTGACTTATTTTCATTATTGTTATTGAAATAAGTTTTTCAGGTAGTCTGGATACTTTAGGAACATCAACTTTATATGTTTAAGCTTTTAACAAATCCTTGTTAAATCTTTTTAAGACAAATGTTTGTAAACGTTGTACCAGAGATATATATAAGAAATCTAAATTGATGAAGATATGGAGAGGCTGAGGTAGAAGCAGGAAATACAAGTCTGTATGTAAACTTTCCTTAGGAATGTGCTCTTGTCTGGTAAAATTCACTGTTGTTGTATTTATCTTCAAATAGTCACTGCTCACAAATAAGCTCCCTTCATTTTCGCAGCATCATCAATTTTAAAATAGCAAGCTGAACATGGTTTATATATAAGTCCTCCTTTAATACTAAACTTTTACATGAGGGGACGGAGCTTATTTGAGGATGAATAGGATATAAACCAATGGTTCTGATTTTGAGTAAGACTGGGAGGTAATGTAATTCCCCATGCTTATTGAGCGATGAATTAGGTAATTAGGAAGAGTAACCAGCCTATCTACACAAACTTTGACTTCTGATGCACTGAATGTTGCAGTTTGAGTACACGATTGGACATCAACAGAAGATGTTAGGTCTGTACAGTTCTACAGCTCATCAGACCTTTACATACCTCTGTCAGAACTCTGTGGGCTGGTACAGCGAAGAGAACACTAATTACAACAATGCTGTTGTCTTTATGGGAAGTGACAATAAACGCATTAACACTGAGAATCTTGCTCCAGAGAATGTCCAAGATGGCTGCAGGGTAAGTGAAACTTTAAAAAATAAGCTTGTGAACTGTAGTTCGAGTGACACTACTCATCTGATTTGTTGAGTTTACAGAATTATAAGCAATTAATTTTTTGCCAAATTTACATTAACTACAAAACTGTTGTCACATCTAACTTTGAAAATTGCACAGTACTTAACAGAGCAGTTCTGTTTAAACAAGTTTTAATTTGTGTGGTTTATATGACCAAAGCCATCAGCATTGGCATTTTTATTGGACATGGTTTAAAAACTTTGTCATTTTGATATTGCAGAACAAGCCTGCAAGCGGCAGCACAGTGTTTGTTGTTGACACAAAGGTAGTAGAGGACTTACCAATAGTAGACTTTACTCCAAAGGACTATGGGGATGCAGGGCAAGGCTTCGGTTACAAGATTGGGCCAGTATGCTTCCGACATATATAAGGACACAACATGCTGGGAAATCATAACATTTCCATTAAAACTATTTCAATAGTCTTTCTGATGAACTTTAACAATGACAATTACTTCCTTAGTCTTTCTGATAAACAATGACATTACAGTTAAGAGCTTTTAAAACTTTGGACTTTATGACATGAACTTTTTGAGAAAAAAAAATATATATACTACAGCAGGAAAAATAAGTGTATGTCATATGACATCATTTTAACTAGGCCATATCTCATAATGACCTTCATCAAGGTCAATCGTCCCATTTTATACATAATACATGTTCTTTCTTAGAATTTCACTTTTCATATTATATATCTCTTAATAGTTGATTTCCATACAATGTATTAGATTAATAAATAATATTTAGACTTTTATACATTTTTAATAAAGAGATTTCATTTTTGCTCAAAGATACACTGTAATCTTTTATCAATCATGACATAATCTGTCTGTACAGTCAGCCATCGTAGGGTCTGACCAATTCTGCTTCTACACCCATCAAAACCTTACATGCTGACAAGTGTTTGACACCTGGATGCAAAGTCACAAATAATGGGGATCCCCTGTCTTTCATACCCTTAAATGTATCGTCACCTTTTCCGTGTTACAAGCTTTCGGATACCAACGCAGCAGTAACACTGGTAAGAAAGAGTTGTTCAGAGCTTATGGCGTATTGCATATCTACCATTGAATGTTAAAATTATAAATGTGAAAAAAACACCTGTTGTAAAGCTTGCATTCAACATGTTGTGACATGGCCAGGAGGTAGATTGATACATATAGTCAACATCATCATCACAGAAGAGATAGAAGTATCGTTAATACGAAGCAGAAATAGACTTGATCTGACGATGGCTGACTACTTGTGAGGTGTTGAATACCCACAGTAAGACAAGCTTTGCCAGCACTGTCTGTGATCTATCTTCAACTTAAGTATCGTTCCCGATACATGTGAATACCGAAGGAGTGTATCTGCCCCGTGTTATGTCAGTGACAAATGTGTCCGTCCTTATTCATTATCTCACTGCATCACTAGTTCTCTCACTACCAAACAGATGTACCTAGACTTTCTGCTAAATAAAACAATTTCTTAAAATATCATTGCTGTTTACTTTTCATTTTGTGATATAATAGTTTACTTTTCAATAGAATTAAAGGAGACTGACAATTTCTACCAGCTAATGAGACTGACAACTTCTATATGTTAAGGGGACTGACAACTTCTATATGCTAAGGGGACTGACAACTTCTATATGTTAAGGGGACTGACAACTTCTATATGTTAAGGGGACTGACAACTTCTATATGTTAAGGGGACTGACAACTTCTATATGTTAAGGGGACTGACAACTTCTATATGTTAAGGGGACTGACAACTTCTATATGTTAAGGGGACTGACAACTTCTATATGTTAAGGGGACTGACAACTTCTATATGTTAAGTTAAGGGGACTGACAACTTCTATATGTTAAGGGGACTGACAACTTCTATATGTTAAGGGGACTGACAACTTCTATATGCTAATGAGACTGAAGGGGACTGACAACTTCTATATGTTAAGGGGACTGACAACTTCTATATGTTAAGGGGACTGACAACTTCTATATGTTAAGGGGACTGACAACTTCTATATGCTAATGAGACTGACAACTTCTATATGTTAAGGGGACTGACAACTTCTATATGCTAAGGGGACTGACAACTTCTATATGTTAAGGGGACTGACGACTTCTATATGTTAAGGGGACTGACAACTTCTATATGCTAAGGAGACTGACGACTTCTATATGTTAAGGGGACTGACAACTTCTATATGTTAAGGGGACTGACAACTTCTATATGTTAAGGGGACTGACAACTTCTATATGTTAAGGGGACTGACAACTTCTATATGTTAAGGGGACTGACAACTTCTATATGCTAAGGAGACTGACGACTTCTACATGCTGTGACTAACACCATCTTATTTTAATTAATGATGTCACTCTTTTCTAGTTTCATGGTCAAAATGTGGATCACAGTGACCTACTTTTAATACATGGCACATTACACATGTTGGTGAACCAATGCCCCCGAGTATTTAGTTCCAGTGATGTAGTATAGGGAATGGGGCCAGACAAACTTTGATGGGACACCACTAGGAACCAAGAGGTTCAATCAAAATTCAGATCCATCCTGTACTTCTCATGAAATATTAAAAAAAGAATGGTATAAAGACAGATGACTGATTGACTGACCACAGATGCAGGGTGATTTGAACAGTCCTAAAACAAAAGTAAAATTTACATACTCCAGATAAAGAACAAGGAGAATAAGATCAGGTGTTCCAGAAGGGTAAGCATCCTCTACATCATCAACAACATCCTCTATGTAATCTAGGTCAATCCAAGTAAAAAATGTCACATTCCATAATGAAAACACAGTAAACATTAAAGGAAGCAACAGGTAAACTAATGAGTAATAACCCTATCAGAACAACTTCATATCAATTAATAAAATAAAACATTTCACTGATAGTAAAACTTCCCCATCATTTTCATCAACCTGCAACTCTTGAAAATCTGTGTTGTGAATTCTTCTGTCAGTTGCCTTTATCTTGCAAGAATCAAAATATTAAGAATAAGGCCTTGAATATCAAATAAAAAAATCAGAAATAAGGGCACAGATGTATTTAAGTTTTTTTATTCACTCAGTAATATATTCATTAGTACAGAATCATATATTGGTCATTTATGGAAAATTTTTCTTGCAGAAAGGTGTTGTTGGAAATAGTCCTGACATAAATGCATATCTATTTTTGACAATATTAAAAAACAGTCTAAGAAGAATCAATATAACTGTATATACTCCTCAATATACACAGAGGTAAACAGACCTGGAAGGATTCTTAGCACTGAAATTGCATATTCGGCTGCAATGCAGTCTATTTAAATAATTTTCAAGCTGTATACTTAATGTGATGCTAAAACAAGCTTCGGTAGTCCTTGCATGACATTCTCACAAAATGTGTGAAGAATATTTACATGATATTTTTGATACAGCAAAATGTGTAACTGAAGACATAACCAAACCATGAACATCACATAACACCAAAACAGGGAGCCCTTTTTTCTGCAATAATGTTACCATGTGATCTTTTGTGACTTTGAACAGGACTATAACAGGACTTTCAGGTCATGTGTCTCTCAGTGTAGGACTTCAAAATTGTGTGTCTCTCAGTACAGGACCTTCAGGTCTTGTGTCTCACAAAACTAGACCTTCAGGCCTTGTCTCTCAGTACATGACCTTCAGGTCTTGTGTCTCACAATACTAGACCTTCAGGCCTTGTCTCTCAGTACATGACCTTCAGGTCTTGTGTCTCACAAAACTAGACCTTCAGGCCTTGTCTCTCAGTACAGGACCTTCAGGTCTTGTGTCTCACAAAACTAGACCTTCAGGCCTTGTCTCTCAGTACATGACCCTCATGTCTTGTGTCTCACAAAACTAGACCTTCAGGCCTGATCTCTCAGTACAGGACCTTCAGGTCTTGCGTCTCACAATACTAGACCTTCAGGCCTTGTCTCTCAGTACAGGACCTTTAGGTCTTGCATCTTGTGCTACAGGACCTTCAGGTCTTGTGTCTCACAGTACAGGCCTTTCAGGTCATGTATCACTCAGCGCACGACTTGTGTGTCATTTGGTACCAGGACCTTCAGGTCTTGTGTCTCTCGCTGCATGGCCTTCAGGTCTTGTGTCTCATGATGCTGGATCTGTAAGTCTTGTGTCTCTCAGTACAAGATTTTCAGGTCTTGTCTCTCTTCGCACTGGACCTTCAGGTCCTGTGTCTTTGAACCAGAACATCAGGTCTCCAGTATTTGTGTGTTTCTGTCTGTTACTAATAACTACACAAGAAGTCCTCCTCCAGTGATGACAATACCTTCAGATTGAGTCCCATTCTGAAAAGGAAAAAACACAAGGACATAATTACCTCATGCAAGTATTTCAATATCTTCAGTATAAGTCTCATTCTGAAGAGAAGAGGATTGAAGAGCAAATAAAATAAAATTGCTTATTTTAATGAGGTTTTTATTTTTGGTGATTTTGATTACTATTGTTACTAACATGACCTGTGGGTCAAGATAATTTCTTATCATAACTTTGTTGGGCTTCATCCAAGAATGCTTCCAGCCTTATATCATGATTCTAGACCTTTTGGGTATTGAAAAGAAATTGAAAAGTTGACAAGATGGATGATGCATCGCGGTATAAGATTACTTGGGTTTTTTGCCAGTTGAGCTAATGATAATCTAAAAACAACCAGTACCAGCATAAATCTCTAACAAAAGAAAGTGCTGATGTTTGGACCTTATAATACTTACTGATTAAGCTCTTTCTTCACCTCTTCCACCTTGGTAGGATGGCAACATATACCGGTCCTGGTCTTCGTTACATCAAACAGGGGTGAAATATACTTGGGACCAACCCTTTTCAAGTCAGCTACAGTAACCATGGCAACCTTTGCCAATAACTCTCTGTTAACAACAAATAATAGCTAATATTAACATATCCCTCTTAAAAACATGTAATATGTCACTACCAACAACTCCCTGTTTATAACTTGTAATATGTTACTACTGACAACATCCTGTTTATAACAAGCAATAAGTTACTACTGACAACTCCCTGTTCATATCATGTAATATGTTACTACTGACAACCCCCTGTTAATAACATGTAGTGATCCACCTATGTTATGTAAGACAATATGATCCCCAACTGGCTGTTATATACACATACTTGTTATAGGACAGACTGATCCCTGTGTGTTATATACACATACTTGTTATAGGACAGACAGATCCCTGTGTGTTATATACACATACTTGTTATAGGACAGACAGATCCCTGTGTGTTATATACACATACTTGTTATAGGACAGACAGATCCCTGTGTGTTATATACACATACTTGTTATAGGACAGACTGATCCCTGTTTGTTATATACACATACTTGTTATAGGACAGACAGATCCCTGTTTGTTATATACACATACTTGTTATAGGACAGACTGATCCCTCTTTGTTATATACACATACTTGTTATAGGACAGACAGATCCCTGTGTGTTATATACACATACTTGTTATAGGACAGACTGATCCCTCTTTGTTATATACACATACTTGTTATAGGACAGACAGATTCCTGTTTGTTATATACACATACTTGTTATAGGACAGACAGATCCCTGTGTGTTATATACACATACTTGTTATAGGACAGACTGATCCCTGTTTGTTATATACACATACTTGTTATAGGACAGACTGATCCCTGTTTGTTATATACACATACTTGTTATAGGACAGACAGATCCCTGTGTGTTATATACACATACTTGTTATAGGACAGACTGATCCCTCTTTGTTATATACACATACTTGTTATAGGACAGACTGATTCCTGTGTGTTATATACACATACTTGTTATAGGACAGACAGATCCCTGTGTGTTATATACACATACTTGTTATAGGACAGACAGATCCCTGTTTGTTATATACACATACTTGTTATAGGACATACAGATCCCTGTGTGTTATATACACATACTTGTTATAGGACAGACAGATCCCTCTTTGTTATATACACATACTTGTTATAGGACAGACTGATCCCTCTTTGTTATATACACATACTTTGTTATATACACATACTTGTTATAGGACAGACAGATCCCTCTTTGTTATATACACATACTTGTTATAGGACAGACAGATCCCTGTGTGTTATAAACACATACTTGTTATAGGACAGACAGATCCCTCTTTGTTATATACACATACTTGTTATAGGACAGACAGATCCCTGTTTGTTATATACACATACTTGTTATAGGACAGACAGATCCCTCTTTGTTATATACACATACTTGTTATAGGACAGACAGATCCCTGTGTGTTATATACACATACTTGTTATAGGACAGACAGATCCCTGTTTGTTATATACACATACTTGTTATAGGACATACAGATCCCTGTGTGTTATATACACATACTTGTTATAGGACAGACAGATCCCTCTTTGTTATATACACATACTTGTTATAGGACAGACTGATCCCTCTTTGTTATATACACATACTTTGTTATATACACATACTTGTTATAGGACAGACAGATCCCTCTTTGTTATATACACATACTTGTTATAGGACAGACTGATCCCTGTGTGTTATATACACATACTTGTTATAGGACAGACTGATCCCTGTGTGTTGTATACACATACTTGTTATAGGACAGACTGATCCCTGTGTGTTATATACACATACTTGTTATAGGACAGACTGATCCCTGTGTGTTGTATACACATACTTGTTATAGGACAGACTGATCCCTCTTTGTTATATACACATACTTGTTATAGGACTGACTGATCCCTGTGTGTTATATACACATACTTGTTATAGGACAGACTGATCCCTGTGTGTTGTATACACATACTTGTTATAGGACAGACAGATCCCTGTGTGTTGTATACACATACTTGTTATAGGACAGACAGATCCCTGTGTGTTATATACACATACTTGTTATAGGACAGACAGATCCCTGTGTGTTATATACACATACTTGTTATAGGACAGACAGATCCCTGTGTGTTATATACACATACTTGTTATAGGACAGACAGATCCCTGTGTGTTATATACACATACTTGTTATAGGACAGACAGATCCCTGTGTGTTATATACACATACTTGTTATAGGACAGACAGATCCCTGTGTGTTATATACACATGCTTGTTATAGGACAGACAGATCCCTGTGTGTTATATACACATGCTTGTTATAGGACAGACAGATCCCTGTATGTTATATACACATACTTGTTATAGGACAGACAGATCCCTGTGTGTTATATACACATACTTTGTTATATACACATACTTGTTATAGGACAGACAGATCCCTGTTTGTTATATACACATACTTGTTATAGGACAGACAGATCCCTGTGTGTTATATACACATACTTGTTATAGGACAGACTGATTCCCCTGAAGTAAGACAGCATGGACAGTTGGGATACACTTGACAGTGTCTTCTCCTCCTCAATTATCTCAAATATCAGACTGCTTCTTGCTGACTCCAGCTCTACAGTGGAGAACGGTGTTTCTCCATTTACATAGCCCATCTGTCAATAAAAGGATTAACATTGTCACATTATACAGAAACAAACAAAAAGTTGCATTTTATGCTTTTATGTAAATGGTTGAAATGGTTGGATAATTTGTCAGCCTAAAAAATATTTGGCATTACAATTTAAATTGAGTCAACCAAGCCTATCCTAAACTGACCATCACTTTTATTCAGAACTTCTGCGAGAGACATATTCAGTGCTTATACAACTTTCTGGAAGTCTCCCTTGAAGAAAATTTTTTTCCCCCAATACCACAACAGGTTATACTGAAAGCAATCAAAACATGACTAGGGACAATTCATTGCTTAAAATCAACTTCACTTTTCATAAATAGCTGTATCTTCTTGAGTAAATCTAAATTACTCCAGCCCTGAAGACAATGACCACACTACGTGTCGAATCAGGGTTGTCCAGAAAAGACTACTGTAAACATCATCAATAAAGTAACTGGAAATCCACACATTACAACAATGACAGGTTGAGCAACTACTCACCACAATATTTCTTCCTTCCTTGTAGGCCTCTGTAATATTGGTAGACCGGGCCAAAAGAAATTTCAGAAGGCCTTTTTCAGCATCTATACTTATCCTGTAGAATATTGAGGGGATCTCAATAAGTTTTATCAAATGAATGAAATATCTCATACAAAGTATACATACTCTTACAGATATAAACCGTACACATACTCTTACAGATATAAACCGTACACATACTCTTACAGATATAAACCGTATACATACTCTTACAGATATAAACCGTACACATACTCTTACAGATATAAACCGTACACATACTCTTACAGATATAAACCGTATACATACTCTTACAGATATAAACCGTACACATACTCTTACAGATATAAACCGTACACATACTCTTACAGATATAAACCGTACACATACTCTTACAGATATAAACCGTATACATACTCTTACAGATATAAACCGTACACATACTCTTACAGATATAAACCGTACACATACTCTTACAGATATAAACCGTATACATACTCTTACAGATATAAACCGTACACATACTCTTACAGATATAAACCGTACACATACTCTTACAGATATAAACCGTACACATACTCTTACAGATATAAACCGTACACATACTCTTACAGATATAAACCGTACACATACTCTTACAGATATAAACCGTACAATCTTGTGGAATGATTACTCAATTAACTCAAGTTAACTATTTTTTCAAGTAAATTGTCACAGTCAACCAAAGCCAAATCAGAAGTGCTGAGTCACCCAAAGCCAAATCAGAAGTGTCCAGTCACCCAAAGTCTAATCAGAAGTGTCCAGTCACCCAAAGTCTTATCAGAAGTGTCCAGTCACCCAAAGTCTAATCAGAAGTGTCCAGTCACCCAAAGTCTAATCAGAAGTGCTGAGTCACCCAAAGTCTAATCAGAAGTGTCCAGTCACCCAAAGTCTAATCAGAAGTGTCCAGTCACCCAAAGTCTAATCAGAAGTGTCCAGTCACCCATGTCTAATCAGAGGTGTCCAGTCACCCAAAGTCTAATCAGAGGTGTCCAGTCACCCAAAGTCAAATCAGAAGTGTCCAGTCACCCAAAGTCTAATCAGAAGTGTCCAGTCACCCAAAGTCTAATCAGAAGTGTCCAGTCACCCAAAGTCTAATCAGAAGTGTCCAGTCACCCAAAGTCTTATCAGAAGTGTCCAGTCACCCAAAGTCTTATCAGAAGTGCTGAGTCACCCAAAGTCTAATCAGAAGTGTCCAGTCACCCAAAGTCTAATCAGAAGTGTCCAGTCACCCAAAGTCTAATCAGAAGTGTCCAGTCACCCAAAGTCTAATCAGAAGTGTCCAGTCACCCAAAGTCTAATCAGAAGTGTCCAGTCACCAAAGTCTAATCAGAAGTGTCCAGTCACCCAAAGTCTTATCAGAAGTGTCCAGTCACCCAAAGTCTAATCAGAAGTGTCCAGTCACCCAAAGTCTAATCAGAAGTGCTGAGTCACCCAAAGTCTTATCAGAAGTGTCCAGTCACCCAAAGTCTAATCAGAAGTGTCCAGTCACCCAAAGTCTAATCAGAAGTGTCCAGTCACCCAAAGTCTAATCAGAAGTGTCCAGTCACCCAAAGTCTAATCAGAAGTGTCCAGTCACCCAAAGTCTAATCAGAAGTGTCCAGTCACCCAAAGTCTAATCAGAAGTGCTGAGTCACCCAAAATCTAATCAGAAGTGCTGAGTCACCCAAAGTCTAATCAGAAGTGTCCAGTCACCCAAAGTCTAATCAGAAGTGCTGAGTCACCCAAAGTCTAATCAGAAGTGCTGAGTCACCCAAAGTCTAATCAGAAGTGTCCAGTCACCCAAAGTCTTATCAGAAGTGTCCAGTCACCCAAAGTCTAATCAGAAGTGCTGAGTCACCCAAAGTCTAATCAGAAGTGTCCAGTCACCCAAAGTCTAATCAGAAGTGTCCAGTCACCCAAAGTCTAATCAGAAGTGTCCAGTCACCCAAAGTCTAATCAGAAGTGTCCAGTCACCCAAAGTCTAATCAGAAGTGTCCAGTCACCCAAAGTCTAATCAGAAGTGTCCAGTCACCCAAAGTCTAATCAGAAGTGTCCAGTCACCCAAAGTCTAATCAGAAGTGTCCAGTCACCCAAAGTCTAATCAGAAGTGTCCAGTCACCCAAAGTCTAATCAGAAGTGTCCAGTCACCCAAAGTCTAATCAGAAGTGTCCAGTCACCCAAAGTCTAATCAGAAGTGTCCAGTCACCCAAAGTCTAATCAGAAGTGTCCAGTCACCCAAAGTCTAATCAGAAGTGTCCAGTCACCCAAAGTCTAATCAGAAGTGCTGAGTCACCCAAAGTCTAATCAGAAGTGTCCAGTCACCCAAAGTCTAATCAGAAGTGTCCAGTCACCCAAAGTCTAATCAGAAGTGTCCAGTCACCCAAAGTCTAATCAGAAGTGCTGAGTCACCCAAAATCTAATCAGAAGTGTCCAGTCACCCAAAGTCTAATCAGAAGTGTCCAGTCACCCAAAGTCTAATCAGAAGTGTCCAGTCACCCAAAGTCTAATCAGAAGTGTCCAGTCACCCAAAGTCTAATCAGAAGTGTCCAGTCACCCAAAATCTAATCAGAAGTGTCCAGTCACCCAATGCCTAATCAGAAGTGTCCAGTCACCCAAAGTCTAATCAGAAGTGTCCAGTCACCCAAAGTCTAATCAGAAGTGTCCAGTCACCCAAAGTCTAATCAGAAGTGTCCAGTCACCCAAAGTCTAATCAGAAGTGTCCAGTCACCCAAAGTCTAATCAGAAGTGTCCAGTCACCCAAAGTCTAATCAGAAGTGTCCAGTCACCCAAAGTCTAATCAGAAGTGTCCAGTCACCCAAAGTCTAATCAGAAGTGTCCAGTCACCCAATGCCTAATCAGAAGTGCTGAGTCACCCAAAGTCTAATCAGAAGTGTCCAGTCACCCAAAGTCTAATCAGAAGTGTCCAGTCACCCAAAGTCTAATCAGAAGTGTCCAGTCACCCAAAGTCTAATCAGAAGTGCTGAGTCATCCAAAGTCTAATCAGAAGTGCTGAGTCACCCAAAGTCTAATCAGAAGTGTCCAGTCACCCAAAGTCTAATCAGAAGTGTCCAGTCACCCAAAGTCTAATCAGAAGTGTCCAGTCACCCAAAGTCTAATCAGAAGTGTCCAGTCACCCAAAGTCTAATCAGAAGTGTCCAGTCACCCAAAGTCTAATCAGAAGTGTCCAGTCACCCAAAGTCTTATCAGAAGTGCTGAGTCACCCAAAGTCTAATCAGAAGTGTCCAGTCACCCAAAGTCTAATCAGAAGTGTCCAGTCACCCAAAGTCTAATCAGAAGTGTCCAGTCACCCAAAGTCTAATCAGAAGTGTCCAGTCACCCAAAGTCTAATCAGAAGTGCTGAGTCACCCAAAGTCTAATCAGAAGTGTCCAGTCACCCAAAGTCTAATCAGAAGTGTCCAGTCACCCAAAGTCTAATCAGAAGTGCTGAGTCACCCAAAGTCTAATCAGAGGTGTCCAGTCACCCAAAGTCTAATCAGAAGTGTCCAGTCACCCAAAGTCTAATCAGAAGTGTCCAGTCACCCAAAGTCTAATCAGAAGTGTCCAGTCACCCAAAGTCTAATCAGAAGTGTCCAGTCACCCAAAGTCTAATCAGAAGTGTCCAGTCACCCAAAGTCTAATCAGAAGTGTCCAGTCACCCAAAGTCTAATCAGAAGTGTCCAGTCACCCAAAGTCTAATCAGAAGTGTCCAGTCACCCAAAGTCTAATCAGAAGTGCTGAGTCACCCAAAGTCTAATCAGAAGTGTCCAGTCACCCAAAGTCTAATCAGAAGTGTCCAGTCACCCAAAGTCTTATCAGAAGTGCTGAGTCACCCAAAGTCTAATCAGAAGTGCTGAGTCACCCAAAGTCTAATCAGAAGTGCTGAGTCACCCAAAGTCTAATCAGAAGTGTCCAGTCACCCGTCACCCAAAGTCTAATCAGAAGTGCTGAGTCACCCAAAGTCTAATCAGAAGTGCTGAGTCACCCAAAGTCTAATCAGAAGTGTCCAGTCACCCAAAGTCTAATCAGAAGTGTCCAGTCACCCAAAGTCTAATCAGAAGTGTCCAGTCACCCAAAGTCTAATCAGAAGTGTCCAGTCACCCAAAGTCTTATCAGAAGTGTCCAGTCACCCAAAGTCTAATCAGAAGTGTCCAGTCACCCAAAGTCTAATCAGAAGTGTCCAGTCACCCAAAGTCTAATCAGAAGTGTCCAGTCACCCAAAGTCTAATCAGAAGTGTCCAGTCACCCAAAGTCTAATCAGAAGTGTCCAGTCACCCAAAGTCTAATCAGAAGTGTCCAGTCACCCAAAGTCTAATCAGAAGTGTCCAGTCACCCAAAGTCTAATCAGAAGTGTCCAGTCACCCAAAGTCTAATCAGAAGTGTCCAGTCACCCAAAGTCTTATCAGAAGTGCTGAGTCACCCAAAGTCTAATCAGAAGTGTCCAGTCACCCAAAGTCTAATCAGAAGTGTCCAGTCACCCAAAGTCTTATCAGAAGTGCTGAGTCACCCAAAGTCTAATCAGAAGTGTCCAGTCACCCAAAGTCTAATCAGAAGTGTCCAGTCACCCAAAGTCTAATCAGAAGTGTCCAGTCACCCAAAGTCTAATCAGAAGTGTCCAGTCACCCAAAGTCTAATCAGAAGTGTCCAGTCACCCAAAGTCTAATCAGAAGTGTCCAGTCACCCAAAGTCTTATCAGAAGTGCTGAGTCACCCAAAGTCTAATCAGAAGTGTCCAGTCACCCAAAGTCTAATCAGAAGTGTCCAGTCACCCAAAGTCTAATCAGAAGTGTCCAGTCACCCAAAGTCTAATCAGAAGTGTCCAGTCACCCAAAGTCTAATCAGAGTAGCCATTCTCCCAATGTCAGTTAGACTATTTAATATTTTGTCTTAAACAACCCTGAATTCCTTTTTGACTTTTTGAGAAAATGTAAAAATGAATACATGAATTAAATGGTACATAACTATACTTGATATGAATGTACATGTGTATGTGTATTATCCAATAGTGTCAAGGTAACAGAATATATTATAATATCTTTAATATAAAGATGATACCCATAGTGATAGGAGAGGCCAAGTCCTCTGATCTGACGCCAAAGAGGACCTTCACACTGGGTCATGTACTGTATGAAGACCATTACAGCTGGGAGGTCAGCATCCATAAAGGACGAGATGCTGGGTACAACCTGTATCAGATAAGAAGATTCTACTGATCCCACCCCTACAATCACACATGTTTCCGGGCTCTCTGCATACCCAAGGTTATACTCATATGTCTGCTTCATGCAGGAACTGAAAAAATGATCACACAGGTATATATATAGATGCTTTATAGAAAAAGGACATACAGACATACATACATATGCTTAATATGAAAAGGTCATACAAGGATATGTATACATAAACTATATATGGAAAAGTCATACAGATATATGTATATATAAACTTTATGTAAGTACTTTTCTGTATATAAAGATTATACAGATATGACAGACTTAGACAAACACATTTATAGGCCTACCTCACATATTCACTGAATCAGATGCATCCTGTAGGTAAATTCAATAAGTATATACAAGTATTGAAATGACAAAGCAATTTTCTTCTTATAAAACAATGCAGTAAAATATATATTTATTCCAAAATGTCACCTCAAAATGAATTGTAGAGACACAGACAAACCTTGTAGTTAAGATAAAATTTTGCAATAGCTGTTGATTTCTGTAATTTTCTTATAACATCTAAATGTTTTGATTTCAGATGGACATATCAACAACAGGAAAAAGCAACCCTTGTAGAGATTACATCACAATGGTAACTATTTCACCAGGTTTAAAATGTATCAGAGTAAGAGCAGCTAAATGTTTCCCATTGTAAGTCAATCAGAGTAAGAGCAGCTAAATGTTTCCCATTGTAAGTCAATCAGAGTAAGAGCAGCTAAATGTTTCCCATTGTAAGTCAATCAGAGTAAGAGCAGCTAAATGTTTCCCATTGTAAGTCAGACATTTACCTCATTGGTTCATCTGGGACGTCACTGGGTACAAATTGTATCCACGGTGACTGAGGAGATGGTGTCAGAGACTCTACGTTTGCTGACAAGTGTATTCTAAGGTTACTTGGTCTGGTTAGGGTTTGCTTTAATACTTCTATATCTTTTAAGACCTGAAAAGAGTTAAATTCAGGAAAAAATCAGAATTACACTCCCAAGCCTCTAATGATTGTTAGTACCAATTAGGAGGGATGGAAGATGTACAGTTACAGTTAATAAAAGTCAACATCTAGCCCTGAATCTATTGTGGTGGAATGCTGAAGCTGCGGTGACAACATTGACTGAAAGTTACTCATACTGTATAGCAGGTTATTTTAGCGAGTGTAAAATTTAGTGTTCTGGGGTGAAAATAACTGGTGTTTGATTTAACAATTCAAAACTTAAGGATTGTACTTCTTCATACAGTTACACAAATTGATATTCAAAGTTGAACTGCAAACATTTCAAATATCTATTTGAATTTTTCTTGATTTGGTAAACATAGTTTGCTAGTATAAAGGATGGAAAATAAAAGAGGAAAACTTGTGTAGTTATGACTAAATAGCAATCACAGGACTATTGGAATTGATCAGTGATTGTAAAGATATGTTTTTTTTTAATTTGACAGTTTTCAAAATATTGTAAAGTTTCACACCTCAGAGAAAGGCGAGTCTCAAGAAACATAAGTTACCTGTATTTGGGTATATATGTGACAAGTCTGGATCTGACCGTCTAAGTCTCTCATGTAACAAACACAGCACGTAAGCATATAGTTTTGTTTACAAAATGATAGAAAAATGAGACTTATACAGATGTAATGAAAATAAATTTTCCTTTCTGATGGTATGAGATTTTAGATAATTGCTGAGACATAAAGGACGTCCATTTAATGTTTACATTTATAATGTATATATAATGACAAGGCACTTATTCAAACTCTTTAAATTACGAGTGTATGTAACTATTTAGTCAATCTAATAGTTCTATATGTGTCCCTCCTTTAGATTTATGGCTTAGTAAATACACTTATTTATTTAGAAAATAAGTAAAATCCTATCCTGCTCTTATCTATAAGTCATTTCTAAATTTATATCAACCATGACAGAATCGCACATTTGTGTGATAGAGCTGCACAACAAGCACACAGATATGCAATTGTTTATTTTGTCCAGTTTCCTATTGTGCATACATCACACCCACATCTGTAATTCTGTTGATACACTTTCTTCAAACAAACACTCTACTTAAATAAATTACTATACAGTAATAGTGAGTTACTGACAATTGACCTCTAGCTATTTTCACAAGAACTTCATTTAAATCGCTCATGCATTCAAAGAGCAAAATTATTCATTTAAAATCATATCAGCACTTTTCTTTTTAATTGGATCTACATCTAGTTTCCAAGAAATATTAAATCTTTATTGATACTATAAAATAACCTTGGATTCCATCTATCATTCATCATGTATAAATATATAAGACAGTAATCACTGAAAGACTTAACCTTATCTGGGTCTGTTTCCAGCTGTTTCAGTGTGTTTTTTAAAAACTTTTCCTGCCTCAGCATGTTCGTCACAGTCACATTACAGTCTACAACAAACAAAATGTCATTTTACCAAACAAGAGATAATTGTGTCACCAACTGTATTGGTCCTATGTTTTCTCTTTTTGTGCTTACACTGTAACTATTTGTTATACTACCATGTAGAGAATGCATTTGATAAAACAATTCCACAAGGACAACCTACCTATGAAATCTGAGGAAGATCCAACAGTACTTTCTCAAAATATAGTGATAACAAGATTTGTTTTAAAAACAGACAGATGTCTGGATAACAGATAAGAGACACAGGACAATCTGAACAGCCCATCATCTGATGGTGGTAAGCTAAAACAACCATCAATACTTGGGATGAATTGATAGCGAGATATGATGTGAAATCTTTGTATCACTATCTCCTATTGCATTTTAAACTGTACCTTTGTGATACACCATGTCTCCTACTACGGTGCGTACAACCTTTATTCCCTTGCGTTTACTGCTGGCTACATCACTAGCAAGTCTCTGTGCTACAATCTTCAGCCGGTCCACTGTGACCTTTGACCTGTACAATAACTCCTTCATCCACTGTATGCCTTTCTCATACTTGTCTTTCTCTAACTGAAAATGAAATGTTTCCATGGTTTCCTATCACCTCTACAAAAATTCAATAGTTTGTTTTGCTCACAAAATTAATCTCAATGGATATATATAAACAAGTGGCTCAGAGGGCCTGTATTGCTCACCTGGATATCTATGTCAATAATCAAAACTATTTTTTAGAAGGAAAATATTTCCCCTGATGAGCCTCAACTCACAGATACAGCTTCAAAGTCCCAAGGAGTTGTTAATCTCTTTATGTCTAGCAATGTTATTAAGTTATGGAATGATAATCTCAATGGCTTCAAAGATAGTCTGTTCTGGGGTGGGACCAGACCCCAGGACAAATTATCAGTTTTAATTGTGTTTATCTCCTGATGCTCAGTAATGCTATAGTTATTCACTGGGGATCACAACTGTTTGAAAGAACCAAAGATCCAAATGAATTATTGATGGAGCAAAGCAAACTTGGAGGTCAGATGTTTCCTATTGGGCCCGGCTCATCTGGCCCCAGGGGACTAAAAGCTGTGCTTTATACAAAAATGATTTCACTTCACCAAGCATGCTTCAGACCAAATTTAGACAATATCCTACAATCACTGAAAAAATGAGAAGTTTTAAAGAAATTTATCGATTTTTCTTGTTAGGCTCCACCCCGCTGGCCCCAGGGGGCCGAGGCAATACAGTGTATCATGCAATTCCTGAAGAACAAGGTAAATTTTAGACATTTTCTCAATTGGGCCCCGATTCCTCAGGCCCCAAGGGGCTGAGACCCACCATTTATACAAAACTGATTTCCCTTCACCCAAGCATGCTTCAGTCAGGTGACCTAATACTAGACAAAATAAAAAGCATTATGTAGATTAACCAGTAGGGACTAATCTGGCCAAGGCTAGAATGAGAATAAAACTCCTACGTTTTATTCATTTTTTTTTTTTTTGCCATTCTACAAATTGGCTGATTCTTTTAAACATAATAAATGACATCAATGAGTGTAACTTGTCTTCATGTACCTCTTACAAGGGAGATAATCTGTATCCTTGCTGGCTTCTAAGATTTGATGTATACCTATTGTTTATCATTCTTTTTTTCCAAATCCATTCCCTTAGGTATAAAGTTCAGGTTCACAGTACAGCCTTGGTTTTTATTTGAACAATCTACAACCTCATGCAGAATACTGGTACATTGTGATCATATCCCACATATGTTATTAAAACCATCTGGAGGTGTCACCTATCATACACAGTGAGCCTACCTGTAGCTGGAAGTGGACCACTTGGGGGTAAGCTCCACAGGAGAATGTCCCTGTACTGATTGCCCCTAAACTGGCACCATAACTCAACATATCTGCTTCCAGCTGCTTTACGATCTCCTCATGAGATACAAGTTCTAGAGGAAAAAGACAAAAATTAAGATGATATCAATCATCCAGCAACACAATAGTACCAAAATGTACAACTAACTGTCCAGCAACCTCTTCAATACAGTCTATCAACCAATTCTGAAGCAATTAAAATAATGAAATTTGGAATAGGGCACATATTTTGACCCTAAAAGTTCAAAATGAAACAACCCTGTTGAAATTTTAAGAGTGAGCTATTTCCCATAGATATTTCTTGGGGTTGAAAAAGTCAACAGTTTACTGATGACACAATTTACTGATATCATTTATATAATTAATATTAAACAATCAAAGACAGAAATGTCTGTACCTCCATCCCTTAGAATCGGGCTCTCAAACACAACCTGGCACAAGAGTGGTAGATACAACCTCAGGTCCCGTGACACACTGCTGGAGTCAAGTAGAGCACTGATCTGTAAATAAACAAGTTGCTATCACTATGAACCTGTATTGTACATGTGAAAATGAATACACACAGAGGCAGATTTTACAGAAAATAAAGCATTTTCTGTTGACTTGTACAATCAAATCAAAAAGTTATATTTCAATATGGACTGAAACATATTTGGAAATTCATTTAGAAAATTTTTAACTAAAATTTCTGTCTTACCTGGACAAAATTTGTTTTCATGTCATCAAGCTGAAATCTAAAAGGGACTTCATCCAAAGGGAATTTCAAGTTTGAATTTCCAGTTTTGGGGTTAAGATTGGAGGAAGAGTTGATGTGATGAAAGTGTATACTAGAGACATCTGGAACTGAAACCTGAGTAAGCACATCTTCTGGTGCCTCTTTCTGAAATCAAACAATGTTCCATTGAGAATCCAGAAATAAATATGCTGTTTTTATTATCCGTTTACACTTAAATGATTTTCAAAATGTCAAAAACTGATCTTAGGATACTTGGTTTTCACATACCTTATCAAATTTTAGGTCACAAAGTAGACTGTCCTGGCAGTTTTTAGTGCACTCTCAAATCAAATAATGATTTTCTTAATTCATCTATATTTTGGATTACATTCAAAACAAAAAAAGGCATTTATCACAACTTTCACAGACAATATCTCACATACATCTTTATTATGAGATAATAAATCCTTGTTATACAGAAATAAATCCCAGAACTGATATTTTATGATTTGCCTGAACAACACACCTCATTTTCCTCTGTTGCTTTTTCAAGTCTTTCACCAAGTTTCTTCATACCATCTTCCCCTAATTGTTCCTGCTGCTTAGCAACTCTGTCTTTTTCTTTCTGTCCCGACTCTTCCATGAAGGATTTACTTGGTACGCCTTCTATCTATCATTGCATAAACATGAAGAAACTTCAACATCCAGTACATGTTAATAAAACAACAGAATCTATTCCCCGAGTGAGGTACAGATTCTTCAACTCCATTGAGACCTGAGTTCAAGACACTAGGATCTCAACTCAAAGGGAAAAATTGTTAAGTTGGCAAACATGACACTGGCCAAGTGATTGACCATATAATTATCTTTCCCCCAAGGGCTGAGATCACCCTATCTTGCCATTAAAGGGGTGAATAATTATTTTTTCTATAACTTTTTTGAGTTTTGACACATGTAATACTATTGCTATTTCAATATTTTGTTGATGTCACATTATCTAACTGTTACTGTAACAACTTACCATTATCTTGACATCCCCCACCCCCTCCCCCTTCCCTACTCCTCTCCATAGGGTATGACAACAAAATCTCTAGTCAAGTACTATATTCCTCTTGTGTTTTATGTTCATAAATACAAATTATTAAAAGTTCATACCGAAGTTATCTTGAAGTAAGCCCATATGTGTTAAAAAAACCTCCCACATCTATTGTAGTTTCTGAAGTAAAGCTTAGTCATTGTCCAGAAATAAACCTATTCTCTAACATGTAATGTTCAAGGCCATCTAGGCATCAATATGAAGTTATGATATTACCATGGACAAATCGATAACATCTTACCACAACTTGGACATCACTGAGTAAAAACTTGGCCAGCAGACTCTTCCAAAAATCTTCCTTCTCTGTTTTCATCTTCTGGTGCTGAGTGACCACATTTACACGTGCATCTGTCTGTCAATAATATTCAGATGTAAGAAAAAATAAAACATCAATTCATCATATGAAATATCTATTCAGTAATATTTTTCCCGTGAAATTTCCATAAGCAGATTCAAAGTTCAAAGTTTATCTATCATTCTGCAAAATGTATACCTGTAGTACTTTTGCCCAGTTTTAAACTTTTGCTCACCTTCAGGGTAAAGAAGAAAAGAATGAAATAGGACCAAAAACAATGTGCAAACAAAATCGTAATTACTGTTTGAAAGAGAAACACTCTCTCAGCATTTGTTTCTTCTCTCCCAATGAACTGCTCTTTTAACATAATGTTAAAATTCATACATAAACACATATTTTAACTTTAACATTAAACTTTAGTTAGCCTTTTAATTTCGCAAAATGTACAAAAGAGCATTTAATCAAAATCCTATCTCTTAAAAGAAGGTTTGTACTACAACAACTGTGAGCTAGTTGATCACTGATCTATTAGTATCACTAAGAATAAAAAACTTACATCTGCCTTGTCTTGACTGTACAGGAAGTCCCCAATGATAATGAAGGACATTGTATCATGTGGAGAATCCTCTATATGGCGGAGTGACTCCAGAATCTTACGGTGAACTATACTGTCAATCCTTGCCATGTCTAATGATCCTTCATGTGTTGCTCTCAGTACATCATTTACTCTGAAAACCACGGAAAGTCATCATTACCAATTTTTGTCTGAATTGGAATCACAGTTCAGGTTTGTATACTATCAATACCTCTGCTGAACTAGTTTTCATGTTTTCTTTGCTTCGGGAATTCTTTCGGATAAAGGAATTTTGTTATGTGTGAATATTAACCTGGAAAATGTCTGTGAGATGCAAATGCTCCCACTCCCACAAAAAAATTGTAACACTGACAAATTTCTAGGAAGAGTAATGGTTACCTTAACCTTGGCCTATGGTACTGTCATTAAAATTTGTGTAAAGTTTGATGTAAATCCCGTAAGAAACTATGGTAGCCTGACTGATGCTGAGACAGATATGTGTACCACTTAGTCCCTATAAAACTCACAAACTGCTGAAATTATACTTACTTTTGTTTGACCTCAGTTAGTTTTGATGTTGTCACATTTGTGAAATTGAAGTATAAAAGTATTTCCGTGTTCTCAATAATGCTTGCTGATATCTGAATGATAAGAAAGACATTCCCAATCTAAGACGTTATAGAGTACAGGTTTCATCGTGAGTATTGTGATTATAAAAAATCTGTAGAATGTTGCTTCCTAGAAGTATTCAATACATTTGGTAAGGCACTAAATTACCTCATAATGGTTCTTTCTTAGACAATGGGAAATAAAACAATATATTATTTACTTTTTTATTGTGACCACTGCATATAGTGACCACTATCTATAGTGACCACCTGCTTACTGTGACCACTGCTTAAGGTGACTACCTGTCTTCTTTGACCTCAGCCTACAGTGACTACTAGTATGACCATTGCTGATGGTGACCACCTGTTTACTGTACAACTACCTATGACCACCACCTGTCTACTGTGACCACTGACAATGGTGACAACCGACATACAGTTGCCATCTACTCCTATAATGACCATTTCAGTGTATCAATTGGCTAGATAAATTGCCTCGACTGATCACCTTCTTACCAACTTATAATAACCATCTGTTCAACGAAGCTATCTGTTCAAAGCAATTGGTTTGCAATGATCTGTGCCATTTTAACATGTAATAATTACTACATATTTCTAAGACTACCTCTCTCTGTATAAATGTTACCTGTCTGGAGTAGCCACCAGCATATAAATACTATTAAATTTTTGAAGTGCTATTACAGACAGAATATGTACCTGGCTACAGTAGGGGTCTTCAACTTCCACAAGTTCCTTCTGAAGGGGTGCGATAGGTGAGTCTGATAGGTACTCTTGAAGAATGTGTAGGGCATTCATCATATACTGCTCCTGTTACAACACAAGGTCACATGACATAATGGATACTTTAATGGCTGTAATATAATTGAAATTCCTGTATGATAATGATACATACAAAAAATTATTGTATGGTAAGGCCACAGCTCAAATCAATGTATGATAATTAAACAAAATGTTTTCCCGATTTTGATAGACAGGTGTCTGGTGTGACATTACATACCACATTAAATCCACTTTTTACCAATAACTGAAGCACCTGTTCGAAACAGCTGTTCCTTGTAAATTACAAATACCATAAAAGATGGTTTAATTTATTGAAAATATCCTAAACTTCACTTTCAAGTTACCTTAACATGTGGCCCTCTCCATGCCATGTTTACCATACCATGTGTTTCTTCATCAGCTGCGTAGGGAATACTGACAACAATAGGTTTCTCTAGTTTCGGAACCTTATTCATCCAGGGACGAGTAAAGAAAGAACGACTTCCCTGAAAGTGTCATTGCAAATAACAAATTATCACTATGTAAGGGAAAACAATTTTCAACTCCAACATGGCAAGTATTCTTATAAAGACATGTACATCTGTGACTTTCCTGCAGTTCAAACACAGAAATGTCTGTCCAAAAACAAGGGGTTGACTTACTAGCAATGAAATAATATTTGTAATTCTACTGGACTGCAATAGATATGAGTGTTTTATTTCTGAACTCATGCTTACTGGTATCTCACTGCCTGCTATACGACTTGACAGATCTCTACAGAATTATGAAACAACTATGCGTATTTCAGTACCTTTGCGATGATTTTGTTCTCAACAGGCTTCAGAGCCGTAAACACTTCCTCCGCTGACACTTGACCAGTGATGATGAGACAGAGGTTCTCAGGGCGGTAAAATTCACGATGGTAATCGCACACCTAAAAAAAAAAAAATGATATCAAATGCTATGCATGATGCAACAGAAGTCAAAGTCTACAACATTAGGAGTAACAACCAAAAAAAACAAGAGGCCTGGCGATCTTGACGGTCACCTTAGATAAGCAATATTGAATATAAAGGTTAAAAGATAGTTATCAAATGTCATGAAACAGATATTGTGACACTGAACATATCATCAAAACTGTCATCCTATACTGATAATTATTACAAAGTTATTTCCAAAGGCAAATAACTGACATCATGCTAAAAAAAATGCAATTTTTCTATGAAAATTACAGTCAAGTCTAAAAAACAAAAATCCTCCCCAGGAAGAAATGTGAGACTCATTTTGTTAATTAAAGCACCTTAAGATGCTTCCAACCATGAAGAGCATTTGATTCTACCACATCTGCATGTTGAGAAGATTTTTGAAATTTTAGTCAATTTGACCCCTTTCGGCCCCGCCCATCAGCCCCTGGGGGTTTGTCAAGACCATAATGGGCATACAATCAAGTTGTCATCCTTCACTTATAATTCTAACCAAGTTTGAAATATTTTGAATGGAAATTAAACAAATTATGCTAAAAAACTATTTTTCCTATATAACTATAGTAAACTTCACCCCTTCCCCACTAGGAAATGTGAGACCCTGGGGCAATGAAATTAATCATTTTGGTAAAGCACCTGAAGATGTTTCCATTCATGAAGAGTATTAGTTTCTTCCATATCTGGGTCAATTTGACACTTTTTGGTCCCGCCTCTCAGGCCCCTGGGAGTTGGGGACTGTATAATTCACAATTTTGCTTCATCTTACACCAGGGAAAGTTTCTGCAAAATTTCATTGAAATCAGATCAGGGGTTTTGAGAAGTTTGAAATGTTAAATTGCTAACGGACACACAACAAAGGACGCCTGATGAAGGTGATTGCAATAGGTCACCTGATTATAAAAGGAATCACACAGTAGTTAGTGTTGGTAAATAAGAATTCCTGATCATTCTAATCATCTCTTTTGAATCTTCAAATAACATAAATTATCATGATAGGCTCAGCAAAACTTAATTTATCAAATTTCCAAAAACAAATGCTAGCTTTAAAATATATATGTCTTTCACATAATGGATGTTTAAAATCATCTACCTTTTGGTGTGAGGTACTATCACGAAGGTTAGCCATGATACCGCCTGTCTCAGACTTGTACCCACAATGTCCCGGATACATAGCACGGACCATCTCCAGATGACAGCGACTCTCACCAGTATTCTCCCGTGCCTGCATCTCACAATAAACCACCCCAGCATTCTCTCCTTCCCCATTTACATGGTGAACTTCTGTCACATAACCAGACTCCTAAAGGCCAATGTAAAATAACTCTTTCTTTTACTCATTCTATAACTATACACTGTAAGATCATTGTTTCACGCTGATTAATTTTCAAAATTTTATTTTCATAGACTACTGCACGATTGAACTTTGCTTATTTTCAGTCATGGATATATATATATATATACATATATATTGGAAAATATTCATCCTTCTTGTACATGTCTACAACTACATAATCAAGAACTGTTTGCGCTGATGTTCAGGTACAGAAAAAGTCCTGAAGATGTTAATAAGAGGAATTTAACCCAAGGAAACAAATACAACATTACTAACATCACAGGTTATGAATCTTTCCACTAAATGGCACAATGCTTTGTAAACAACACAATCATATTTAAGCCCAACACAAAATAAATCAAGTAACCTTGATATGAAGATCCAATTAAAAGTTTTTATTCAGGAACATTTGATACCAAATAAAGTGTAATTGTATAACTATGCAAACTGTCTTCAAATTCTTCCTCTCATGAATAGCCTACTTACAAATGAAACAAAAATAAAATTGGAGAAAAACATTTTTATACCTAGTTATCAAATATCAAATGAAAGAAATGTAAGAATTAAACCTGATGTCTGCAACAGATGTGAAGGAAGGTCTTTTTGAAAACTTCAAAATTTCATGATTTTCTTTATAAGATAGAGAAAATTCAAGCGAAAGATGAATCATTCTGAACCACAAAGTTAAAGGAAAGGATAAAGACCATTATCACTGTAAAGACAACCTCTTCCTCATCAACCAGTAACAGGATATAGAGCTACATTTTAGACTCCAGACTCAAATATTTGCATTCGATCCAGCTGCAAGTGATTGATGTGATGATTTTTTCTGCAGACTTTAAAAACACTTAATAATAAGCAAGTATAATAGGAATATGTACAAACTGTGAGTGTTGGGTACAGGATGTGGTCGAGGTAATAGGGAAGGAGCTTAAGGAAACCTTCACTGCCGGCATTGGTCATTGTGTAACAGGTGTGATCTGTGTCAGTCCAGGCATTTGTACCAGAGGCCAAGCATCTGTTAGCCAACAGGTCAAGTACTCCCTACAACCAAAATAAAGTGAATATAGTACGTCAAAAATCTTTTCAGAAATAAAATGAAAAACTGGATCCTGTATGTCCGAGATTTTTAAATGAATACAAAATAAATTAAAATAGTAATACAATAAAATGTAAAATATGTAAATTAATTTACTTTAAAGTTTGACTTGGTTGAATTTATCAAATCACTAAACCGATCCGACTTGATTAAATACTATCACATCACTAAACACACCTGACATAGTGGAATTTTTTTTATACTGATATACTTTTTGACTAAAATTCTGATATACAGGATATAAGTACTAAAGAGTAAGTCATAATTGTAGGAGATTTTACTTTATAAGGGTAGTCTTCACTGCCAAGGAAGATGAGGTGCTCCAACGTATGGGGAAGTCCATCATCATCATGGGCTTCTGTGGCTGATAGTACAAAAATTACCGTTAAACCTAGCATGTTATATACAATAGGCCCACAGTCAAGTGTGCCCATTTACATGGCTCTCGATCTGCCAGATTTTGGGCCGATATTCGGTCCCATCCCCAATGCAAAATAGTATCTTTTTTTCCCAATTTAGACCCCAAGTTTCCCAATTCTAAGGAAAACAACATTATTTTTCCCAATTCTAAGGGCTCCGGTCCCAAAATGGGGTGTGAGAGCCCTGATTTAGCAGAGTTTTCATTAAACCCCTAAAATTCATTCAGTTCAAATATAAATCCTTTTAGCTAATCAGAGATACCCATGTTTTTTGTGGCAACTTCAAAACTTCAATATACACATTAGAAATAATGTACTTTTGTCTTTCATTGATTGTCTGATAAAGAAAGATTGACATTTCACTGGGAAATTTATTTTTCATACTACAGTGCAACCACTTAAGATCATGTTAAATTTGTCAGGGGGAAATGTGATAGTATGTGGAATGTGACATTAACAGTTGACATGTTTATTCAGATGTCTATACCTGGAAGTTATGATGATTAATTAAAAAAATAAAATATATTTCACATGTTTTGTTCTTTTTTTCACTATTTTACTTAAGTGTACCCTGCACTTTTTACTTTATTTAGCTATAAAAATACTTCACAGTATGTAATAAAAGGTCAAGAAAGTGTGAATGTCATAGTTAAAAATGAAATGCACACCTTTTGTCTCAGAAGTGATTGCCTTGATATGGGTAGCCTACATCTGTGATGTCACAAGTTCAACACTGTCAAAAAAGTGCTATAGAAATCTACCAGGAAGCTTCCATTGTGTGTCTGATACACGAGCTCTAGCTATTTATGTGATTTAACCTGTTAACACTTACTTCTGTAGTTATATTCTAAGTGCTACATACATAAAGAAATTACTTTTTACAATTTCAGTTATGAAATTAGGACCTTTTAAGTAGACAAACAATGTACTGTAAGCGGGTGTCTAAACACACATGCAGATGCTACCTAAATAAATCTGTATTTTTATAATTCATGAACCTAGTGAGTGTAAATATCATATTTTTATCATCCAATTGATCTCTAGAAATTACCATAAACTTTCAATTTATACAACACAATTAAACCAACAACACTACAAATTCAGTCAGATTCACAAAAGTGCACCCACCATTCCTTTCTTTACAAATAGAGATATACTATTGGTGCCTTTAGCTTGCAGAAGAAAGAGAGAAGAAAAAGTTGGAGAGAGTATCATGGCCAGACACCAGTACTTACAGAAGGGTTCATGGAGCCATTGTCTTTGGGACCATTTTGGACTTTAAATTTTATAACACGCAAAAATTGATGGCAGGTTGCCTCCCCTGGTTTGACAAAACATAATCAATAGGTATCATTAAAGTATCAAAACATTCACATGACCAGGAAAGTGTATACAACCAAATTAAAAATGTATACAAAATAGCACAGTAATAAACTATACACATATTTGCCAACATCACCTCACACTAATTAGACCGGTTTTTTGCTGGGCTGATTTAACCATAAATCACATTAATAACTTAAGACCTTCAATGCATGATGTTTATTTGTAGCTGCCAGTGGAATTTTGCTTGGGTATAAATACATGCCTGATACAATTAAGTGTCTCTGGGTTGTGTCTTTTTTATATTAGATACAAGATAAGTGAGATCTTATGTTAACACTTTATTCATTTAAACTATATTGTATGTGAATGTGCAATTTCTTAATACTGTAATTAGAGGGCTGTCATGCATCCCAGTACACCTCAGACACGCATGCTCCAGCCAAATACACACCACATGTGCGTAGAGTAGGTCCAGAGAGGGCAGTGGCCGTTAATTCCCAATCATGATTATATAGCTTTTTGTCGTCATAACGGGAGTCATTGGCTATCACAACAGTCCCCTCTGGACCTCCCCTTCAAGGCAACAGGCTTTTAAAATCCAGATTCGACCACTAGGATGTAGCAGAAGGACAGATATATCCAATATCTCTACAAGGTGATCCAATATAGACAAACAACTGTCTATTAACAGAACATAATGAATAAATATAAGTAACAATATAGCATCATGACATGAGTGCTAACGCTAAGTATCCTCACATAAACGTGTGTAACCTTATGCTACCTAACATTAGTACCAGCAGACTATGTGCTCCTCTGGCCCTACAGGTCTACAGCTAACCAGTGTATACATGTGTCCTATGGATGTGTAAGCCCTAAGGCCCTGACTATCCCCTCGTAATACACATGGTTATTCTAGCACCCTATATATGTGAGCCGACCTTGCACTACTGGGTACTGTTAGCAGCACCACTACTGTAGTATCCTCCCCAGAATAAGTGGATCGGTTCTCTGATCCTTTAAAGACACTGAATCTCGCAGGAACCCGCTCTTTTTTATCCCCCTTAATGAGCACTACTCTACGACCGGTCAAACCGTATATAGTAAACAAAGTAAAGTGAACTTCCAGTGTTCATTTCCGTTACCCGTCTCGTAAAGTACAACTAACCAATAACCGCACTACACGTGTGACACGGCCTTGTAAACAAACAGACAGGTATTGGTTCGTAGCACCTAATCGACAGGAGGCATACGCTGAAGAAAAGCTCCACCCTACCAAAAATATATAACATATAAAACAACTAGGTCCTGCTACATCAGTAATAACAATATCAAAATAATGAACCTGTTCTCTCACAATACCATACAATATTGAAATCTTAAAGAAATGTATGTATCTGTCAACTTGTCAAATGTTATTACATACAAGACATTAAGCTGCGATGATATTACTCTGATAACTGTTAGATTTTTTTTTATATTGTGTTGTGTAATGGCGCATATTGATATAAGTTTAAGTGTATTAACATAACTAACAAAACAGGAGTATGAAATAGAGTAATACTGTATGTCAAATTTACATATTTTTACCTAAACAAAAATATCCATTAACCAATGGACCCTCGACTTGGGCTATAAAGACAGTCGTCCCAGTATTCTTAGACTTGTACTTTGAGACAGGAATGTTGCCATCAGCAGTAACATCATAGAGAAACTCAAATCCAGAGTCAGCCATGCTTCTGTTTTAGATCAACTCTTCCGGTTAAGGGAGACTATCCAACAGCAAAAATGGGGCTGTGTCAAAAGCAAATTAGATTAGATTTGAATGTTTCAAATGATTGCTGTTAATTGAATCATGATAGATTTGAGGCTATATAGATTTTGTTTTATTTCAAGATAAATATCATGGGAATTTAAAAAAACTATGAAGCACTTGATGCTGAATATTTTACAACATTTTGGTATATTATGACTTGGTTACAACCATAAATCGTGATGCCAACCAGAAAGTCCAACCTGTTCCGGTTTCAATGGCATTCTGGGAAATAAAATAAAACTCAACACGCGAAAAGAGATATGTCATAGGGAAAATGTATTATTTTGTTGAACGACATTCTTTCTGCTAATCTGTGAAAACATGACCTTAAATATGGCCACGGATGTAGACAGGAGATTCTATTCCAATAACCTGCTTTCAAATGAAGATCTAGGTAAGTTGTTATCCTTTGAACATGACTGATCATGATGTTGTTTATCGATTTTTCTGGATTTTTGATGTTATCAGTCGCTTTGTTTTAAATTATCGACGTAAATTAGAAACCTGTTTATGTTAATTGCTATGACTATCGGAATGTCGGTTTCCTTAGAACGAATCGAGTCTTAACTATCTTTATCGGCCAGCAGTATCTTTTACGATGGGGTGAATTTAAGTACGCCTTTCCCGGCCCCGATACACTTACCAGGAAATTATGAAATAGTTAATATCTCGAGAATAAAAAGTCGGATAAATACTTAAATGTTTTAAAAATCACTTTGAATGAGGTAATTTAGATATCGATTATTTTTTAATCGACGAATTGCATCTTTCGTGGAATAAAAACTTGTTCGCCGCACTCAACCGTGATATTTCCGATTTTTGGCAAATTACAGATATCAAACGTTTTATTTTTAATTCAAAACAATATTTATATCTGTCTGATTATATATATCAGTTTTACCAAGAGAAGACGCAAGCTTCACGTCTAATTTTGCATTTATTATGATCACGGGTTGTTTGTTTACACTCGATCCCCGGACTCGGACTCGTGCTTAGGGGAGGTCACTCCTTCGTTCGGATGTATGTTTGTATAAAGTGAAAAATATATAGAACCCTCAGTCATTCTTAGTATTAGAAGTAAGAATGTTACCAGGTCTTGCAACGAGGATAAAGTTCTGCATGAAAAACCGTTTTTCAAATTATTATTATTTATTACATATGTTTTGTAATTCTAATTAAGAACAATGATCATGTGGATCAGGGTTTCTGCCAGTGCGGGGTACGCGGGGTACAAATACCCACCTTAGCTTAAAGAAGGTGGGTTTGTACCCACCTTCTTTTTGCTGACCAATGTTTTTTTTAACAATGTTTTTCAAAGAGAAAGGTAGTATAAAAGTAGATGCAGATTTTGCCTCTCAAATGCTCGGAAAATGCATCTGAGAGCATGCAGATTTCAAATTTTTCTGGGGGAGGCCCAGACCCCCCACCAGCGGGTGCCTTTGGCGCTGGCGTCATGTTTTGTACCCACCTTCTTTCAAATCCTGGTGGAAACCCTGTGGATGATATATTGTTAATAATTTATGTAATCAAGAATTATATTATTTGATAAATAATGCTGTGTTATTTCGTAAATAATAGATTTGCATTCCTTATTCCTACAACCCTATTCAAGATATCTTATTGCACTGCTATCATTAACATTTCTCACACCTCCAAATAAATTCATCCTTCTAAAAATTTACATTTCATTCATTACTAACACATCTTTTCTGAAACCACCTATTACAACCAGCATCAGAAGTTAATATGTCATCAAAAACATTAGAAATATGACACCATCCCTGTGCTTCACAATCAACAAAAATATCAAAATAGAAAGTTCAATTCATTTTTTTTTTCTTAAAATTTTTTTTCATAGGAAATTTGGTAAAAATACCGTTTGAAATACATTCTGCAAGATATTGTCTCATATAATCTATGTCAAAATATAATTCTTGTCTCCCATTAAACCAATTGAAACTAAATTCTACCTAGTAAGCAATAGCGAAAACCCAACCTTCAACCCCATTTGTTAAATTGTTCACTAGTGCATCTCAAATGCTGTATAATATCCTATTCCTATGCTGATTTAGTTAAAAATTGTTTGTCTCTAAAAATATGATTCCAACCATAAACTACTTAAACGTTTGGTAAAATTTCTTCTAAAGAATTCTTAATCGCGGATTCCCTTTTAGTACTATGTATTGGACAGCCATTCAATAAATTAGGAAGTAGAAATTTGATAGACTGCCAAAAAAATTCATGAATCTGAGTTGATTTTTTATGATCAATCTAAAAATGTTACCGGAGTGATTTTGTTATTTTGAAATAAAATGCAGAAACATAAAAAAATCTCCTACTAGAATGGTTGTGTCACAGAACATGTACAATTTTTCATCTGAATCAATTTGAAGCAGTAGATTTAACTCATCCAATAGCTCCTTAATTCCTAAAACAAAATCTAAGATCTGGACCTATGACTAACTCATGACTATAACCTTCTATGTGATACATTAGTTCTAAAGTACTGTACAAGTCATTATGGCTAAGATGTTTCTCTTTCCTTGCTACTCTTAACTGATGCTTAACTTAAGGAGGACCTGATGTTAGCTCTACCCTGCAGACTTCCATGAATCTGATGCCCAGTTTGGTTCTTCTTAAATACTGAAGATTGGTTGCTATCAGTGGAACAAGTTACCTTAACCTGCTTTAAAATGGACAAAAAAAGTTCTCCTAAAATCATGCCCATTTACACCATTTCCATGAACAAAAATAGCTTCATGTCTGATGTACTTTGTATATAAATAATCTGTAGGTAACTGACTCCTGCTTTAACATATACATTCTGCGTTGAAAAGTCTTTGACTGTTTCATATCACCCTTCCTGGCACTTAAGTAATGAGTTCGTTTCCACATTTTCGATTGTCCTGAATATGATAGAACATATGATCTTGTGCTCATTCATCAATTAATCAATGCATTATCAACTTGTATGTTAAGTAATTATCTCGTTGTTATTCCTATACTAAATAATTATCTAATTGTAATGTTAAATCATTTAAAAAGAACTAACATGGAAAAAATAAATACAAATGTGATATATTAAATTTTGAAATAACAAAGTAAAAAACATGGTGTTAAGTTACATATATTGGATGCATATTGTCACAACACAACAACATAAGTCCATTAGGTTTTCTTTCTCATTGTTGAAGTGAAATAAATAACTATATGTAATGTACATGATATCTTGTAAAAATGTATGGGGGGGGGGGATAACAGTAGTATAAGAGTTACATTTGCATGACATATTTTATTTCAAGTTCATTTCTACTGCCATAATTGAGGTGTTATAACATATTCAGATAATAAAGATTGTACACTAATTTTGATGAGAACAAATCAAAATCTTCTGTATCGATACAGAATGAAGGAGTTACCTCCCCCTAGCACAGGGTCTGGAGATCGCATGCATACAAATGACCCGCAGTCATAATAAATGTAAGATTAGATACAAAGTATGTCCTATTTCTGGGTGACACTGATGTATTTACAATCAGATAGGAATAAATATTGTTTGGAATTTCAAAAAATCTTAAATCAAACTTTATGATAGCTGTAGTTTGCAAAAAATTGAAAGATTTCACGGTTGAGTGCTGCATACAAGTTTTCACTTCCTGAAAAAAACAAAGCACTGGTTTAAAAATTTCTCGATACCTAAATTGATTCATTCAAAATGTCAGATTTTTAAAACATTTAAGTAGATTTATGTAGAAAAATTATTGAGATTTATTCAATTTTCGTTCTGGAGTTATTAATTATTTCTTAATTTCCTGGTACAGTTATCAGGGCCAGGGCCTGGAACGGAGTACACAAATTCACCCCACCATCTATTACTACTTCCCTTCCCCCTTCACCTGGATTTTGAACACATTTTGGTACTTCGACATTTTTGTCCTAAAAGTTATGCTTTGAAGAAAATATGTCATTGTGTAAGTAAGAGATAATTGTTTTAGTATACCGAAATAATTGATTATGTGAAAGAAGAGGCGAAATGCACATTACTGCCGAGCGTCCAATAGGAATTGAACCCAAGTCTAAGGGTGGTAATCCATAACACTGTGTGCTAGGAAGATCAAATCACACTCATCCACTGAAAGGCCAAAAGGCCATAATAGTGAGCATAAAACTTGTTTAATAACTAAGTTCCCTACCAAAGCTATAGATAATTATTAACCGAACATTTCAGGTTTTGGGTTTTATATGTAATACACTAAGATAGATGGATATTGTAAACTTCCAGTCAGTTTGAATAAGCAGGCAATGGGAGCACATGATTTTTAAAATAAGATCAATATTTTATTGACTGGTGATAAGTTAAACCCTTACTATTTTTGTTTCACTCACAACTGAAATTCTTTTAACACATCATGAAATTGTATGTATGCCCAATTGTTGTTAAGGATTTTGGCGTCACCATAATCACTCCATGTGGTCACTCTTCACATTGATGGTAAACCCTCTGCTAGCAGGTTGTAAATGACAGTCTTAAGCACCTGGTACTGCCAGATTATGTACATAATTGTTTTAGCATGTGTATTGTCAATTGGAAAGAGCAACAGTGTTTCACGTCACATGTTGGTGAGGTAATATTGCACAAAGTTTCCCTAGTTATTACACCAGATAGATAATTGTAACACTCATAGATGTACCAAGTAAACACTAATAAGAGGATTTTAAAAAGCATTAACCCATGGCATTACCTCTAAGTTAAAATTCACATACTGATATATCAGTTCTAACTTCAGTCATTACACATGCTGATATATCAGTTCAGTCATTACACATGCTGATATATCAGTTCAGTCATTACACATGCTGATATATCAGTTCTAACTTCAGTCATTACACATGCTGATATATCAGTTCAGTCATTACACATGCTGATATATCAGTTCAGTCATTACACATGCTGATATATCAGTTCAGTCATTACACATGCTGATATATCAGTTCAGTCATTACACATGCTGATATATCAGTTCAGTCATTACACATGCTGATATATCAGTTCAGTCATTACACATGCTGATATATCAGTTCAGTCATTACACATGCTGAGGCATGCTTTTTTCAGGCTTATATGTACATGCTTTTTTGTAACATTTTGGTATTTTAAAAGTCATTTTATAATCAACCTATTTTTTGTCAACATACTGAGAGTTTCCTACTTTGCGAGGACTTTTAAACATTTCATTGTAATTTTGTGTGATGTGACCTCTAAGTTTTCAAAACCATCATTTATTTTCACAAGCATAATATGATATAAATCAAATGTAACAATGTTTATTTGATTTTGTTGGGACTGACAGAAGGTTGACTGTAATTTTCTATATATCTGTTTAAAAGGAAACAATATTTCAGTTTCTGTAATTAAACTATGTATTTGCATATAATGAAGATATCAATGAACGATGGCAATATACTTCACATGCTTCTTGAAATAGTTATGGGTGTTTGACCATGCTTACAAAAAAAAATTAACCCACAATCTGATACTGTCGATTTTGTGACTGATCTGAAAAATTATATAACCAACAGGTAGCCATCTTGGGTTTTGAGAGTAATGTTTTGTTGTCACTCTATAAATCTCGAGAAATGTTGAAAGGAACATTCTCAAATTTCATATTTAGGTTCACCTTTTCACTAGTAATGATGATTGACAGACAGCCATCTTGAATTTTGACAATTAAAGTTTGTTATTGATATTTCTTTGTATATATGGGTTCCTCTTGGTCCCTAGTTGTACCCTTTGGAATTTGGGACATATCAGAAAAACAAAATTGACAACTGGACTTGACAGTTAAAGATTGTTATCATAGTTCAAGAGGAATTTTCAAATTTCATATAGTGTAGAAAGAAACAAAGAAAAAGGGAGAAATTATCTAACTTTTAATGAGAAAATAAAGATCAGACATCTCCATCATCATCGTCATCACTATTTTCACAGTTGTTGTAAAATTGATAATGTTTATCTCAGCATTAAATCATACATCAATGATTTAATCATTATGATAACATCAGTCATAAGTTACTCACCATTTTTTATATGTTATATACGAATTACTTTTCTTTGTGATAAATAAAGAAATTCGTTGCATTATCAATATACATATTAGACAGCTCATGTTACACAGATCTAGAAATCTGAAAAATATCATGTTGCTATAAAAAAACATCCAGGGGCAAACACTCTGACTCCTATGAGAACATCTACTATACATTTTCAATTTAGAGAAGTGAACAGGTTTGTTTAGCTTCTAACTAACATGACTGTATCAGTAGTTTTAATTGTGTAAGTTAAAATGGAATAAGTAGAATGACTTCAGGCCAACATGCTGAGTCTGGTGAGCTGGAACAGCATACCCCGTGGTAGATACAAATTTTATGGTGAACGGTAACATTGATATGGAGACATGATATCCCACGGGCTATCATATATATAGTGTATACATTATTACCATACGCATAGAAGCTTACAATTTGTGTCTCTCCAACACATTGATATTTTCACATCCTCAATCCAAGTTAAAAGCATGCTGCACTATTATTGTTAATTAAATCATGAAAATTTTATTCTAATACTTTGTAACAAAATTTTATTGCATTACACATGTTGAACCTTTTATAGGAAATGTACCTTTAGATAGGAGTATTGATTTTTCACTTACTGGTTCCATATAAACATGTATATAGGTACATGAAAAATTAACCACTACATCTACTTGGTAATTTAAATAAATTTAAATGTCACTTTTATGATTGTCTTATGTTTTATCAGACTATTGAATGAGTGCATGCACATTAAGATGTATGTATATTTAGCAGTACATGTATAAACTTGTGTATAGACAGGGAAGTACTGCTGTTGTATATCCAATGAACAGGCACAGTGTACACAGCTTTATTTTTTTTTCTGTTCATATATATGACGTACACTTCCTTGATTGTAAAAAGAAATGGGTTTTTTGAAAAATGTGTTAAATATGCTGTTCTGCCAAATCACTCAAAATTAATCATTCACCTTTTCATATCTACAAATATCTACATGTGTTAAGTGCTTCCTAAAGATTAATACTTTGGTTAAATCAATCCTTAAGCCTGTAGTTTTTCAACTTGATGCCATTGGCCATGGCTTATCAGTATACAATACAGTGTACATAGATATACAACTATAGGTAATGTACAGAGAGTGAATAGGTTTTATTTCATTATAGTACCCTTTTGCATCATAAATACATTTTCCTAAATGACGCAATTCTTTAATATTACAAACACTCAATAACTACCTTAAACTTAGATGGTATTTTCTATAAATAGCTTTTGATCAAATGGGACTTGATGTTTTGGAATTTAAAACATACTGCTTTAGACGGGCAGATACACTGTTCATAATATCTACTATCTAGGTATATTATTATACGTTTCGTATTCTACTGTGAAAGAAAGTGTGGATGTGCAAATATAGCTGTAACAAAACAGTGCTTTGCTGAAATTTCACTGAACATTGTTAACGATACAACATAATTATGAGTTAATGTAATTATACAGAAGCAGACATGGACCTGTCAGAGATACTTGGAGTGGATACAGCCCTAAGTCCTGAGGACTTGGTCCGCGATTTCCCTGATGACTTTCCAACAGTAAGTTCAATTCAACTCAATTATAAATCAAAATGATAAACACAATATGGTTAAATATATTTTCACAAATGTACCAAGTTTATGTCTGTAAGTTATATCAGTAATTCATCTGTTTTTTAACAAATTACAAATTTTCACAATAAGTTTGCAGAGTTTTTGTGTATAACCTACATAATGATTCCATTTTTTTTCCAACAGCTTCTCGTATACTAGTGCATTTTTTAAAAAAGATACTTGTTTGCTTTCAGCTGACTTTAGATGCCCTAAACAATGACACGTTCACAGCTTTTGCTGATTCATGTACCACATTCCATGACGATTTACAACAGGAGTTCAGTGACAGTTCAGACAGTGGAATTAGTGGTAAGTGTACCCCGTAGAATTAGTGGTGAGTTTATCATACTGTGGAAATAATGATGAGTATACACTGTAGAATTAGTGGTGAGTTTATCATACTGTGGAAATAATGATGAGTATACACTCTAGAAGAACAATGCAACAAAAATGCTGTCAACATCACAGAATCTTAACTGGAAATCAAATTTGATGAAATTAGGCCAAAGCATGGTCAAAAGAAAAAATGACACAGAGAGAAGTACAAGGAGACTGAGACCAGTGGTTCCAGAAGAGTAAGCATCAAATTAGACATGAGCTGATCATATTAGTACTGTGGAAAGAGTGATGAGAGTATATTGTGCATGCAGATCATACTATGTTATTGAAGGTGACTGTATACTGTAATTAATGGTAAGTTCACCATACTGTGGTTTGTGATGAGTTGTATCACAATAGAAGTAAATATGAGTTTGACTTTGTGATATGACAAAGTTAGTGGAGAGTTTATTGTATAATGTATATGACACTAAATATATTTGCTTTATACATAAAGTCACTTTATGATCACATTAAAATGAAAAAACTATTTTGAAGCTAGTCCATAAGAAATGAAATTTCATTTTATTTTCACCAGGTGTGACCGTGCAATATGAAAATCAACTATCACCTGATCTCTTGATTAAACAAGAACCTCTGTCTCCAGCATCCTCCTTGTCCTCTGAGGGCTCTGATGGGATAGTATCACAGGTGAGACACACATTAATGTAAACAGACTGGTTGTTAGTTGAAGCTGTGTCTTTTGATTATGAATTAGAACTTTAATAGTTCCTACACATTTTTATCAGCTTACATTTATTTTTAAGTAACTCTGAGAGAAGTTGGTCAATACTGCAGAGATTTTAATGTCTACAGAAATTTAGGTTTGAAATATCACACTGTCTGGATCCTCCAGCAGGGAAAAAACAAAGTCAAGACAAAATTTGATATCTGAAATACAAGGCTTGTTAAATATCATGAATTTAAGTTCTTTTTAATTTCTACACTGTAAAAGACTATAGGAGACAGCTTCAATGCAGATACAGAGTAGAATTTTGAATTAATGTTTGTTGTTCATGATAGTTCCAGTCATATTTCTCATTCAAAATATTTATGTTCAGAAGCGTATGACAAAGTATGTACATAAAGGTTAATAGCCAACCTTTAAAGGATTTCTGATTGTCAATAAAAATGTAAGGAAAGTTTTGTTCTAAGGAGCATCCAACAATATTTTTATGAAGAACTTTGTCATATGGTTTTAAAGATACACATACATATTTTTGAATTGTATCTTTTATCTTTTGATGTTATTTCTCGCAGTCACATAAGATGTACATAGTGGATCACGATGTGAAGGCGGAGAGTCCAACAAGCATTCCTCAGACCTTCACATTTATTGGTGACCAATCAGAGACCGGGGCACCAGTCATCATCAACGCTCCAGCAAAAACCTGTAGCACAGTCCTGACAGGGTTTGATACCTCTGTCAATATAAACTCCATTCTAAATTCAAAAGTGAAGATTCAGCCCAAACCACTGTCAGTAGATAAGACTACAACAGTACAAAAACAAGCCCTCCCAAAGACAGGTAATTAAAACAAACTCAACATTTGTACCTGTTCATTTTTAAAAATGATTTCATGCTGAAGAATTTGATTTAAATAAAACTTTGATAACATGTCTTTCATTTATTTATTATAATTGCTGATTTTTATAAAATTAAACTGTTGAGTTCCAATTCAAAATTGTTTGTTCGGTGTCTGTTTTTGTAAATATAATTATTTCTTTTATAACCTTTAATTCAGAACCTGGGAAACCATTAGTGCTAACGCCTGAAGAATTTAAGAGGCTTACTTCACAGGGAGTTCTAAAATTCCAACCTCCTTCTGCAAACCAGAAAACTAAGGTGGAGATTCCCAAGGTTACGACCACAGTAATCCCTACACCTCAAATCAAGATGGCTACCAGTCCTATTGTGCAAGTTGATCATGAGGTTTGTATTGTTTCAGGGTTTAGATTTTGAAAATTAAACTAGTAGTTCCAAATTCATTGAATTGGATCATCACATATATCCCCTTGGTTTCTGTGGAGCCCCGTAAGGATTGAATTTATGACCACTTGTTTCTGTCACTGTTATCAGTTAACTAAGCAGTACACAGAAAATGAAATCCAACGTCTGAGTAGATATTCCAAAGTTATGGTAGTCTATCACAGTGAAGTTACATGGTATACCTAGATTGCCAAAAAAGTTTGGTTGATGTGGCTACAATTAAAGCATAAAAACTACTTAACAGTCAGTGGCATACATATCAACTCTGCTACATTTTCTCAGTCACCTTCTATATTTAACTGCAGTCAGACTTTGTTGTTTCAAAGTTCAAGGGACCACCAAATAACTTTTGATACATCAAGACTTTGAATATTCGTAGTGGGCTATTTCAGCGTTTTCATGCTCATGACTATAGTTGATGACACAACATTTCTACCTGAAAGAACACATCAAATGCCAAAGCACAAGTTTAAATGAAAAGTGGCATTTTTATCTTAAAACAAAATATTTTTATTCATGAAAAAATGACAAAAAATTTTACACAGAAATCAACGAGGAATTGACAATACATTCTTGTGATTACATTTATGCCTTCATATCACGCTGTATGTATTTTACGGATTAACTTTAATGAAACAAGGCACAGCATTGAAGTGGACTTCACATGTTACAATACTTATTTCAAGACTGATACATAAATGTTATAAGTACTAATGAATTTCAAAAAAATCAAATTAATATGGTAATGTATTCTGTCCAGAAACGACAGCACTAACATCACACATCTGGGGTCATAAAAATAAGTGTGTATGCCGATGTTATGATGACAGCTGGTCTGAAACAGTAGGAGAATGCATAATTGACAGATAAATCACCATGCTTGTAATGCTTTTATGCTTAAAACTGAAAAGTGTTGCTTTGGAAATTAGCTAAATCACCATACAAGTGATAGGACTACCTGTGATTTTTTTCACAGTTTCGTAACTTAGACCTTACTATGTTATATTACTGCAATGCTGGCAGTGAACATCACATGACGTTCCATTAACTTTGATTAAATGTCATGGTTCGTAAGTAAGCACTTAAACTTTAATCTGCATGCAGTCATTGATTAACTTCCTACAACAGAGCTAGGAATGGGTCGCTCCTGTCCTTTCCTTTGCTTTTTGGTATGATTTAACACCAATTTAGCATGTATTTTGAGATTAATTGATAAATATATGGACCGAAAAATTTTGACAAAATGATAAGAAACACTCATGGATCTGTTGCCCGTAGTCAATCATGAAAATTGAGGATCACATCATTCTGTTGTAACTGACAGACAACAAAAAGTTCTGTTAGATATTGACAGAATTTTTAAATCCAATTTTCATGTTCAATTTTAATTTTCCAGATGAAGAATGTTAAAAGACAGCAAAGAATGATAAAGAATAGAGAATCTGCAAGTTTGTCGAGGAAGCGCAAGAAAGAAGTAAGTGTATACCTTTACAGATTTCTGTTATTAAGGTGAAAAACTGATAGAAAAGATATACAGGAAACACTGGTATGAGCATGGCCATTAACGCCAAGTTCTGCAAGCCAAGGTAACTGAAAAATTTACTAAATATACTTTAAATCATGTTTACAGTATCTACAAACATTAGAGGAACAACTGAGCCAGTACAATCAAGTGAATCAAAAACTGCAACAGGAAAATGAGGAGTTGAGACGAAGGCTATGTATTATGCAGACAGAGGTAGGAAATGTGATAGTCATTGTTAGCTAGTAAGTTACTCTGCCTTATAGAGCTATATGTCACCACTAAATAATCCTGATAAAACAGGTGTTTGATGAAGTTTTATATGTATATAGAAATACATTGTTCCTTTTACTACCTTCATGTTCATTGTGTCTTTTATACCTTATTTTTAGCTACAAGATAAATAAGTTCCTCTTGAAATGTTAATAACTGTACTTGATTTAAAACTGGCCATTTTGTTTTTACCAGAATGAGGAGCTGAAGAGTAGAGGTACTGGCATTGCTCCACCAGCCAAGAAAATCTGCCTCATGGCTGTTTTTGTTTTATTCACACTCAATTTTGGTACATTTAGGTAAGATCCTTATTAAAATATATAACCCTCTATAATACCACAAAATTATTATGTCTCCAGCCTTTTCCATTTTCTACATTCAATAAATTGGTTAAATGTAATTGATGAGAAATCAATTAGTGCTTTGCAAATTATACATTATTATGTTGAATTTCTGAATTTCAGTAATCTGATCTTAACATCTCGTGCTACAAGTCAACAGACCAACCCTAGTCCCAACCAGTTTGTTCACAAGGGAAGACAACTCCTTGCTGTACAAGAAGAAAAAGCTACATTTTCAGTAGGAAGCTTCATGCCAGATTATCCATTTAGTAGACTTAAAAAGTTCATGGAGGAAAATCCAGAGCATGCCAAGGAAATCAACAATAACACACTGTATCAACTGTACACGTGTCCATCATACTTTAACAAAACAGAGTCGATAAGGTAAGATTTGACCTGATTTGTAAACAGTATGATATGACAAGTTTATATAGGGTCTGAATATAGTAAGTCAATAAAGAGTTAAAATATAGCAGGTTTATATACAGACTAAATATAGTAAGTTTAGAGTCTAAATATAGTAAGTCTAGATAGAGTGCACATATAGTAAGTCTAGAGTCTAAATATAGTAGGTTTATATAGAGACTAGATATAGTAAGTCTAGAGTCTAAATATAGTAAGTTTATATAGAGACTAAATATAGTAAGTCTAGAATCAAAATATAGTAAGTCTAGAATCAAAATATAGTAAGTCTAGAGTCTAAATATAGTAAGTCTAGAGTCTAAGTATAGTAAAAGTCTAGAGACTTAATATAGTAAGTTTATATAGTTTGAACATAGTAGGTTTATAGTGAGACTGAATGTAGTAAGTTTATATAGAGTCTAATTATGGTAAATTAATAAAGGATATAAATATGGTGACTTTAAACTTCATTATGATAGCAGTCTCAGATCTATAAAGACTAATCATCAGGATATATCAGTAATTGTGACATTAGCTGTGTGAGAAAGGAAATAACAACAGCTGTTAATTCATGATTAATCCCCCCCTTAACAAATAAATCCCTCATTTGTCTGTAAATCAACCACAGTAGACCTGGTTTTCATTGTATTGCACATATTTTACACAGCTCTGCTATTCGTTTTCCTATAATCTTATAAATCATTGTTGTAATTGAAGACTTGCAGACCAGTTGTCTGGCTGGATGAAACGCCATGAACAGCAGAAAAAGAAGAAACCAAGAAAGCCTGCCAGCAAGGAGAATCGACCAATTACATCATCATATTCATTGAGGGAACTCCGTCATATGAGAGAACAGCAATATAGGTATACAACATTCTTGTTAACTTAACAAAATGTGTGTTTATGAAACTCGACATGATTTATTTTACATATCAATTCTTTAACGTTTATCTTCCTCTGTGTTGTCCTGTTTTATACTTTACATTGATATATTGATAAGTACATGGACAACATATTGTGTTGTGTATTGATATGGAAGTAATATCTGTTTTCCTAATATCTGTTTGTGAAGTTCTTGGAATATCGGAGTAGATGTTGTTCCAATTAGATTGACAATTTCCAAGAGTGACTACATCATTTTAAAAAATCTTAATGAGATGCACACATTTATAGATGTAAAGTTGTTTAAAGTAGTAAAGTTCAGTCTTTAAAGGGTGTGTCTGTAGTTTAAAAAAAATAAATGGAAAATGATCTCTTTCACCTTCCATTCATTGTATATGCACATGGGCTATAACACAGTATTCACTTGTATCCTTGGGGGCGTGTTTGGGAAGCAGATTATATCAGCAGTTAGTAACAGGTTCAGAATTTTCTCTGAATTAGCGATTAACGATATCGTGAAATAGTTAAGATATTCTTAACTTTTTTTTTCTTTTTACAAAAGCAGAATAAGATGTTAAGATATTTTTAACAGGTCACAAGAAAATCAACTACAGTTGTTTCAAGGCGATACTGTGAGGAACTTCTGGCAGTCCTTACCTCGACGCAATGACACATTCTACGTTCTTTCATTCAACACGGTAAACTTTATACATCTGAATGTTTCAATTTGAAATAGATTGATAACATTTAATGATATTGATTTTTATAAAATATTTAAACTCATTGTAAAATTACTTCAGTAGTTAAAAAACTTTGTCACTCATTAATTGGATTGTTTTTTAACCCTGCATTATCATATTGTGGGCTTTTCAAATTGCTTTTTGTCCATGTTCACTCCTTCAGGATTAATTCATAACAATGGGGACAAGTTCAGTTTGTGACCTGGATGTGAACGCCACATTTCCAGCATGATCTGGTTATGTATGTGGCTTATTGAGGTGGAGGAGGTGGGGGCAATTTTCCAATTTTCCATATTTGACATTTAAGGTTGTGGCTGCTATTTCTTAAGAAATGCTAATGCAAACTTTACTGAAGCAAATGTCTTGAAATTTTCAGGACAAGTTGGGTGTAGGTCATCTTTGTGTATACCACCTTTTAAGTGTGGTCAGATATTTGTGATAGCCACTAGTGATTGACATTTCCAGTTTGTTATTACGATTTCTCAAGAAAAGCTTTGAACATAAGGAACTAGTTCAGGAAGAGTTCTAGTTACATCCATGCTGTATATGAGATTTATCAGTTATTCAATCTATCATTTGATTTTGGTGTTTGTTTTGGCTATATCTTAAGAATTCATGATTCACAAAAGATTATCATGACATTAAGGATCATCATGTGATAAAGAGAAATGAAAAGACCATGCTTACATTCAGCTAGAGGAAACAAGAAGGTGAAACCCTCTAGGACCTATTCTTATTTGTATGCTTTGGATTACGGATTCTTTGTGGGAAATTTTATAGACTATAGATTATTGTATTTTAGGGTAACATTTTGATTATAGATAATAGATTATTGTATTTTAGTATTTTAGGTAACATTTTGATGATAGATTATTGTATTTTAGGGTAACATTTTGATTATAGATTATTGTGTTTTAGGGTAACATTTTGATCATAGATTATTGTATTTTAGGGTAACATTTTGATCATATTGTATTTTAGGGTAACATTTTGATTATTGTATTTTAGGGTAACATTTTGATAATAGATTATTGTATTTTAGGGTAACATTTTGATAATAGATTGTATTTTAGGGTAACATTTTGATCATAGATTATTGTGTTTTAGGGTAACATTTTGATCATAGATTATTGTGTTTTAGGGTAACATTTTGATAATAGAATATTGTGTTTTAGGGTAACATTTTGATAATAGATTATTGTATTTTAGGGTAACATTTTGATAATAGATTATTGTATTTTAGGTTAACATTTTGATCATAGATTATTGTGTTTTAGGGTAACATTTTGATCATAGATTATTGTATTTTAGGGTAACATTTTGATCATAGATTATTGTATTTTAGGGTAACATTTTGATAATAGATTATTGTATTTTAGGGTAACATTTTGATAATAGATTATTGTATTTTAGGGTAACATTTTGATAATAGATTATTGTATTTTAGGGTAACATTTTGATAATAGATTATTGTATTTTAGGGTAACTTTTGATAATAGATTATTGTATTTTAGGTAACATTTTGATAATAGATTATTGTATTTTAGGTTAACATTTTGATAATAGATTATTGTGTTTTAGGGTAACATTTTGATCATAGATTATTGTATTTTAGGTAACATTTTGATAATAGATTATTGTATTTTAGGTTAACATTTTGATAATAGATTATTGTGTTTTAGGGTAACATTTTGATAATAGATTATTGTATTTTAGGGTAACATTTTGATAATAGATTATTGTATTTTAGGGTAACATTTTGATAATAGATTATTGTATTTTAGGGTAACATTTTGATCATTATTGTATTTTAGGGTAACATTTTGATATTATTGTATTTTAGGGTAACATTTTGATCATAGATTATTGTATTTTAGGTAACATTTTGATAATAGATTATTGTGTTTTAGGGTAACATTTTGATAATAGATTATTGTATTTTAGGGTAACATTTTGATAATAGATTATTGTATTTTATTTTTGAGGGTAACATTTTGATAATAGATTATTGTATTTTAGGGTAACATTTTGATCATAGATTATTGTATTTTAGGGTAACATTTTGATAATAATAGATTATTGTGTTTTAGGGTAACATTTTGATCATAGATTATTGTATTTTAGGGTAACATTTTGATAATAGATTATTGTATTTTAGGGTAACATTTTGATCATAGATTATTGTATTTTAGGGTAACATTTTGATGATAGATTATTGTATTTATTGTAGGGTAACATTTTGATAATAGATTATTGTATTTTAGGGTAACATTTTGATAATAGATTATTGTGTTTTAGGGTAACATTTTGATGATAGATTATTGTATTTTAGGGTAACATTTTGATAATAGATTATTTTAGGGTAACATTTTGATTAGATTATGTGTTTTAGGGTAACATTTTGATAATAGATTATTGTGTTTTAGGGTAACATTTTGATCATAGATTATTGTATTATAGGGTAACATTTTGATCATAGATTATTGTATTTTAAAGGGTAACATTTTGATGATAGATTATTGTGTTTTAGGGTAACATTTTGATAATAGATTATTGTATTTTAGGGTAACATTTTGATAATAGATTATTGTAATTTAGGGTAACATTTTGATAATAGATTATTGTATTATAGGGTAACATTTTGATAATAGATTATTGTATTTTAAAGTAACATTTTGATAATAGAATATTTTTTGTATTATAGGACTACTTCCTGATACCAGCAGTAGCACACAATAAGACCATGAGACCGAGAATGTCACTAGTGATGCCAGCCACTACTCTCAATGGTAAGTCTGTAGATATGTTCATCTTCTCCTAGCCAATATCTGGAGCAGTACATCTGCAGGTGCCCTATACAAATGTTTGTCTATTAGTCTGACTTTCCTTACTTTTCAGATATAATCCTAAAGTCATTTTTATTTTCAGAAACTTACTTGCTGACTTGTTGCTTTGTACATTGCACATGTTCAACACGTTCTAGACCCTAAGATCAAAGTAACTTTCTAAAAATACATTTTATTGGAATTGGTTTATGTTAAACAGGTGAATTAGAATTCTTCTATTTTCCCTTTTTAGAAACCATGCAGCCTCCTGCTGGGAACATTGGCATGATGCAGATAGATTGTGAAGTTCTCAACACCCAACTCATTCATGTCCACAAGTCATCACTACCAAGACACAATGCATCAGAATCCTTCTTCCCCTGACTTACTTTTCCTATTTATTGGACTAAATTACCTGTGTTCCTCATGGATCCATGATTAGAGTACAGAAAAAATGATCTCATTTTGTGTAGAGACATGGGAGATGTCTTGAACTGATATATACAGAAAACCTCACCATACATCTGGCATTATAAAGGGTTGAGACAACAGGAAAAAGGGACATGTTTCATGGAAACCTTGAAAAATTTGGAAAACTAGATCTTACTTTTTCTATCCTTAAATAGGCCCATGTTTCATAATAAGCCCATAATATTCCATATTTTTCAGTTTTTAAGAAACAATAGTATTTCAATATTAACATTTAATAGTAAGTATTTAAGTTTGTGTCCAGGGATACAAGGTGTGTTGTTGATACTCCAGATCTATTGCTTTGAGAAATACAGTACAATGAAAAATTGTATGTAGAACCTCATGTCTGTAGATTGTTTTGATTCGTTTTTTAGACTATGTCACAAATTCCTCAAATATTTACTTATAATAACTTCTATTATCTGCTTTGTACTGTAAGATATTCTTTCAGTTTGAAGTAAGGACATTTCTTTCAAATATCAGTCTTTGTTTTGTTTGTATTGAGTGCCTGACAAAGCAGACATATTTTCAGGTGTAGTTAGATTAATTTTTTATAAAATATGACTTCATTTCAATTTTTTTTTCTTTTCTTTTATGAATTTTTAAGATACAGGAATCTCATGAAGGAAGCAGATGATATCAATTGAAATATCCAAACAATAAGGAATTTCACAAAAAGGGCCTGTATCTGTAATTATTGGTCTATATTTATAAATTAAAAATATAATCCTGTAATTCATTTCCTTCTGGACTATGGAAGAAAAAATGTACATTATTACAGTGTAACTGGAATGGTTAGAAAATAATTCACTATTTTATGAGGTATGTAATTTTATCTCAGAAAATTGAAGAACTAGCATATTTTCATTCTTTTGGTCTTAACTTCAAATCAAATTTGAAATTGTTTATAAAACATTACTTATAGAAATCCTTGATAGTTTCATGAAGTATAACTTTGCATTTATAAAATTCATTGAACACACACAAATATTTTTTGTCAAATGATACAAGTTATTGTATTAACCAGTAAGGTTAGACACTATAATTGGTACATCACACATTCATGTGTTTCTTGTGTCAGTTTCCATACAAATATTTGATATTTTGTTTTTCAGAAATTTAAATGTTTTAACAGATATTTGGCATTTAAGATAAACATTCATTTTTTCACAGCTGATTGTAAATATATCACTTTCACATTCCACTCTATTGATCTATGAGGAATTCATTCTTTAATATGAATTTTGTTGTGCAACGGAAAATCTGAACATGGTGCAAATTCATTTTATAATATGTATATCCAAACAACTTCTCTAACATATATCTTTCCCACATTTTCATCCATTTTGTTCTATAAATACATCATGCTAAAATCATCTTTACCATATCAAATGGCATAACACTTTCAATTGTTGACTAGGCAAGGATAATGAGTTGACGATGTTCACGATGGTAAACTCTTTATATGTGTACTCTTATCTCAGTCACAAGTCAGTGGTCCTCCCACAACAGTCATTGGAGAATAAATGTCTCATCAGAAAGGACTCTGGTCTGACTCCTCATATATGCATAAATAATCCAAAGTGTGCCTTACATGACTGCTTTAGTTGATTTGACATCCATGAACCGGTCTCCAGATAGTCCGGTTTTTGTAGAGTTTTGCTGAATATTTGTGTAAGAGGCATAAAAGACCTGTAAATACATTGGAGGTTTTCTGATGTATCAGTATGTTACAAAGATGGCATAGTAATTATTCATGATTGTATACCATTGTTAGGATGATTTGCAGGTCTAATTTGGTGAACGATAAGTACCAAAATTTTATCCTTGTGTTCAGGCACAGGAAATTCAGAGAAATTGTGATGATGTGCTGCACATGTTTTTTTGCTTTAAGTTAAAAAATGACAGCAAAATTTAATCTTTTGATCTTTTTGATATTATGTTATTTAAAAATCTGAACTGTTCTTGATCTTTGACAAACAGTAATTTTCTGAAGTCTGAAAACTTTCAGGATCTATAAAAATAGCACAGGTACTTTATTCAGCATTGCATGTGTTAATTTCTCAGATATTCACACAAAAGAAATATCTCGCCAATCAAAATTTAGTCGTTATCATTCTAATTTGTAATCAGGAACACAGTTTTATATTTATAAAGATATAGCTTAAGATTGCAATGTGTTCAAGGCACAATACTAAGTTTAATATCACCAGACAAGATTTAAATGAAATATGGATAGAGTTTTACATATGGTAGAATAGAGTGTTTTTAGCTCACCTGGCCTGAGAGCCCAAGTGAACTTATGGCATACCGTGCCATTTGTCCGTCTATCCATCAACCTTTCCTTCAAATCACTATTCATTATGAATGATTAAGAGGATTTTGACCTAATTTGGTCAGTAGCATCCTTTAGGGAAGGGAACTAAAGTCTGACCACCCGTAGGCCAAGAGAGGTTGGACTGAATGGTGAAATAGAGCAAATTTTCTTCTGAAACTTTAGGATTCCTTTTCCATTAGTTTGGATGAAACAATTTCAGCCTAATGAAGCCTTGTGAGTGATACAGGTCTTGGGGGACCTCTTGGTATTTCACGTCTTTTTTTTAATTATTTTTATGGGACTCGTGGCAAAGTGCATGCCAAGGCAGCAGGTATGTAAGTATCATAAATTATTTATCATTTACCCTTCATTACCATTATTATAACATTATTGAGTAGTTTCAGATTTATATTCATACTGTAGACTTTGTTAGATTGCTATATATTTTGTTTTATAATGAGCGTTACTGTAAGGTGAGTCTGGTGATTGATGTAATGTTGATAGATACATGTAATGTAGGAGGAATGTAAATGTACAGTAGTAATTATACCTGTTTGGAATCAGATGTGAATATTAATGGTACATGTACAGTATGTATATACATGTTTTGTTCCATTTATGTCTGTGCATCATAAGGAGTTTACTTATATTATGCTAAAGAAAGGACCCAAATTTTAAGTTAATTCTTTCAATAGTGTTAATATGCACTAGTCAAAGTAACATTTTATGGTTAAGAAAATCCATGATAAGATCACTGATATTTACAAATTAATTTTCTCAAAGAGTGTTACTTCATTATTTCTGATAAATAACATTGGTTTTTTATGAACTTACAGAGAATTGTATTTAATGAGACTAGTGCTGACAAATTATTTTAATCCAAACACACATCCAAAGAGGCCATTTATGTTTTTGATATTATAATTGTTGTAGGTTTTGTGATGTCATATTTTAATCAGTACATTTTGATTATTTCCAAATGGAGTGAGATTTCTTCTTTTTATTTTTATATATGTATTGTTTAGTCAATTGAAATCTTTACTTGTATGAAAATTGTTTTTGTAAAAATATTCCTTGATGATATATATAATCCAATTGCAATATTGGCAGAGAGTACTGTTAATTTTAATTGGTTGGTAGTTCTGTGTTGCATTGGTTTGTAAATGTGTGTACATAACATTCATTTATATATTACTACATACAATACACACAGGGAGATAACATAATGATACGTTATGGGAGTGATTATTTGGGATATCTGCAGCTGTGGAATATCATAAATGTCAGGGTTTTTTGCACATATCTAATTTTTACAAATATAGTGTCACTTTCAGAATTGCAAAAAATTCAAATTGCAAACAGTTAACTGCATATTTTCATCTTTTTATTGTAAACAATTGCAATACCTCTATAGAACTGACATACCTACAGACACCTGAACAGTCGTGAATACTTCTATAATAGATAAACACTAGTCGGTATGTAGTTCCTTACTCTAGTGTGACTATTCAGGTACATCTCCAGTTGATTTTAGAAGCTACACTGGTATACATGTCAAAAGAGGCCTTTCAAATTTCTGAGGCAATGAAATCACCAAAAGAAATTAAAATACACAGAAATTGCAAAAGATGCATTGTGGGTATTTTTCAAAAATTGTACGTGCAAAAATATCCTGATATATGGTATTCCACGCAAAACTGTAGGTGTTAATATCATATTGGAGATTCCTATTGTAATTCACCAATTAAAACAACTTTTACCAAATTAATGATACTATACCAACGAAAAATAAAACCAGTTTCAATTATTGTGTATTCAGGGAAATTTATCTGCGTGATAAAAGGGTGCAATCTTAGTTGTCAGTTAGTACAATTTGTTGGTAGTGTGCAGCATTGATTAGTACTACTTTTACAAGACATGGCTATTACTTGAAAGCCGTTATCTTACACAACATATTAAACAATTTGATGTGCATCAGAATCAGTGGTTCGTAAAGAAGATTCAAAGGGTTTAAATCTATAAACATCACATTATCTGTAAACTTTATCCTGTTGAATGTTTTCAGTCATAAAAACCTGATTTTATCTTGATATCTGTCTTAGGTGCTAAACCCTAATTAAATAGGATTAAAATTTTGCAGAATATTTATCACATATATCACAGGATGGTCAATTACTCTTTCTAGACTACTCTCATCATGTTATTCCAATGGTGTAGAAAAAAGGGAAATCAGAAAAAGAGCTCTTAGGTTTTGAAAATGGGATAATGCTGTTTATGATTAACTGAAAATCTTTATTTACATGTGTATCTGTTACCATCATGAATTAATTCTCATTTCAATAAATTAAAAATTATGAGTCATTAAACCTAATTACTGTCATTGAAACAAAGTCTGGAATGCATTTGATGTTATGTCGGTAATTGTTATGATGCTCAGATGTTTAAGTATTGTAGTGTAAGATGTGGGTTAACATGAGTTGTTATGTACATGTGAAATAAACATTTTTATCTTTTCTTATTGAAAAGTAACAGTTTTTATATTTTTTTCCATATTTTCGTGAGATTCATTTTTTTGCGTCTCACAAAAGGAAAACAAAACTAAATCAATGATGCTTTGCGTTTATGTACTGAAATTTCTACATGATTGTCGCCTCCTTTCAGCCTTGCCAGTTTCAGTCGAGAAACCTCGTGACAGGGGTCTGTTGTAATGGTTTTGTTTTTTTTTTTCATAACCCCTAGAAACATTTAACCCTAGTTCACTGATGAACCCCCTTCTCCCGCCACCCCCCTCTACCCATTCAGGAAAACCAAAGGAAAAAAAGAACATTTAAACCGAGTAAAAAAAAATAGATGAGAAGAATACAAGTATGACAATATCACACATACAAACACATCAACAGTACAAAATAAGTAAAGGACACACATTTCCTACCACTACACAAATACAGCTGCTTGGTTGAGAAACAACATATGCTATATATAAAAGAAAAAAGAATATCTTAAAAAAATGGAAAAAGGCCCTAAGAAATCATTTGGATGAGGTTGGAGGAGATTAAGTTTAGATGCCCACTACAGCATTAGTAACAATGATAACACTAGGCACGGTTTCATGTTTACCGGGGAAGAAGTTCTTAAAGCTCGGCCAGCAAGTTATGCAGTGTTTTGTGGTTTGATCCACTGTGCAGTTTATCACAGATATGCCACACTGTCAAATTCACCCAAATTTAAGTACATGCGTTTCTACCATTTTGGTCTCTTTATAAAGAACATACTAATGCGGGTTTACATAACACTTCAAATTATATAGATATGATGTTTTAACATTTATACTGCAGAGTATCTAAACACAGATTGGAATGAACTGATTATGTTATGGTAATAAGGAGGGCAGCTGGGCTAAACGGAAGAATCCTACTTACTACACAAAAAATCTGATTGTCCACACACACACATATTACCTAATAGGAACACGTAAAACTAACAAAAAGATAAGGGATGGGAAAAATCTGAGAGTTAGAAAGAAAAATGGGAGGGAAAAAGGAAAAAGAAAATAAAGGAAGACAACCCCCTACCCCACAAAAACAAAAATATAAAAAAAAACAAACAAAAAATCACCTTCAAAATTTGAATGGATTAGAATCGAAGATTCCAAAGACAACATAACCATACAACATTCCCCTGTAGCCATATGCTAGTGCCTTAATTGGCACGCTTTTTAGAGCGCTTCTTTTTTGGCCGGAGTTTAGAGTTGAGCATCTCTTGCCCAAGTCGCTTGATGTCTTCACGAGATAACAGACCCTCGTTTTCCTGGTCGTGGTCGAAGTGAAAGTCATCTTCGTCGCTTCCGTCATCCACATCGACCTTTATTCGGATGTTTGACGGTGGCAGGCGACTCTCCAGGAATTCATGGAGCTGTAATGAAGGAATGGGTGTCACGTGTATGGATTTGTATATGGAACAATTGTACATGTACCTCCAACATTACAGAAACCTTCTGGCTACATCCATATTTGGAATGGATTCCTAATGGAATTGGAGTGATAATAAAGAAATTTATTCGCATTTTCCCGTGTATGAATTGCTTGAATAAAACTCTTGTAAGGCCTAGCGTGATTAGATAACATTAAAACTGAACAATGTGCACTACCTTATTGAAGTCTACCCTAGGGGTTGTCCCATCTCCGCCCTGCATTACAAGCTCCGTCTGTAACCTGTCCAACTTGCGGGAACAGTTGAGCAGGTCCTTTACAGGGTCGCCTGTTGTGAAGTTGTGGAATGGCTGGAATGTTGGGAATAGACAAAGACATGAATGATGGATGTAACAAGGAGTTGCTGATCAGTGTGAAAGGTTTATTGTTAACTTGGCCTCGCTGTTGGTTAACTGCCTACAGTTAGGTATGCACTGTGTTTGGTAGATCATACTGTTTGGTAAATTGAAGAGTACCTAAATTATCGCCGGGATATGAATATTATGTCACATTGGCACCTGTCAGTCTAACGGCCATTCAGAACCACTGACAGCCAAATGGTGCTGGGACCTCTCCCTTGTTTTACATTACTGTCCCTCGCTTATTTCAAAATCCTGGTAAAAGGAACGCTCAAGATCTCAAGTTTTTCGTGCCACCAGAAGCAATAGATAATAGTGATTGAGTATTTACTACCATAAGAAACAGTTAAAGGCTTACTGGCTTCAGCTTGACATCTTTCAGTTTCTCGTTCAGAGTGGCAATGCCGGACTGGATGTCCAACAGTAGACTGTCGCTGGTCAGCAAGGTGTCATAAGTCTTCTCTCGACACTTCTCCTTCTCAGCCATATTATCTTCAACATCGTCTAGAATCTGTCTGGCTCTGAAACATAGCATGACAGCTGAGGTAAAATAATCAGGATCACTACCATCAAGTTGGAAATGTGTATAACGAGCTTAGAAACTGAAAATTTACAGCCATAACAATCACCTTTTGGCTGCCATATATTTCCTTCAATTTGATGGTATACCAGGAGAGAAGGTGTTGTAGTGGTACATCTGTCCACTGTTATGTATGAACAATACTTTCTTAGGAAGACAAGGAAACATTTGAGCAAATACCACAGAATAGTCGCTTTATACCAAACGATCAGTGCCTACCTTGCCAGTTGCCGTTCACTTGTGAATTTTACTTCTTCGAAGATTTTGTTAAGTTTATATTTCTCGCGTAAAAGTTCTTTTTTGTTCCGCAGTTTTTCTTTCTCCTGAGCCTTGATCCTCCGAGTTGTTTCCTCTTGGTTTAACACGCGCATTACCACGTCCTGTAAGGGATGTTTTTTGTAATCGATGTGTAAAGCTTGGTTATGTGCAAAATGTATTGGTACACTTGTATCACCAAGGAAAAGAGAGCAATTTCATAAAAATATGGGGTCAGAATTTTCTGGGATAATTTTTTTTGCCTTTATTTCTAACATTTTCTAAAGTTTATTAGTGAGTGAAACGAGTAACGGAATCGATAAAAAGGGTTCCTCCTGAAAAAATGCCCCTTTCACTTGTATGTTGATCGTTTAGGAGGCATGGTTTTAAATCAAAGGGATAAAAATCCAGACCCAAGCTACTTGTGAAATAAAGTACATGGAAATATTGTTATTCCCGGATATTGTCACTTTTTTAAAAATGAAGAAAACATGTACGTCCTTAACTATGTTTTAGTGAATGACTCGATCTAAGCCCTACTCACATCAATGTCAGATACGTTGATTGCACTTTTGATCTTCTCAAAGCCCATCTCGAGTTCTAAGATTTTCTCCTGGCGCTCAGCTTTCTCTAGTTGTAGTCGAGCTGCCTTGGTATCTGTAAGTTACCAGATTAAACTTTGGCACTAGGTTATGCGAAGTTATGTCAGAATTATTAGATAAAAATATTTTCTTTTTCAATGAAATGTTATATAAAAACTTAACAATACACGGCCTTCGTCTGCCATCGTATAACGACAATTTGGCAGAAAATTAACATTCTTGTTAGTTTAACAAATTTCGTTATTCAAAAGGAAAACCAACTCAATATCTACTTTATAAATAAGTATACTAGGACTTAAGACAATGATGTCATTATTGCTATATTATCATGTTGTCCTGCTAAGAGCCAAGGCTGTACACCATTTTGGAAGGGCCATGATAAACACAATTTCACCATTTGCCGTAGCAGTTTATTATTCGGTAAGATGGGTTTGACGAGTGTGGAACATATTTACAGTGTTCCACCATTTGTATTAATGCACATGTTTCAAAGATGTCCCGGTAGATCTACCGTCGCTTCACGTATATCTTTCCTAAATATCTACGATCACATTCCATATTACACATGGAAAAGCTAGTCAAAGTAAGAAATCTGTTTTTCTTCTATATTATGGGGACAATTCTTTTCTTCGTGACATATTTCCGGCTTAAACGTCAATATTTCAAAACATTATTACTTTCTATCATAACACTAACACAAAACAGCGTTAAAGTTAATGTTTTCTGTGTGTTTGCTCCTTTTTTGTTATATCTATAGAGAATCAAAACAACACATCTATAGTGTTGGTTGTGGCAATTAGAATATTAATGAGTATTCACGAATGTAGAGTTAATATTTCAGTATGGCAATGAATAGCTTACCTGTCGTGTCGGCAATCAGATTTACTTTGGCCTGCAAAGTAAGTTATGACATTGAATTATATTTATCATATCTAGTTTGTTATACAATAGACTCACTTTTCAACATGCTTTAGAAATCGACCCTAAAAGTTTGTTTCGACTCCTTTGGTATTTCAGTTGACCTAAGATTGTTGAGTCCACAGACTACTTACTCGTTTTTCCGCACGTTCAGACGTTTCTTTCCTCCTCTCAACTTCTTTCCTTGTTTCATTCAATTGCATGTCACGTGCCCGTTTAGCCTGATACATCTCGCGCTCCATCACATGGAGGTCCTTCTACAAAGGCGGAAAACCAGATGAGCATAAAACTGGCTATTATCCTTTTGAAATAAAATATCACAAAATATCAATTTCATAACAAAGAAAATTCCCATGTTCTAGAGAATTCAATTTTTGCGATACGTTCCATGTGACAGTTAACCGTTATTAATCATAATAAACAGCAAATGACCTATATTAGTTCATGTATATAGTACTGACTGACCTATATAACACTAACTGACCTATAAACGGCGACTGACCTATATATCATTGACTGACCAATACATCACTGACTGACCTATAAAACACTGATTGACCTATGTAACAATGACTGACCTATAAATATTGACTGACCTATATAGAACTGACTGACCTATACAACACTGACTGACCTATGTAACACTGACTGACCTATAAACATTGACTGACCTATAAACATTGACTGACCTATATAGCACTGACTGACCAATATAACACTGACTGACCTATGTAACACTGGCTGACCTATACACATTGACTGACCTATATAGCACTGACTGACCTATATAACACTAACTGACCTATACATCATTGATTGGCCTATGTAACATTGACTGACCTATAAACACTGAGTGACCTATATACCACTGGCTGACCTTTATAACGGGAACTGACCCGTATAAATCCGTGACTGACATCTGTAACAATAACAAACATATATAACCACAAGTGACTTATTGAACTCTGAATGACCAAATTACATTGTTTGTACATCGTCCGGCGATCAACGTGACTTCCTTTCAGGTCTTGAAGAAAGGCCACAGTACAACCTACCCTGGACTCCTCGCTTGTTTTTATCGCCTTTTCGTTCATCTGATGTAACACTGCGAGCTCGGAAGACGCGTCCCCAACGATTTGCTCTAGTAGATCAAGACGAGCGGGGTAGTTTCTTACCTCCTTCACAAATAAACAAATATCATTTTCTGGTTAGCGCAAAACAAACATGAATGGGGACACTTACCTAGTAGGTAGATCTATAAGTTTCTAATTATGACGTTTGTATAATGGATAGGTTTGTCATAATGACGAACAGTAAGCTAATAGATCTTGAAAATTCCACAGTACGTTATCAATTCGTACAGCCAACATACCTCTTGCATATGCATCATGATCTCTTCATATCGCCGTGAAATGTTGCGCGCCGCTTCGTATTTAATTCGCGCTTTGTCCATCTCATTCTGTAGTCGGCGGATCTCCTGTAATGATGAGAAAAGATCTCATTCTGTAGTCACCAACTGTACTTTACAAATCACCATCTGTATACCTTCCCACACCCATCACCATCTGTATACCTTCCCACACTCATCACCATCTGTATACCTTCCCACACTCATCACCATCTGTATACCTTCCCACACTCATACCATCTGTATACCTTCCCACACCCATCACCATCTGTACACCTTCCCACACTCATCACCATCTGTATACCTTCCCACACTCATCACCATCTGTACACCTTCCCACACTCATCACCATCTGTACACCTTAATACACTCATCTCCATCTATATATACCTTACCACACTCATCACCGTCTGTATACCTTCCCACACTCATCACCATCTGTACACCTTCCCACACTCATCACCATCTGTATACCTTCCCACACTCATCACCATCTGTATACCTTACCACACTCATCACCATCTGTACCCTCGCTACCTTTTCTCGTCACCACATCCCTCGGAACACATCTTACCCTCTCCCGGTCCACGTTGTAGTCAGTATAACTAACAGTCTTGGTATGTTTCGCTGTGACACATAACTCACTCAGACGTTCCTCGCGCTGGTTGCGTTGGTACTTCAGATCGTTCAATCGTTTACTCGCCACACACACCTTCTGGTCCATCGTGTTAATGGCTTCCTGTTGGTGTCCAAACCAACACGTTTGAATGAATTACATTATAACAAGTTTATACTGTTTAAAATTTATAAAGTTTAAAATGTACTGGTTACTACAGTTTTACGTACATTACGACTTCCCCCACAGTATGTGTCAATTATGTTGTTTTCTCAGTCATACAATATCACAATATGAGTCATTCAAGGACATATATATTATCACAGTATGGGTCAATCTTAATATCACAGGACGGGTTAATCATCGGTAATATTTCATCACGTGTCAATCATGATTATCATAATGATATGAATGTGTATGTACAATTGTACTCACAATATGAGTCACTTATTTATGTAAGTATTACCTTAGAATGAGTCGCATATCACGATAGGAGCCAGTATTTTGTTGTCATGGCCCAACATAGTAACTCTTGTTGAATGAGTCCAGTTCACCTGCTGTCGTGGAGGTGAGTCAATCATACTTTTTCTCGCGGACTGAGTCAATGCTACGTTATGTCATCCGGGTCAATTATACCAGTGATAATCGCAGAATGAGTCAATGCTACGTCATGTCGTCCGTGTCAATTATACCAGTGATAATCGCAGAATGAGTCAATGCTACGTCATGTCGTCCGTGTCAATTATACCAGTGATAATCGCAGAATGAGTGATAATCGCAATGCTACGTCATGTCGTCCGTGTCAATTATACCAGTGATAATCGCAGAATGAGTCAATGCTACGTCATGTCGTCCGTGTCAATTATACCAGTGATAACCGCAGAATGAGTAAATGCTACGTCATGTCATACGTGTCAATTATACCAGTGATAACCGCAGAATGAGTAAATGCTACGTCATGTCATCCGTGTCAATTATACCAGTGATTATACCGCAGAGTCAATGCTACGTCATGTCAATGCTACGTCATGTCATCCGTGTCAATTATACCAGTGATAATCGCAGAATGAGTCAATGCTACGTCATGTCGTCCGTGTCAATTATACCAGTGATAATCGCAGAATGAGTCAATGCTACGTCATGTCGTCCGTGTCAATTATACCAGTGATAATCGCAGAATGAGTCAATGCTACGTCATGTCGTCCGTGTCAATTATACCAGTGATAATCGCAGATTGAGTCAATGCTACGTCATGTCGTCCGTGTCAATTATACCAGTGATAATCGCGGATTGTGTCAATGCTACGTCATGTCGTCCGTGTCAATTATACCAGTGATAATCGCAGAATGAGTCAATGCTACGTCATGTCGTCCGTGTCAATTATACCGGTGGTAATCGCAGACTGAGTCAATGCTACGTCATGTCGTCCATGTCAATTATACTAGTGATAATCGCGGATTGAGTCAATGCTACGTCATGTCGTCCGTGTCAATTATACCAGTGATAATCGCAGAATGAGTCAATGCTACGTCATGTCGTCCGTGTCAATTATACCAGTGATAATCGCGGATTGAGTCAATGCTACGTCATGTCGTCCGTGTCAGTTATACCAGTGATAATCGCAGAATGAGTCAATGCTACGTCATGTCGTCCGTGTCAATTATACCAGTGATAATCGCAGAATGAGTCAATGCTACGTCATGTCGTCCGTGTCAATTATACCAGTGATAATCGCAGATTGAGTCAATGCTACGTCATGCCGTCCGTGTCAATTATACCAGTGATAATCGCGGATTGAGTCAATGCTACGTCATGTCGTCCGTGTCAATTATACCAGTGATAATCGCAGAATGAGTCAATGCTACGTCATGTCGTCCGTGTCAATTATACCGGTGGTAATCGCAGACTGAGTCAATGCTACGTCATGTCGTCCATGTCAATTATACTAGTGATAATCGCGGATTGAGTCAATGCTACGTCATGTCGTCCGTGTCAATTATACCAGTGATAATCGCAGAATGAGTCAATGCTACGTCATGTCGTCCGTGTCAATTATACCAGTGATAATCGCGGATTGAGTCAATGCTACGTCATGTCGTCCGTGTCAGTTATACCAGTGATAATCGCAGAATGAGTAAATGCTACGTCATGTCATCCGTGTCAATTATACCAGTGATAACCGCAGAATGAGTCAATGCTACGTCATGTCGTCCGTGTCAATTATACCAGTGATAATCGCAGAATGAGTCAATGCTACGTCATGTCGTCCGTGTCAATTATACCAGTGATAATCGCAGAATGAGTCAATGCTACGTCATGTCGTCCGTGTCAATTATACCAGTGATAATCGCAGAATGAGTCTATTGTACTTACTGCTATGGTATATCTTTGCATGGACAGAAGCTCTTTTCGTCGGTTCTGGAACACTGACCGAATTACCTTCTCATCGCCCTAAGGTCATTGAAAATAGGCAATAGATACTGTAAAATTATGTGTGAGATATTCTATTTTGAATTCACTGTTTTCCTACATATATCGGAACAGGCAATGGTAACTGTGGAAAACTGATGTTCTCTTGTCATTGCGGGAAAATAAATAGCTTCCTCGTTTTTATGTAGAATCTACATGTGTGTCAGATTGAAAAAAAGCAATAACATGTTAACCGTTTTTTCTTTTATTTACAAATGCATACCCCATCTCAATATTGAAATACATTAAAGTGATAAAACTCGAGCCGACATTTGTAAAAAGAGTAAGTTGCACTGCTTTGGGTCACTCTATAACCTGACGGTGCATTACCTAAAAGTTACAATATGTAATGATATCTAAATACCCTCAAATATCCCTATAAGTTTAGGATCAGTGAAAACACATATATTTCTCTGCATTGTTTCGCTTCGGGGAGGAAACGAATTATTTTCTATCAAAATTGTCCCAGCTAACTCATACTTACAGCGATGCTTTTTGCCAAGGTAATTCGCTTTAATTTGTTTTCGGCCCTTAGTTTTGCTATAAGTTGTTCGAATTCGATCTTCTTTGTTTCAGAACTTTCGTAAAATGCTTTGGCGTCCCGCTCTAAACAAATAAAGTTATAAATTATGTCATGAATTATCCGGTATTTGTTTCTAACTAGTAGAATACTTGAATGATTTTTTTATTGACTGGAAAAAGGCCACTGAAGTGTTCAAACACAAGGGCTCCGGAGCTGTTGCTGTTTTTTGCTGTGTCTTCTTTATAAATCACAATTTTAAATACGTTGTTTCAGTGTTTTCTGTACTACTGCGATGGAGACCTACCTTTAAGATGAAGTTTTCCTCGGACTTCATCCACTTGTTCGGACGTTGACCAGGCGGTTACCGCCAGGCCATTCGATTGAACGTTCTGCTGAGGCATTTCGCCACGAGCGCGAGGGATGTGCTACATAAAGACAAAATATGGACACGTGACGGACATATTTTTCAATAACTACAAAGCACGTGGAACTAAACAAAATTTCATTTTCAAGTTGACAGTTATCTTCATCTTGCTGGGAAGCTACAAAGAAAATACCGACATGTCAATAGAATCATGATTCACTTTGAGGAAACTAGGGCATATGAACAAAGGAAAGATTTACACAGAGACGGAAAATAACGAGGAGAATAAGAACACGTGTTCCAGAAGAGTAAGCGTCTTTTGCCTCACTGACAACACCTGCCATCATAACCTTGGTCAATACAAGTAGGTAATTTCATGTCCCTAAATTAAAACAATTTTAACAACATCGGAATCATCAGATGTGCTAAAAGCATAACACACGTACTCATTAGCATCGCAGGAGGAAGTAGAATTCGTCCAATGATGAAATTACGACGACTATAAAACTTCCGCATAATCACAGCATTTCTCGAAACCTTGTGTCTCTGTGTTTTTTCTGTCAGCTGTCAATATCTTGCAAGAAAACGGTGATATTGGGAACAAGTCCTTGAAAACCATAGGCTGAGGAAGAATGCATGCCGTTACCTACAAATGAATATTTCACAAAACGGGTGACGAACCCATCACGCTTGTCATACAGCTTGGTGGAAAATTGTTCCTGTCGGTTTTATTGTCTTGGGCATCCAGTACAGCAGATCTATCGTCATTACAATGATCCAACGTCTGGGTTGGAAATCGTTAGAGGACAATATTTAATATAAGGTCAACCGCTAACTAGTCGTAATTTCCAAGATAGGCGGCTTGGACAGTCGAAGACTTCGACAATCTCATGACAATGGCTATCAAGTACCATACTGTAGGCTAGACATCAGGAGCATGTTTGTCCAGTTCGGACATGCAGACTGATGTCTCTAAAACGTGGAGCGCACGTGAAAGATGGTACAAGATGCACACATTAAGTAAATAGGGCCTTTCGATTCAAATTTAGATTTAATTGTCATTAATGAATTAAACTGCAGTTTCGTCCTGCTAGGACTCATCAATAGAATCCAGAAGGTGACCGAGGAAAATGAAAGAGGTCGAAATAAATGTCCACAACCAGAAGGGGGTGTTACCTAGCTACAATATTTCCGTAAAGTCTCTAAAGAAACACATAATGCCGAGGTGTGTACTTGGCGAAATCAAGTCATAAAGGTATGGTTATTCTACCATCGAAATTGCAATGAATTTTCAATCCATAAAAAATTCCCTTAAATATACGATGCGCAAAACATGTATATTAAATTAGGTATTACTTACTAAGATTATTCCTGAAAACGGAGTTTACTTACAGTTACTGTAACTTGAAAAGGTCGTTTAACCCTCCGATGGACACAAATAATAAGACGTCATCATTTCACGTCAGAATTGATGACGTAACCATTTTAGTGTACATCAAACAAAGTCGCGGCATTTCTAGATTCAACGTCTTCATGTGTGTAGTCAATAGGCCTACACTGGCCACATGTCAACACTTTCTTGGTATCTTTCATTCCATAAAAGGTGAGGAAACGGAGACACTGTTGTAATATACAAATTCCAAAATTTATACAGTCTTCGATTATGAGTTCACAGGTCTATAGAATTGGACAAGTTTTACAGATGCATAATACATAGCATGACAATGTAATAAATAGTGCGAGATGAAAATTAGCTGGTTTGAGGTCCTTGAGTCATCAATTTTTTTTATCTTGTATTGTTTTCTAACATCTCAAACTACAGGCACCAGTCAATATATCATTGTTTGTCAATACCTATTTTATTGGAAATAATATTATTACCGACAGTTTCCAAGAAGTGTGCATTACTAAGAACAAGAAACGTATTCTGGAAACTGGGTCTCCTCTCAGATGATCTGACCCATACGAAAATTCAAACGAGTCTTATTGCAGGTGTACAAGAGACTAAACAACTCTCCCTCACAACAGTACCATCATCGTTGGGATGTAATTTATAATCACCAATAGATTAGATACATATACAAATAAGTTTTATTTTATTTTTTTTTTTTTTTATTTCTGTATCTGATCGGTTTTGGCGGATAGTTTATTGTTTGGTGGGTTTTTTTTCAATAATCTTTCATATTTTCTTTTTTTAATTTGCAGTTTTGGTTGGGAACAATATAGTCATGGCTCAAAAAGTTACTAAAGAACACATTGAAAAACATTTTAACATAGATTCAGAAAAAAATCACTAGCTATGTTAGTCATAAGTTTAACCGATTCGTTTTCTACACGGAAACTTCTGGAAGAGTTATTCCGAGTTACTTCCCCTCTACCACTACCGCCATGGTACTGCACTAGAGGGCATACCTGTATGTGCAAGCAGTTGAATATAAAATATGGTTCAATTTGACGTCTTTTGCCTTTAAAAAATAGAATAGCTCTCCTGGGATGTTTGTGGATATCAAGCCATAAGCTGATTTACTGTGACAAGAAGTATGTACACGTAACAGCCCCCAGTGGAAGGTTATAATAGCATTACATACCATGTTGATGTCTTTTGCCGGTTGTAACTTGATTTAAATTATAATAACTTTTTGGATATCGAAAGTGTAATCTGTGAAATAGAACAGCCATTTCGACGTTGAACCGTCAAGGCTTCCACAATAATGACGTCATACTGTTATGGGCACAGAAATCATTTATTGCACCTCAAATCAAACTTACTTCCGGTAAGTTTTTATGTGAAAGTGATATACACTATGTGAGAGATAGGACTTTGCTACCATCCCCTGATACTGCTTTATACAGTCCCCTGTGATACTGATATACTATAAAGAGGTTCTGCAACGAGTGGCAGTTGATTATCATCGTTATCTATCTCGAGTTGGTTAATTTTCAAATTTAGAAAAGCCTCGAGAAAATTAACTAACGAGAGTTTGATAACGGTGATAATCATTTGCCATGTCGAGTTGTAGAACTTCTTTCTACAATAACCTTTTAACGTAAAAATATATATATATTGTGTACAACATTGTTTCGCCGCCATTGACACTTTCGCGTAAGAATACATCGTAGGTTGTCTGATTGGCTCATTAATATGCAAAAAAAGACAAAATCGATATTTTTGAAGCCAAATACTTATTCATTCAGTAATCTTGTTTGGAAACATCAAGTAACATTAGTTCATTGAAACATATTACAAAATTGCACAAATTGTTAAATTAAAAAAAAATTGGAACTAGATTTTATTTCGGAAAAGAGAAGTGTTTCCTTGCGGAAAAATGTGAATGCAGACAAGATTAAGATGGCGTGTAATTTCGAGGAATCACTTTTATCAGAACTAGATTAGGAAACCAAAATTACTGCATTTAGCAATTACTGTCCCCTTTCCCACTCCACACAGTTTTACCGCATCACCGATCTTGACCGCTGGCAAGAGTGACAGATCGTCACTGTCAGCCATGTTGATGATGGACAACAAACGATGAAAGCAGTCGCGCGTGGTGAAAGTAGTTCGGGGTCACATATCATGGTTTAGTCGAATATCAATGCCGCGTCCAATAGATATGGCTGTCACCAATAATACACGTGTGTATGGGTATGGATAAACAATAAATATGGTGTGAGATAACATACACAGGTTAAGATAGAAAGGGGAGGTAATGACCTTGTTACAGTCTCCTGTGATACTGATATACTATAGGGGAGGTAATGACCCTGTTACAGTCCCCTGTGGTACTGATATACTATAGGGGAGGTAATGAAATTGTTACAGTCTCCTGTGATACTGATATACTATAGGGGAGGTAATGACCCTGTTACAGTCCCCTGTGGTACTGATATACTATAGGGGAGGTAATGAAATTGTTACATTCCCCTGTGGTACTGATATACTATAGGGGAGGTAATGACCCTGTTACAGTCCCCTGTGGTACTGATATACTATAGGGGAGGTAATGAAATTGTTACATTCCCCTGTGGTACTGATATACTATAGGGGAGGTAATGACCCTGTTACAGTCCCCTGTGGTACTGATATACTATAGAGGAGGTAATGACCTTGCTGTCTCCTGTGATACTGATATACTATAGGGGAGGTAATGACCTTGCTGTCTCCTGTGATACTGATATACTATAGGGGAGGTAATGAAATTGTTACAGTCTCCTGTGATACTGATATACTATAGGGGAGGTAATGACCCTGTTACAGTCCCCTGTGGTACTGATATACTATAGGGGAGGTAATGAAATTGTTACAGTCTCCTGTGATACTGATATACTATAGGGGAGGTAATGACCCTGTTACAGTCCCCTGTGGTACTGATATACTATAGGGGAGGTAATGAAATTGTTACATTCCCCTGTGGTACTGATATACTATAGGGGAGGTAATGACCCTGTTACAGTCCCCTGTGGTACTGATATACTATAGGGGAGGTAATGAAATTGTTACATTCCCCTGTGGTACTGATATACTATAGGGGAGGTAATGACCCTGTTACAGTCCCCTGTGGTACTGATATACTATAGAGGAGGTAATGACCTTGCTGTCTCCTGTGATACTGATATACTATAGGGGAGGTAATGACCTTGCTGTCTCCTGTGATACTGATATACTATAGGGGAGGTAATGACCTTGCTGTCTCCTGTGATACTGATATACTATAGGGGAGATAATGACCTTGTTACAGTACCCTGTGATACTGATATACTATAGGGGAGGTAATGACCTTGCTGTCTCCTGTGATACTGATATACTATAGGGGAGGTAATGACCTTGCTGTCTCCTGTGATACTGATATACTATAGGGGAGATAATGACCTTGTTACAGTACCCTGTGATACTGATATACTATAGGGGAGGTAATGACCCTGTTACAGTCCCCTGTGGTACTGATATACTATAGAGGAGGTAATGACCTTGCTGTCTCCTGTGATACTGATATACTATAGGGGAGGTAATGACCTTGCTGTCTCCTGTGATACTGATATACTATAGGGGAGGTAATGACCTTATTGTCTCCTGTGATACTGATATACTATAGGGGAGGTAATGACCTTATTGTCTCCTGTGATACCCTTCCTTACATTGGTTGCGTTTGGCACACAAGATTAGGACGCGTACATCTGCGTGCTGGTGCGGGTTATTCCATCACGCTGGTAAAACGTGTGGTCATCTGTTCCGTGAAAAACCAACATTCCCCAAGTTTCTGTGACATCGCCATCTTGATCAAGGAGGTAAGTGTTGAAAAACCAACATTCCCCATGTTTCTGTGACATCGCCATCTTGATCAAGGAGGTAAGTGTTGAAAAACCAACATTCCCCATGTTTCTGTGACATCGCCATCTTGATCAAGGAGGTAAGTGTACAAAAACAAACACAATTAACCGACTGATTATTAAATGAAAATGTAGTCTTTAATTGTTTCCATTTCATGTTCAACATCAATGTATACAAACACATATGTACATATTACATTTACTTCATTATAAGTGACAGTTAAACATTCAACCGTACAAACAAGTTAAAACAATTGAAAACAAACATTTCTATATTATCTACAGTTGAGTGTATATAACGATACTCCAGGTAAGTTATTGTCTGTAAAACCAACCATTGTCACAAACTGGTGTCATGACACAACCAATCACTACTACTAATTTAAAACACACGTGTACGTAATAGTACTATTAGCATTTTCATTCCCTCTGACTTCAAATTCTACATTCCTGTACTGACCGTAGATGTATTAATTTCACGCTGGTCCTTAACTTCACCAACTAACATTCGCGAATTTTCATTACATTATTTATTTCCTGTGGGTAACACAGACATGTAATACTGTAGCCCGTCATTTCAAGAAATCCTCCTCATTTACGTCTGTGTATCCCAGACTAACACCTGGATGGTCTTATAGCACTGTTTTTAGCTAGACGTCCGAGGTTTGTTTCACCAAACGGACGTGAAAAGATATGGGGACACCTGTCCGACTACGTGGGGTTTCCCCGGGTACTCTAATTTCCTCTAACATTAAGACAACTCGAGCGCCTCCAATCGCGCCATCAAGAGTGATTACTATCGGTTGAAATAACTTGATTCACAATTGTTGTAAAAGAGATAAAATTGTTATTAATACCTTTACGCGAACGCTCCTCCCTCCTGTAGACCCCACTGTCTCGGACGTTATTTTGTTATATAATGATTCTGTTTGAATTAAAATATATGTTTTTCATTGCGTGTAATTGTTCATGTTCTCGGTGAATTAGCTTATACTGAATATAAATCTCCTACAATAAATGGTCCAATTCGATAAATTTATTTAATCATCGATTTTTATATCTGATCACAAATGTAATATTTATTCTTTTCAAGTATTTAATCATATTTATAAAATTTTAATTACGCTTTTGAAGTTTGTAATCAATTTCACGATTGCTGTGTTAATTGATTGTTATACTGTATTATATAATGACACGTGTTATATCTAATAATAACTTCAGCATTTCACCCTTATTTTAGTATTCAATCATGAAAGTACTAAATCATAACTTCAATATCTAATCAAGACGGTAAAAAGTCATTACAACTGATGTTCAAACAAAACAGTTTAAATCACAAGCGGATTAAAAACTAAATGCGTTTTGATTGGCTGAACACGGTGAACTTTGACCGGAAAGGGCGCTTCACATATTCACGGAAATCAAAACACGCAAAAAGTAGTTCGCAATTGTTGTTGTTTTTTCCCCATTTATTTCTTATATGATTCATATTAAATTAATGCTTTAAAGATCATTACCCTTTAATGACTTATTTCAATTTGTAAATTATAATATTTCGAGATATATTTGAAATGTCTGCTGTGTATATAAATTTGTGGCATTTCATTACAGATCGAACCTAAAGAGCCAACCGATTTCGTAAATAAAACACATGTGGATACATTCCTTTTGGTAGAAACTTGTCACACAAACTCATGGTTGAGTATATGGCATTTCTTTCACTCTCGTTTGCTAATTTTCAGAAGTTACAAAATAATCGCTTAAAGTCGCGTTAGTGTTCCTCTGTAAACCATGTTCACAAATGTACATACTAAAGTCACCATTTACATTCTATCACTTCTTCTTCAAAAACAGTAATAGAGTTAATGTACTGGTCCGTGACCCCTGGAAGAGTGTAAATATTAGGTCACAGCAGAATAAGCCTCATCTGATACTGTCACAATAAACATCGACAAATCTCAATTATCCAATGTATTCTTCACCGGTTAATACTTGATAAATGAAGGATTAGATTCATGGCTACTACATACCTCATTAGTGACATTATTAAACAGTTCTCTTCAGCGTATTTCTATATTCTAAAACAAAACAGAAAGGACAAACACAACATAGACTCGATTTTCATCTTAGTTTGACGACAGTGAGTATGCAAATGGATAATAAACTGAAATACATGTCATATGATCAGCTATGATTTGACAGTAACAGGTGCTTTGTACATACACAAGCAAATTTTGTTATTTTTATATGTGTAAGAACACGGGCTTGTTAATGACTAATGGATGTGAAGGATATAAAAATAAATGGACAGTATTTACGTTTTGAAAGGTTTGGTAACTTTTGGTGCAAATGTCTTGAATAACATAACGATTATTTATAATCAGCTGCACGTGGTTGACATTAACTATGTAGAGTGTGTCGCTAGAAATATCCTTTGTAAACAATTTAATTAGTTGGAACATGTTTTCCTTGGACACACATAAGGAATATAACACTTTCTAGTACAATACCTTAGCCATTCATTTTACACCGATTTTCTCTGTCTTTATTTGGCTATTTTGTTCACAGGCATAAATATAGGTAATCATGATTTGTTAAATTTCCTTTTTTAAACCTCACATTTCTGCCACTGTTGTTTTGAAAGCTTAATTAAACAAGTTTTCACCCGATCCCAATTTGTTACTAGTAACCATATGTATGTAGTTAACGTCAGTCTATGTTGGTGTGTTGTTTGAAGAACTGTTACTCAGGTGAATGGATCCATTGTAGGACGTGTAAATATTACACGAAAACCACACTCTCCTTCCGGACTTGTTCAATAATATAGAGTTAGGAGTAACAGTAGTTCCTATCAACATGTACTGGAATTGCTTTCTGTACTTTCGGTGTTAGTCTGGGCTGTAACCGACTGTGATGTTCTCTGTTCATACAAAGGGTTACAAAAGGTCACATCCGGTGGAGGATCACACGGGCTGTAATAGAAAGATACATTTTCAGGAATGGAAATACGAGTTCGATGACTAATTATTACAGAAAATATGTGAAAATGAAATTATTCCCGTGGGTTTGAATTCTGTCTACAAACGATATCATAAAAGAGGCGTTTTCTGGAACAGATAATTAGTAATGATTTCAAGCTTTTCTCCAAAATCCACACCAATTAAACGGTAAAAAAAACCCGGATGAGGCTTAAGTGAGCAACTCAGCTGGTCAGCAATTCTACGTTATCAATAGAGACTCTTGTGAAGGTTAGGAAGCCTATCTAATATATATCAGGAAATCACATCAAGAAGCGGTTATCGGAAAAACATGCAATACTGACATCATAAGATAATGTTTCATCGACATTAATTGTAGAATGTGTAGTTAGGTATTCACTGGATACTAATCAAGTCTACAGCAGATGCATCACCACTCGGAAGAAAAATTCCAGTTTCATACCACATGTATTTTGTTTTTACGTGTGTGTGTCTTTAGTAGTATAGACAGGACCCAATACCTGTTAACCTGCTTAACACACATGAGTCATCTGTATTATATCTGTACTATATCTGTACCGTACCTTGGTTGTGGTAAATTGATATCGGAGTCATCATCCTGCCCTCTATCGGCTTGGTCATTCGCATTACTGAAAAAAAAAAAAACATCATTTGAACAGGAATTAGATACACCTCGAACCTGAGAGTGTTAGATGACAGACATCCTCACTTTGCAATGTAAGGAGAGTGCAATAACTGTTGTGAAAGTATAACACGATTTGGTCACGTGAGCGTTATTGTGACTCTAATTGTGACTATACTAACTCTTAAAATATCGCAAACTGAAATCTGGAAAGTGCAGAAGGCTTAAAATGAAGCATAGATTTTATAGAATTTTGAATTTAAAATTGAAGTATTTAATAGCTAATGCTATTATGACGCTATATCAAATACTGCCATTGCTGTCAAAATATCAGTAGTTCCAGCAGTGTGTTGTAGAGTCACGACACCATTTGATAAAAACATCCATTGGCTGTGTAAACGAAGCCTATCCCGTAAAACTGTTATTTTTATCATTAATATTTCAATCCAATACTTCTCGTGTATTTTGACGGCCAGTGTTACTTAGCTTTAATGTTATGAACGTCGGTGTTACAATATACACGGAGACTGGTGTTGTTGTAACACAGGGCCAGTGCTTCAGGGATAAACGGCTATCTTTCCGAGTGATTACATAATTCACAAATAAATAGTTCGATTCATTACAATTACTCGAGGGTTATTTAGGTAAAAACTACCACACAACAAACAATAGCACCACTACAACGATTTTACACTAACAATCTTACATATTTAAAACCAAGAAATAAGGATGATAATGTAAATGTGCATCTGATTTAGATTACTATCTTGCAAGATATTTGACGTGAAGGAAATGCATATAAGCCACCTCAAGCGACGACACGTGACGATAAAATGATATCTGGGGAATTGCCGATGTAAGTTTCATTACACTAAGTGATAAACTTATGACAGTTTAGGGACGAAGTGACCGTCCTTCAGACACTGTTAAAGGTTGTGTCTGCTGTATCTAGTGTTAACTCTAATGTTCCTATTGTCGGGAATCTGTTACAACTAAAGGCCTGTTATATTCTACACAAACTATTTTATAATCAAACAACGTTTTATACATATAACTACTTGTACTGCTATCTATTATTGTTCGCTTCGTTATAATACTTACTTGTCTTTGTCATAGAGTGATACACTCTCTTCTGTGAAAGGAAAGTTGGTCACGTTTCGCCTCTTAGGAATTCTTTTCCTGCAAAATGACCAGAGAAACACAATTGTTCAAAATGACAGTCAGAAATAGAAATCAAAGCAAACAAAACAGGACTATTTTTAACCGTCTGAAATATGGTAATGGAGACATTTTTTAAACCGTGCGTTTAAAATTTCTTCATTAGTTACAAGATAGTTTTATTGAAATCAACACGAATAATGGGAATTGTTACTACATGGAAAGGTGTAGTGAAAATTGTCACTAACATACGGAGAATCACATGTCGTTCTTAATACGTTTCCATCATAAATTTATTTTGGAAATAATTTACATCTATAGCGTTAATGATACTGTTTTAATCAGAAGGGGACCTAATGTCCTTAAATAAGTATTTGATTTGGCGGTAAAATGTCATTAAACATCCTTATATCGTATACGTAGATTGCAAATTTCCGGATCATCGCTTGCTACACTTTTTTCCTTATATCGCTGCTACATGAACTGGCATATACGTGATACTGATAGCGACTTTTCGGGTGACAATAATTGACATATAGTGTCCCATTACACGGCGTGCTAAACCGATGATTCCTTCAGTCTAGCATGTGGTATCTACAAGGTGGCGTCTAAGACCAACTCGCACAGAAATAAAGCGCAATTAACCGGTGCTCTTCCTCCTCAGAGGATCTTCGATGCGTGAATACACAGCCATATCTAACTGGCGAAACAAAACACGTCATCAGATATAAATACAATGCTAACGATTGAAAATAAAGACTAATGAGGAGTTCCGAAAGCAATGGATACACTATCGAGTTAAATCTGCTGACATATTAACAGGTAGACAGAAGAAAACCTATAGACGACTTCCAATATTTGATATCAAACAAAGTGTGGTTGTTGTATCGTATCTTTCCCTTCATTTTTTTTCTGTTATTGAACATTAACATAAAGTTTACGACCGACAAAGTTAATTTTGAATGATACATTGATAAAATCATCTGATTGGAACTGACCATTATGACTTTGAAGGCCGCCCCATCAAACAAGTGTTTGTTATTGCCTTGGCGAGTTCGTGCCGCCAGCACGCCAGGTGCGACCATTCCACATTAAGCTGCTCCATAACTCAGCCTACATCCCATAAAAACGTGCCTTGTACGCGTATGTATTAGATCAATTACCCACTAATTATGACATTTCATGATGTTGTCTTCCATGTGGCCATTTGTTAGATGTAACCTGGTTGCCATGTATGTATTAATGTGGTTTCCATCAGCTGTGTTGATCCCATGATAATCGTTGTTCCTATCGCCTCTCATATCTTGGTCAAAGAGTTAGCGAAGACGTGCCAACACGAAACAAAGTATCGATTTGTATTTTATTTACTTTCGAGTGCAAATATGTTATACGCCATCTGAATTTATATTTGTTTTAACGAGGAAGGTGATGTATACAATAAGTGATGTAAATGCCTTTATGATTGAAGTCTATCAGCGGTGTTTAGATCTAATCAGATTGTTGAAATGAATGACACCTTTCGCCGAAATGCATTTTTCTGCTCTTATTTTCGCTTTGCATTCTGGCAAGTCCTAGAAGGATTGAACATTGTTTGACTGCACATTGTATGGGGAGATGATTTTAAACAAGGTATATAATAGGTATTAAAAACAGTATTAATCATGTTACCTTTAGTTAATGAAACATGCGCATGTGCAAACAGAATGAATTATACATTTCGGCACACTTTGCAAGGTCTCTGTGATCTGTTTTGATAAGCCCTTCGATAAATTCAGTCTATCCAGAAATGAACTTCAATTGAGATTTACAAACATATTTATATATCTTTACCTGTAATGTCGACAAACGACGATTAAAATGACAAGGAGGGTCATAAAGAGGACGAAGAAAGTAATGACGAGAATGAGGATGACGTGACGTAAATCCGGTTCTATCGTCACAACTTCCGGGATCTCATGTGTGACATCATAATCATCAAACTTTTCTCCTGAAATGATAATAAAATCAGAGATAAATATTAGTCATAGAAAATCTTACAAAGATAATCCTCTTACCTAGAAGAATAAATGCTACATAAATAAATCGCAGGAGATAGCTCTTACTCATGGCTACTAAATATAACAAAGATTTTTATTAAAAATAGATCTCACTGGCATGGACAAATCTCATAAAAAGATAGTTTTTACAGATATAAACCTAATACAAAGGATTAAATCTTACAAATATAAACTTTGAAGAGATAAATGTTAAAAAGTTAAACCTTACTCAATATATGGTACGGAAGAGGCATGCCATGTTGGTTATAAACAACCATGCATTTTCAATGACTGATCAAGATTATTCACATCAAAAGTATTGGAATTTTTACATATATATCAATATACTGTTACCATTGAACAAGCAGTACTCACTATCGAGTATTGCTATTAATGTTGTGTTGCATGTTTAATGTCCCTAACTCGATATCGCCACGTTAAATTTGCATAATTTGGAATGAATCGCTGTAATTGATGGGGGATTGGTTGTCAAATGGATCAACAATTCATGCAGCCGTTAGTAAATGGAGTTAACATATTGATGTTTAGTCAGAAAAGCGACATTGTAAGAAGAAAGTTGATAACTCGTAATTCACGTTCGCTATTTCCAATAATCCGTCATAGAACTAAAGAGAAGAACTACACAAGGACATAAATTGGTCATTGATAAAAATCACTACTAATATGGGGTTTTATCGTATTTTTTTTATATAGTTTTCACATGTTACATGATGACCATTGATGATGATGACAGAATTTCCATACTTACCCGTTTCTGTGGTAACTATTAGTGCTTCTTCGACTGACTTTTCTGTTGGTGAGGGGCGCCGCCTCGGCTCAATAAACATGGCTGCTAAACCAAGGGTGATGACTGTTTTATTATTTTCTGACACAGATGAAGATGGGGTTGTGTTGTAAGACACATTGTAATGACCAGTGGTCTCCTGGCTAGAGTCTACTGAGGCACTTGTTTCTTGGGAGGAGGGATGTGAGGTAGTTTGGTCAATGGATGATGGGATGGAAGTGGTAGGCGTAGGGATATGAATAAATTTGTACACTGCGTGGAAGCCCTTCCTTTGAACCCTGTCGTCCGTATGGAATGTGATAAACAATACATCATTTGATGACGTAACTGTCTTTTTGTTACGGCGTCCACAATAAATTCCTAATGTCGGAGACGAGTCTGAATCGCCGTCGAAAACCTCTATGAGGTCGTATGCTAATCGGCAAGGTCCATTCATATGTCTCTCTAAATCCATTGAGAGAAAGTTGAGGTATATTTTGGCTCCTTTGGGAGCCACAATCTTCCACTGACAAGACGTGGAAGGAGCGTAGTTGTTTGGCCAGTTTGGCGAGGAAATCATTCCATTATCCTCAGTTAGTGTTCCTCCACAGGGCCAATCTGTCAAGTGATTGATTAAATGAACGGTATCTTATTATTAAACATAACTATTATACATATTATCGATACTTATATTGGAACTTATGTGTAAACTGACAAGTGACAAACGGCAAATTATTAAGAATAAGGACGCGGATCAGATTGTTTTGGAAAATGGTCTTCATTTTAACATTGTTGATGTGTCTATCTAGTAGTATCGTTGTTATATCGCTGTTTCGTGAAAGGTCAATTTTTTATATTGTCACATTACTTGCTTAACATACGATGTGACGAAATGACTGCGAACTAAACATTCTTCTGAGCATCTCTCCTTTAATACTTTGATTATACGCAATCGTGCACAAACATCTTGAAACATTCAGACCCTATCATAGAAATTTAAAGGTAGACAAGTGACTTCCATTCCAGAAACAAAAACATTTAATTATTGTTTGTCATTCTGATTTTTGGAATTTTGTAAAAGGTTAAGAATGTTAGCTAGAAATAACTTACCTGTATGGAAGAAAACTCGGAAGCCCATGGCATCCTGGAATGCGTTAGAAATAAATGTGACATTTAAACTGTTCGATAAACTAATGTAGGAACTCTGCTTCGGTACACTGCACATGACCTTGCGACGATGATCAAGGTCAACATCGGCCTTATCGATTATCACGAGTTTATCGTCAGCTTCCTCACATTCATCATTATCATGACGACCAAGGTCGAAATGAGAAAATTCTAATTTTATAATCTGAAAGAGAAGATGAATCTTTAATGAAGTAATATCAATATGATGATGGAGGCAATCCTCAGTAAGAGACCTAGGTTCGTATAGTTCATATTTATTTGAAAACCACCCGAGAGCTTTTGTATAAAGTAAAAAAATTAACGCAAAGAGAACAGCAGTCATACAAAAATGAAAAATAAACATCTTTGACTCGTTACAAATAAATGTTGTGAATATAGGTTGTTGCAATAAAGACAATGGGGTAATGAAAAGACACACTTTAAAACCATGTCTCAGAGTAATAGCTTATAAACATTGTATATAACTTAAACACTGATCTTTTATATATATATAATAAATCATTAATATTATCTACATATCTTTCCGGTTTAAAATGGTTTTCTATAAATATCTCATTCGTTGTAATTTTTAAGGTGCAAAATTTAAACTGAAAACACATTTTTCTCTCTGTTTAGCTATTTTCTGTTGTGATATGTATGTATCCGTATACTATTTTTGTGGATTATCTTTAAGTTTATGAGAAACAACAGATGTCTTACACGAAATTTCGGGACCGTGATTTGCCAAGAACATTCCATATTGTGGTAATAGTTCCTTGGCCAATTGGGAGAGGCGAAGTTACCCTCGGATGCGTAAAAGACTCCTCCACAATCTGTAAACAGAACAGGATTTCAAAGGCTTATAAAGTAATCAACATCACCCTCAACCAATATTTTGGGATAATGGACATCAGAGATTTATTTCAAGATTAACATCATCATTATGACACTATAATGCTAGTCTACACAAAGCCTTTTAAGGTGGAGTTTTGACACTATAAACGACAAAATATTTACCAGCATTTTCTGACGTTTTCTACAATCTATGCTCAATTGAAATGAAATAGATTTACCTAAGAAAGGTTTCATTTCGAAGTGATGTACTTGTGCAAATCCATGACTTATCAATCCGCCAACGTCACTTCCCGTCTTGGTGCCGAGCAAGCATGTGCCATCTTGAATCTGCAAAGAACAGATTATCAGTAAAAAAAATTGAAGATTCGTGTATATTTTGTCTTCCTCGCTGATAATTCATCTGAAGTCACATTGAGGGTAGTAGCGTGTTTGTTCTGGTTTATTTCAAGATGAAAGAAAAACATGAGTGACATTTAATTTGGTTCTAGCATCTAGCATCGCACTGAAATATATCTTGAAAGACTTATTTCCAGCAGACGGTCTATTGTAGAAAAGGTCTTACGTTACCCGAGCAGACTCTCAGTGACAGCAAACGGGAATATAGAAAATCACTGCCCGAGATTCTAATCAACCATAGACAACACACTTATCACACAAACAAGCATACCTGATAGTCGAAGGAGCGACACACGAAATCGCTTTCCTGTAGACATTTTCTTGCACAGTTGTTTGGCGTCACCCGCTTGAATGTTTTTTCGTTGTTACCAAGAACGGCGGAGTACGGCGTAGGGTAAAACATCTCCAGGTATTCCTCTGTCGGGAACAAATGTTGATTGTAAAAATAGATAAATAAAAATCGACTGCCTTAGAAATCCAGTTCTGTTCAACGTTCTGTTCAGGAAAGTAATATATATTCGACTATTAATTGTCATATAGTACTAAGATTCTTCAACTACGATTAGAAGGGGAGATGTTTCATGTGTTGCAACCATGAAAAACACACATGCTACACAACCAGGATTTCAGGAGATGTGAAAGATACCAAGTACCTACAGATCATCACATCGATCAAACTTGGATGTAATCAACATTGTACAATCCATAAACGGTATACCACTGATGGTTTTATAAAATGATAATCACACCAAAGAGATACTTATTACATCTTTGAATGCTTTCTTACATAAGCGTTTGACGTTCCTCTAAAACTAGGTATGAAATAAATACATGAAAATAATGAAAATAAATAATTATGGGGCTAGTTCACCTCCCCATCTAGATTTTGACATTTCTTTCGATTGCTTTGGGTTTTCTTCATTCGTCTCATACCTTTAACATTAAGGCCATTATCATCGGTTACAATAAGGACAACATAACTGTATGATGCAATTAACTTCACCGTTTAGCTCTATCTAGATATGTGTCTTTTATTCAATCCTGTAGAATACAGTAGCTCTATAGTAAGAAAAGCTAACCATGATGTTACAGGAATAAGGCTAGATTTGAACGAATGGAATCACATAGAAGACTAAATCTATGGTTACAGCTGATCGATATAGTATCGATATAATTAATTTATCGCGCTTCGACGCACAATACTTCTGGGATCAACACATTCTCATAGAGGAGTTGCTATCTATAAACGGTATAGTTGTTTCGTCATCATGCGGTGTTTAAATTCTCAAATAGAAATATGATATTATTTGCATTTTATAATTTGATTTCAGATGAAATAATTTGTTTTGATCTGCAGTGTCAACTTTCGAACATGGTTGATAATTTTATTTAATGTGGGTTTCAGTTCTCAATGTTTGTGTTGAGATTGTATATGAGGCTAGGCTATTCACTGCAATATAAACTTTTTGCAAATAGATACTCATATGAGACACAAGGATAAACTGTTATGTTACATTCTCCTTTTCATTTGTAAATTTGAATTGTAATTCTCTTTCCATGTTTCCAATGTTATTTATTCCTCAGACGATGCATTCAAGTTTCACCCCTTTTTTTCCATTTTCATTGTAAGTATTTATTTGACATCAGGGACAATCCACTGCAGATGAACTGTTTATCATTTTAATTCCCTGCACTACTGAGCCACCATGAAATGTATTTTATCAAAATCATTTTTCGAAGGAACTATCGATATTGAGAGTGTGTTGAAACAAATTGTATTACTATAAAGCTTCATCTTCGTAGAAAAGGAATCCTTCGTAAGATCAAACTCATTTGGTTATCGCGAGAAAAAGTCTCATGTTGCCTTAATTTCACATTCCAGTTCACACACGTCCTCGTAATCAATTTCATCATCAGTCTCATCAGTATGACGGGGAATAACAAATTACGACAGCGTATCATAAAAACGAAACGAATATATACGAGATAAGGCAAAGGAAAAGACAACTTTAAAGAATTTGGGGCATAATTGTAGGAAAAAGTCAGAAACATTCAACTGTGCGTTGATCAAACACCATGAGACAAAAATGTTTGGATGATATGTTGTTCTTCAAAACGGCACGGAGTACATTTGATAATGAACTTTTAACCTTCTGTGTATTGTTCTTCCCAAGGTTGCTATTCACAACTAGTGTACACATCAGTGAAGCAGCAGTGCAAGAGCGATGTGTTATATATGTATTGGCTTTGCTTTTCAACATGACTACAATCCATTTTCATAAAATAAATAAGCGAACATTAACATGTACTTTAAAAGTGATAGATCATTATTTTGTTTTTACTTGTAATATTTTCAATACACTAAATGCATTCAGCAGCTTTGCCGACGTAATAAAAATGAACCTCGTTTTCTACACTTTCGTTATCTATAAATCACATTGCTGCTCCAGCTGCTGCCGCTCCTATGAGATGATAGTGATCAGGAGTTATCTCCCTTCTCTAAATCTAGAACACACTAAATATAACATGTATAAGAAGGAATCGACTTGCAAAATTTTGAAACATGATTTTAACAAAACTATCATCACATCAAGATTACGCACTGTTCCCCGCTTATGAATGACGAGACGGAATATTTTAAAGTCCTCTCCATAAAAAATACGACCATTTTAACACAGGTTTGTGGTACCTATCAAAGCTCTCTAAAGCCTCTGCTGTACCCAAACAGTGTTAAATTTTCAATTCTTGATGTAAATAAATTCTGGGCACTGATTGTAGATTAAAAAGCCTAACGCTTGCATGTCTGGGTCTTTTGTTGCCTCGAATGCAAGGCTACTTATCGGATAGAATCGCCGAGCCTTAAAGCGAGTTTAATGACCTTCGGGTGTAGGTGGTAGAATCTCCAGTTTTATTATGACAAATTACAATAAAAAAACAAAAAGGCTGACATCAAACATATGTTTGTGATGTTTAGCAATATTTAGCGATTTTTGACAAATATCATCAATTTGTACAGATAAAAATCATTTTGGTCTCTTTAAGTTAAAGTTTGATCAGTGTAGATATAGAGCTCTGTGAACAAACCACCAACGTTGATTTTGTAGAACAGAACTCTTCCTTCACTACATCATTAATCAAAGTTTTATTGGCATCGAAAATTTCACTTCCTAACTCCATTGAAGAGCTTGCCGAAGTATTTTTCTTTCTAAAAACGACCAAACGTTAATAATAAGTCAATTATTGGTTGTATCTATTTTGAAATTTTCAGTGATGTGGTGGTACTCTTTGCTGTCTTGATATCGGTGTTTGAAATATGACACTGTCTATACTGATGTATAGGACAGGGTATGTACGTCTATGTAAGATACTATGGAAATGATAAATTACAATAGGCCATTGATCATAAACGGGGAATATCTCAGGAGATTGCCGACATAGCTTGCTCATTTGCTAATTACAACGCATTCTAATCAAACGTCCCTTTATTACTCACTGCTGTTATGTATGACCTGGCCATTGAAAACTATAAACCACATAAAGTGTTGGTTTCGAAATAATTAGTGAGCTTTTTATATCGGTGGAGGAAAGTGTATCTGTTCTACTCAGGAACAAAGGCCAAGTAGACACAAAACGTTTTTGCAATATTTCCCTTATGTCTCATACATATTCATGAAATATGTCTTTCGTGCAGACAACAATCCAACTGAAATTCAAACTTGATCCATGCTTAAATAAGTATCTTCGTCTCATGTTGAAACCAATCATGATCTAATCTCCAGCATATGCATAAAAACACGTATACTGCCCCCTACACATCTTTCGATTAGAAATATAGGGTTTACACAGACTATTATTATTTTCAATCGCCGAAAACTTCGTTTATATTTTCATCATAAAATTTAATGTGAAAAATACGGTATTCAATATACGATTTTCTGTGAATTATTACATCGTTGAATTGTTTAACCTTACGTTTGAGTCTAATTGTGTTTTCAGTATTGCACAATGAAAAGCTGACTCGGACGTTATTTTAACAACTTGTTCGGAGGAGATGAACAGATGAACAAGTTCATTTTGGAAGGGAATAATACACAACATCACCACATCACACGCTCTGGACTGCAGACACGTTTCTCTGCGATAAGTGTTGCAGCTAGGTGGCCAATAACAAGCCGAATCGCTTTTAGCTTATATGGACGAGTAGATTCTTGAATCCTGGTGACGTCTCCTGATGCTTTCTTCGCTTGCTTATATATATTTTACAAATGAATGCCCCAAGACATGATTTCCTGCACATGAGAAAGCACTTTGACGAGTTCTACGCCAAATTAGTGGAATGCACTGCCGCAGGACCTCGTTTTTGTAGACTTAATTAGGAGATAAACGTGGTTCTGTCGAACCTTAAAGGTAGGCAAGTCCCGGAGCCTGTCTAACGCTGCGTCTGGAGGAGCTCTCTAACAACGGCGTACAAACAATCTAGTGTGTTTAACTGCGCCATGGTCTTCGTCTTCCTATGTCGTCTTCTTAAATAAAAGGTTTTCTTTTGTCAACGGAAACGGTTCATTTATACGCTTTCTAACGCAAAAAGCTGATCCCATCCTACATCCAATACTTTTCACCTGCAGAACGTCATTATGCATGCATTGTTTACATGAATACCCGTTTTACTTTTCTACTTAATCTGCATGTGTTGTTTGCCGACAGTTAACCGTGTTGTCCTTTGTCACCATAATAGGCTTTTCGATTTCTTAAATAATGGCTTTTACTGATAACCTTGATCTAACGATTCTAAAGTTACAATGTGCTATTTACTCGTTTGTGTTCTGTACACTCATATTGCCAATACCTGAATCTTTGAATCAAATACCTAGCTTAATGTACTGAATGAATTGGTTTTTAACACGTTACTATATGTCATTTTAATCTTAACAAAGTATAGATGTAAAGACAATTTCTCCCACCATTAACAGTTTAATATTAACGTTTTCTAATACACTACACTTTTTATTCATGATTTTATAAAATAACGATCAATCAGTAGAGCAATCGCACTGGATCACGTGTTTCTTTAATGTTTAATATACTTTATTACATATCGACCACTAAATAGAGTATATTTCTGCTGTGTTTGGTAGTCTCGTCCAGAGGTAATACAGATGGTGTTTATATAGTTTATATCGCTATCCAGTGTATCGTAGACTGGCTTAATAACGTCTATAATCATGTATACCAATTTAAACGGACGATTCATCCCGAAAAGGGAAAAACTTTGTCTTATACTTTAGCCATTTAATTGCTCATCTTCCCGCTTTATTTACTGATCAACCATTTTATTGTTTCAATATAAGTCAAAATGAAGTGTCACTTGGTTACAACTATTGTGTGATGGTTAGTTATACAATCTGTATTGTCAATACGGAAGGTTCTATATATGACAAAGTAACTGATGCATAAGTACCCCAGATATGTTAATCCGAATTCCAGCATGACCTGTCCAATCACAAACCGACGTTCAATATTGGGTTCTTTCGGCATCAAGGAGTCGCTCTCCATGATACCTCGTCCTTCCCTATAATGATACCTGATATGGTCCTACGTCGTGTTAATGACATGATAATCAGTTCAATTAGCAACAGAAAGAGCGTGACCTAAAGCTGATTGTTATCACTCGTTCCGTTTAACTTGCCTTATTCTTGATTAGGGAAGTAATGATTTTGTAACCATGATAATAAGAAAGCCGTCCGCATCTTGGAATGTAATAGATATAAACATGATTTCCCACTCAAAATTGTTATATAGTATATAAGTGTTACAAAATGGAGGATCTAGGAACTGTATTATTGTTGAAACTAAAGCATTCATCAATATAAGTTTAACAATGCATGTCTGTACAATGTAGAACATCTTCATATCTACATATGTATAGTTTCGGGAATTTAAAACGCTTAGAATTATCTTAAAACATGCAATGATTAAATGAAAGGTTTAAATTATTTCACAATTCGTATAATTTTGGTTTAACTTCTATATAGCTGAGGTCATACCACCATTGTATGAACTATTAGTGGGTCAGTTAAAAGGGGCTGCAACACGAATTATACGGCAACAGGAACCTTGCAACCACTCGCCTTTATGAATGAGGTTTCTGATTATGAATTCATGTTGGTAATTTCAATTAAGGAGTATTGTAAAAGCGTCAATACACTGATACATTCTCTGTCATGGTGTAGTGGCAGGTTATCATTGATTGCATTTTGTTCTCTAGCAAGCAAGAATTCATTTCGGTAAAAGATTCAACGCCTTATTGACAGCTCTCGAGATGAAAAAACATTCTTGTGGTTAAGGAATGCAGGATGGTGTCCAATTTGTATAATTAATTCCTCTCCTAAAAACCGTTGGTCACTTTCATACAGAACATTGCAACTCACTGTTGCAGGGTTAGCAGACTTCGTCGACCACTGGACCAATTTTACTTTGAAAGAATATTATTGAATTTTGGTTTTATTTGTTATCTAACCAAACTGTTTATGTGCAAGATTACTAAATATTAGCAAGGGTATCAATGAATTTAAAATAAAGCTTGAAATACTCGCCATGAAAACATTTTACTGTTGTGGAACCTATTTTCAAATGTTCAATTTTGAATTTAAATCTTACCTTTGAGTTCAAAATGCATTGACTTGAAATCTTCAGAGAAAGACGTACTGACCCCGTGCACATTCGCTGCTATATACTGACTCATGTGACACGAATCATCATTAAAAACATAGTCAAAACTGTAACATCGGAAGGAAGTTTCCGCCAAACACAACTGCGCGCATGCGTCCAACGTAACGCCAAGTATGATTTTGTTGTAAACTTGAATTCCTTCAATTTGCTGTAAAGTTCCATATCCAAAATTTACAAACTTTTCCATGGGACCATCTGAAATAAACAGATCAAGGGAATCATTAAGCAGTAGTTTAACCAGTGTCTTGCAGCTAGTGAGTGCTAATGATAGTCGACTATAAATAATATTATTGTGTGATATCCAGTCACATAATCCGTGAAATAATGAGAACCTTTTGTGTAAGATGTCATTTTACATCCAGATCGCAAAATTATAATTAGTTGAAATATAATTCAAACTTTTGGCCCATGAAAACTACCAGCTATACGTAGTTTAACGATTGCAGTATTTGGTAGAAATTTGACAATTATTCTTACTTGATATTCTTTCGTAAAAGTCCGTCCCTGGCAGGATAATTACTCCGCCGGAATCTTTAGGTGTCAGGTCAGACAGCCAACAGTTCCTTTGGCGAACTTCATAATCGAATCCCTGGCAACGGAAGTTCACTTCTAATATACATCGACGAGCACAATCTTCCACTGTCAGATCCGGAATTTTCCGTTTATGTTCAAAAGTCACCACGTGGTTTGGAATTCGATTAAATAACTTTTCATAGGCCGCTGAAACAACAAAGCAATTATAGTGAGTGAAATGTTGGCTTCTCTTAATGTTCATAAATACCATTCTATAAATACCTCGCATTTTATCGATGGTAGATCCTTTTCAACAGGATAAAGGAGAACATTGGTTTCTCTTCAATATTCTGATATGATATTAAATTTCTAATTCTGTGAACCACACGAGATGAGAGGTACAGATGAATTTGCTTTAATCTCTGAATGAAAAATATTTCATCAAGAAAGCAAATTTTATTAAAATTCCTTGTTCAGTGTTCCTCTGCCATATTGAAATCATCAAATATCCTTGTCTTAAATACAATATTCAATCGTGATATTTATCTTGAAACTTCACTGTATTTCAATAACGACAAATTATCTACTAAAAATCATAACAGTACAAGTAAATGGTGGGATTGGTTATATCAAACAGACCTGCAGTGTATATTACAGATACAAGTATTACACACACCAGTAAAAACTGAGCACAAAAACGAGCCGTCTTTGCCTTATTCACACCTAAATGCGTGACAAACAGCTATGGCAATCCCGAAACCGTAACGTGGGAGTTCAATTCTACAGAAGTCTGATCATTAAAAAAAAACCTGGAATACATACATCCCAAGGGAACCAAAACATTCCGTCTAAATATCCAAACAGAATTCCATACAACAGACACAGGGATACCCTCCGAACACGCGATCAGCGATGTATCCTTATTTATGTTACTCTATACACTGTGTTATATCGTGTTTACTTGATACAGCCAGATGACACAGACGTGTGTGTTTTATGTCTGTAATTTTATTGTTATAATAAATAGACCAGTTGTACATGTGTCTGATACTGATTCTATATGAAGTGATGCTGTTACGTGTCTTATGATGGTAAGTTGAATTCGTTTTCTTCGTGTGTATTGTTAATCTGGCAACATTACATATTTCTGAAAACCAGAGAAGAGGTATACAAATAAGGTAACTTCTGGAAATTGTTTGTTCAGGGTTTAACATACTGATAACAGTCGGGATAACATGAAGCCAGGTGTCTAAGAGGGCGTCAAGGGTGGAAACAAGGCACAGAAAAAACAAAGACCCACAGAATTGCTATGGAAGCATCACATATGCTCTCTTAACTTCAATACCTCATTGTTAATCTAAATAGTACTTTACTAAAAGTAATCCTACACGAGTGTTTGTTTCATGATGTGCCAAAAGTCTTTAGGTGAGTTGTATATCAACGACTAAGATGCATTTTAATAAAATCGACATCTAGATAAGTCGTTTCACAGGGTAGCCGGCCAACCAAAGAATTCCAGTGCAATGAGTCTTTTGTAGAATAGCGTTGAATTGATACATCTCCATAATAGCAAATACATTTCGCAGTTTCATAATGGTCCTGTTCCAATTATTACTGTTAAACTTAAAAATGACCATGTATTTGTTTCATTTATCAACAGAAATCATGAAGCTGTTGTAAGGAGGACTAGTCTTTGTCCTATGGACTTCGCGCGAGCCACGCGTGCTGGCAATCACCCCGAACGTGCCGCGACGAGAACTCTCCACGGACAATTTACAATTATTCGGCTGATTTACAACCAAAGAAATGTGATTTGTTGGCGTTCATTCTCTATAACCTGGTCAGCATTAAGTCAAATGTAGTCAATAATTCGTATTTTATATCAAACTCTGTACATGTGGTGTTAGTCACTGAAATTCGATCGTGTATGTTGTAAATAACAACTATATCCTGTAGTATCAACCACAGGATCAGATGAGAGTGTGAATGGTGTATGATAATGCTGACATGTTGGTATTTTTCCTTACATGTTCACATAAAGCCGCCTGCGCTGTTGAGTTAAGCAAGCAATAAGTTATTTTTGTTGTTAACTTCATGTGTTCTGGGACTGTGTGTTTATTAAGTTGTCGCCATCAGCGGCCATAACCTTCCTAGTCTCTGCTAGAGACGAGAGATGCATTTGTTGTCCCATTTGTTTATCTGCTTTGTTCTTTTAATCCTTTTTTGGTGGTGTTTACCGATATCATGATCATGTGACACGGTCTGGATGACCTAGACTTAGATCGTAGAACCTCTTAGTTTTGGAATGTTCCACAAAGCATAAGTCGCCTGGCAAATGAATCGTATTGTATCGTAATTAAACAACTTATATAAAAATAATTGTCCTGTAGCTAACTGGCATTTATTTTTAATTAAGTGGCACTCATTTTTATATTTTTGCAAATTTTGTTGCTGTCAAGTTTGAATGAAGTACAAACATGACAGCTCAATGTCACCACAGTTTCTTGAATATTTAAACCCTTGATATACGCGATATCTAATTGATGAAAACTACTCCTGTTTAATATACACGTGTGTATTTTAAGAGCATCCAATGTCTATTTACAATATCATGATCTTCATTTTAATAATAACAATATATTTGTATTTTGAAATGTATTTCAGGGTGAGGGATATCAGGATAACTGATATTCCACAACATACGTTTATAAAGCCTACGTTAAAACACATTATATTAAAGCTTCCTGATCCAAGGACATATTTACATCTGGTTTATTTCGTAACACAAAGTTTTATATTATTCTAATCTATTTACTGAATTATCGGGCTAGTGCACCTGCCTATTTGAATTTTGACATTTCTTTCGATCTCTTCGGATTTTTTCAGTCGCCTCATAGGTGTAACGGTTAGGCTTACAGACGAGTTCTACATAGACCGAAGCACAATGCAGATTAATTCATTGTGTGGCTCTACTGTATTTGATCTAAATTTGTAATAAAATGAGCTAATCATTCTTTTGTACAATATCTAAATATCAGTAACTATTAGTCTTAATTGTTTTTTAAAAAGTGTACAAACCACGAGAACAATTGAAGAAATTTCTTATTATTATATCTACCTTAAACATTTTTCTCCCTCGGACTAACTCTTTTGCAGGAACATTATTTCGAATCTGTAGCAGCAAATCAACATGGTTATTATGCGTGTTATTTGTTGAGAACACTACAATCTGACCAACAGACAGTGTTTGGTGTAGATATGTATATTGTAATCAGAGTTAGAGCATGAAATGTTAAGCATTAGAAACACTTGTATTACGTATGTTTACAGTACTGCTCTATATCGCGAAAACAATACTCGCTAAAATTAAGCGAACTTTGGTACAACTGAAGATATATGGACTGTTGTGTTTGTTTCTGCTTCCCATACTTACCGTAAACACATCAAATCTGGATTACGATGACGGAGATTTATCAACGGTGATGTCTTTCACCCGTCACACTGGTGAAGAGGTACTTTATTCAATCATTAACTTTCGATATCAAATTAAATATAAGGTTGAGCCTGGATTATGTAGCTGTAGACATACATTATACCATGTATGGCTTCGTGACTCGTACGTCATGGACGGCTCGTGTAATTAGGTCATCTCGGTATTTACAGTATTATCTAACCCTAAAGAAGCCATTTGCTGGTCAGCACGTAATTATCTCGAGACACTAAAAGATGGGGGGAAATCTTGTTAAATGCTCTCCAGGGCACACCACACCTAAGGCTAGACATGTGAAAAAAGTGGTCCACACAAGTCATAAAACCACTCCATCACATACATTGCGCTCACATGTTTAGTGTAATCACATGTTATTTGGTGCAGTGGGTTAATCGTTGATTATTACCGGTGTGAATATAAAATAAATCGGATCTGAACAAAGAGTACCTCCTATATCTATACCGATGCCTTTTTTAAACATCTATCATTCAAAAAATAAATGTGTAAAGAACACAGAAATGAACATCTTTCAAAACCAATTTAACAGTAGATATAATATATACCCAAATATGAAAATGTCCGTGATGCCAATAGTATGAACGATCTCATGTCAGGTTAAACAAACTTCACCGGAGCAAACGCTCAAATATAGGCGGAGGGCAGTATCTAGATAATAGACAAACCGATTTAGTAAATTTTTCATGGATGGTTTTTTCGGTGGTCAAATTTTTTCATGACTTTAATGTCGGAACATATTATGATGTTATGGTAAAAAAACATTTGGATGCATGAATTGGCATTATACTGTACCAAATTATTTTTAATAAAAAAAAAATTCCATCCACTTTTGGTTCTTTTAACATTCCATATTGTAGTACTGTTGATTAGATAAAAAATGATAAAGAACATCAGAATTTTTGCTCGGAGAAACTGAAACGAATAAAGTAACCTTCAAAGTCATCCTATAATAATAACCCCCTTTGTCTTCTGTTAAGCTGGTTTTTCTTTCAAAATAATGGGAAATAATTCTTGGATAACGCATAATTTTTCTTCATATCATATGTTCGTTTACAGTTGTTTTGATAAAAATCGCCTTTATGTTGAAATCTTAATCACGCACGCTTTCTTACATTGTGAACATCCTTAATTGAAATCTAGAATATAGTAGGATCGCCCATGTGGTGAGAGTTTGTGGTCTTTAGCCAATTTCATTGCTCAGATTTTTACAGTTTTGTATAGTGTTTAATATTGATTGAAAAAAGTTCTTGATGACGTCATTGCCTGTTTAGCACTCGGCGTCGTGAGAGAAGATCGGCTGAGTTGACCTAGCCACAGGGAGACTGATTTCACAGCTAGGTCGGAGGCGAGAAACGTGTGGACAAAGACATTGTACGTAACTTTAAATATCTGTACAGACCTGTTATATCGAATCAAATACTCACATACATTCTGTGCTTTAACTTAATTCTAATTCCCATTTAACTTAATTATTACGTACTAGGTTTACGTATTAGGACTTAATTGTAATTTAACTTACTGTTTTCTTGTGTTCCTGTGACGTTACAGGAGACTTCACTCTAATAAAACATATATTACAGTAACCCACTGATAGAATAGAGATCACACCCAAATTCAATTAGGTTAGAGAACATATCAAGTGTTGCTTTAGACTAAGTAACACATATATATTGTTTAGTCTACCATTAGATAGAACCACCGTAATTTTGTCCCATTTGATTTTCCTACACAGAATCATTGCCATATGTTACTGTTTTTGAAGGGAGGAACAAGTTTAATAAAAATATTCTCTAGAATGATTTACTTAAGGTTAATAAAGAAAGCACTAACTCAGAAGAAAGTAATAGTTCTACGCATTCCTTGCATTCGAAATGATCTCCTTATCAAAGTTTTACTCGATGAATTTCCTAATGGGATGAATGTTAGTGTAATTCGAGTGTGTGTGTATGTGCGCATGTTTTCCTTTTTCCCAAGTTAAGAGCACTTCCTATTGGTTTTATCTATTTATTCATTTTATATATGTATTTCATGAATTCGGAGTGGTAGCGTTCGCAATAAACAAGAATTGTGAATATTTTCATATGGGTTTCGTATCGTATGATCTGGCTTGTTTTTGAATATCCCAATGGTCCTTGACGGTGATTTTGCTTCCTAATGAACTTTTAATACATTATGTATAATTGTATTATCTAATTTCTTTACTTAGTCGTTACGAATTATTTGTTGAGTCAATTATTTTGATTTAGTTTAACAACTTGGACTACCCGTGTTTCCTAATGACACTGATCTAGCAATGAAATACACAATAGGGAAATTGAAATCGTCACGCTTATCATAGAGCTTGGTTAAAGTCTGACATGGTGTTTATCTTGTCATTTTGGAATTTTTATTTACTGTGATTGACCAAGACGCACACGTCAAGCGTTGTCAAAGAACCAGAAGACTGTTTAGAGACTACCTGGTTTTATCCTCCTTGTAGCCGTCCAGGGATCTCCGTGTAGTTCGTCTTATTTTATTCTAGTTTTATTAAATCTGTGTTCTGAATAAGATTCTATCTACAAGTCGTCAACAGAATACTTATATAGTGTCAATAATCAAATATTATATCAGATGTAACCCTTTGTGTATAAAGTAATAATTTCCTATCCATTCGTTACCCATGTGTTAATAAACCCATTTTTGCTAATTCAGGGCAATTTAACAAGCTATCATTATGCGATGACTGTCAGGAAAAAATATTGATGCTTTTTGGGGTTTTTTTTTTAGAAATAAATTGTTTTATTTCAATACGTAAAATATGAGATAAAATCTAAAATTTACCCGACCTCTGTTTTGATGCCTGAATGTAGCTGGTGACAGGCATTGGATGCTATGATGGGATGTGCCTAGGGGGTAACATGTGTTTATGTCAGAGTTGACGGTCCTAAACTTGCTTCTTCTTAATAATGAACGATATTGATCTCTTTCAGATGCAATGCTTGGGGCAATTTTTGTAGAGTGTTCTTTAACAGTTATTTTGCTGCCGTGTGTAAGATGCGTCATGAGATAGAAGGTGAATCTGTTGGTCATCATGCCCAACATTCGAGCTGCACAATTACGACACTGGTAACCCAATTCCAGCAATCACTGTTAGTCTAACATGAAATGTATCTTGGTTCGTTAAGTGGAACAATGTAAATCCCATAATAATTGTCCTTCCTTGTTTCTCATTTCCATTGGAATTTTAATCTTGAAATAAACAATAAAGGAGTAAAGAGATATATATGTTAAGTTATCTATAAATATAATATAAAGTATATGTTTTTAAATGTTTATCCTCGAAAATCAACGTGACAGGAAGCGAGAAACATTATCATTTCTTTCACAAAAGACACATTTGATAATATTTGTTAAATGAATTGAAATCGACCTTTCAACACTTGCACGTGTTTATTGTGATGAAATGTCCTGGAGTCGAGATCATCTGAAACACCTCATGTGAGCAGTACTTACTTCTGTAATGATCGGCGAATGTAGACACCTGAAGGGTAACGAATGGTTCTTCGTGAGTGTGGTTCTGTAATCGACAACTTCCAATAGTATTATCCAGGTCGAATGACATACATTCGAATTCCACTTCCCGTACACACAGTTCTGCGCATGCTTCAACTGAGGAGTTCCGTATAGTTTTGACGGGAATTGTTGACAGGTGCATTTGTGGCATACGAACAAACAAAGCTCGAAAGCTCGAAAGGTTTGCTGAAATAAAGAAGAAAAAAAACTAAGTTGAAAATCCAAAGAAATCATCACACGATTTACCTAAACATAAGACCTGTCTGTGTAAAAAGCTAAATTTAATATAAAATTTTAATTAACCACGAGCTGTGTGAAATATGCCTGAGAAAAGACAGCGATGAAAAGAAGACAGAAATTCTTCAAGATATTGTCAATAACTATACAAGATTTTGTCATTAACCGTACAATAAATTGACATTAACCGTACAAGATATTGTCAATAACCATACAAGATTTTGTCATTAACCGTACAATAAATTGACATTAACCGTACAAGATATTGTCAATAACCATACAAGATATTGTCATTAACCGTACAAGATATTGTCAATAACCATACAAGATATTGTCATTAACCGTACAAGATATTGTCAATAACCATACAAGATTTTGTCATTAACCGTACAATAAATTGACATTAACCGTACAAGATATTGTCAATAACCATACAAGAGTTATCTAAAGATGTTAATTCCCGAGGTTAGGAATTCTTTAGACATCGACAAAATGAATGGGTTTTTTTTCAAATATTTTTCTTTTCCTTCGGGTTTCTTAGGTTTCATCAATTTAGGCCTTAAGTATCACTGGCAAGTGCAAGAAGGTCGAACCCGCTGTATGTTTCAGTTTAATTCATTATTTGGCTATACTATATATAGGAAAGGAAACAATGCTTGATACATAATACATGATAGTTTGGCAATATAGTACCCATATTACAGAACACACTGCGGGGAGGAGGCATTTGATACCGCCGACTTAGATTGAAGACCTGTTTGCAGAAAGCCTTTGAAATTGTTGTTTTGTCACTTGTAAAACGCATACAGAACTTCCAAAGTTTCAGAAATAATGAGAATTCTTGAACTTCTTGGAAGTTTGGTATCGATTTGCTGTCTCATTTGTATTGAAAGATGCTATTCACTTGAACGATCTCAATTTTTACTTCACAACCTTCACCACTCAAAAAGGACAGCATGTCTTTGATATTGGGAAGTTCTCATAAAGTTTGCTATCTGTTTGCTTTGTGAAAGTTGTACCCACGGTAATTATACACCGGCAGTTGACACGGTTTAACAATTTGTAAGAGATCGAAATATCCAATGCGTAGGTTTTTACCTTTAATTGTCTCAAAAAACAAGCCTTAATTGGCTATAAACAGCGGCTCGTAGACAGGGCGAACTAAGCCTATCTCTGCGTGAGGCCAAGGTTTATCTCCCTTCGGCTGAACTCTGGCGGAGTTTGCCGAAGTTTATGGACCACCGTTCAATGGTTATCGACAGGAAAGATTTAGGGAATGGATGTTAGTATACAGCTTCAATTAGCACGTTGGTATGGAAGCCCTAACCTGCGCATATATACTATTCTCAATGTCTTGCATTCCTAGTTATTTCTTTCAGAACAATCGGAAATTCTACATTTGTTTCGTTCTTTTAAACTGTTTCGGAGTTATCTCCCCTACTGACGGTACAATGTACATGGCAGATTCGTGAAGAATACTCATGATTGAAAAATGCACGAAATGTTTATTTAACTAAGTATTAATAAAGATATTTTACATTGTAAGTTTCAAGTGCTATCTATTGCGATATCTCTTTAAATATTGTAATAACTGACGTAATGCATCATATATGTATGATTTTGTCTATCGCTATCACAGTTTTATATCTCGTGACCGCCACTTTGAAGAAAGTTATTCGGTAAAAAATGAATATGCATCAAATTCAACAGACGGAGAGAAATATCAATAAAATATATTGTTATTATTTTTATTGTGTACGCCTAATGCAGTCCACGAAATGTTGTGACTAACTCTTCCGGCAATACTACTTTTCCATTAGAGTCCATCGTAGAAAAGTCACTATCTGCGCTAATATTTCAGGGGCAGATAAACTGTATTCGGTTTTCTGTAACGATTTGGTCACAGCAGAGAAAAAAACAATTTGTGCATTAGCATTGTCTCCCCGTTCGAGTATAGAACAGACAGGGTCGTAAAACTTATCTATTTGTGTTCTAAAACCCAAACCAATGACCGGAAATCGGAATTCCGGACCATGTGATATTACCCCATTATTATAAATAAAAGGGTTTTTATCATCCAGCGGACCGTGTTCTTGAGATCCTTAATAAGCCCTTAATTGACTTGTTCATTACAAGTAATTATTGATTGTGGATAAAATTCGTCCAATTTATGGGCCCAGAGTGGCCATAACTACATTCCTACAAATGACCACGTGTCCGAAATTTCCCCTTGGGAGGAAACTTCTTTGCTCATAAACAATTAAATGGGCCGGGTCCCCACTTAATTATCGACACTTTGTGGTCAGTCTGGATAAAGCTGAACTTGACATTGAAGACTGCACAGTGATAGCCACACTTTCTAGAAATGACATCACTCTCTGTTCACCAATACACAATTAGCTTAAATATTTTGCGTAAAATATCATATTATATTTTAATATTGTATTATATTCATATACTTTTTTTCAAAATGGTTTCTCCCTTTAGCTACTGTAAGGAAATAATGAAGCGTTTTACTAATGATATCAAACACTATTAATGTAAACAGTGTTGACAATGCGACGATGGATTTAAAATGATATTTCTAGGCTGTGTATTGACATTCCTGGTATGTTTACCTAACCTCGATCGACAGAAACGCCGATGAACTAACCGTCCAGCATCAAATATATAATGGAGAGCGAATCTTATTGTTACTGTATATAAATAAGCTAAGGTCGTTAGACCTTCTCATAGACCTCCTGCAAAGTTCTCAAAAGTATTGCATTTTGGTCTTGTTCGACGGAATTACTGGATTTCAAAACATTCGTATATAGATTCATTACGTGTTTGTTTTACTTGAATATCACTAACTTTGGCTCTGAGAGTTGTTTAAAACAAGAGAACTGTTTTAGATTTTATCTGAAGTATTCAACACGTGCTTCCTTGAGTATATGGTTGTTCAAGCTGTCTATTTTCTGTATTAACAGCTAGACTATTTCCTGATATAAATGTTTTGTTCGGCCCTTATATAAAACCACATGCGAGAAGTATGCTGATATTTAAATATATTTAGGTGTTTGTGATAATCATTTTTTGTCATGTTTCAAAGAATTTGAATTAAACTTATTTAGTGTAAGAAAATCAATGTTTTATCCTCCGTTAAAGAAAGGGCAACAGCTCTTTCAAATCAAAACAAATTGATTAGAGATACGTGCACTGATGCAACCGGTACTGTAATAAATTGATTATTGTAATAATGTATTGTGTTGAGATTAGCCTTATTGTGTAACAGTGTGCAACATTGTCTAGTGATGGTTAAGCATTTAAAGGTTGAACCAATGATAATGTAGAGACTAGTTGTTGAAACCGTCCATCGTCGGCCAACTCCATTTCCAGTGTATCTTTGTTGCGGTAGGAAAAGAAGTTATCTTATGTTTTTTATTGTTTGATTAGAAGATAGTGAAAGATTTTTTTTACTTTCATGAAAGGAAAAAGTTAAGTAAAACAACAACAAAAAACACAAACGAAACATACACAATAAGTTAATACACATTACATGAATACAAATAAATAAATGAATCCTTGAGAAGACATTTTAGCATGGTGACCAGTGTTGATCACAATCCACCACCCTTACAAGTCATGAATTTTTATTTGATTGGTACAAATACATGAACATGGTTCATATTTACATATTTCCTGACCAGCCATTTTTTATGAATACCCTGACAACAAGTGGATGGTGATGAGAAGACCATTTTTTATACTCGCTACCGACCGACTATTGTTCGAATGCGAGGAAAGCGTCAGATTATTAATTAGGAAACGTACTTTTAATTATCGGGAATAGAAGAGGTTGATACAAGAAAATGAAAAAAATATTACTTGTATTCACACCAACAAAGGGTGTCGGTGTGTGTACCATCGGCAGGTCAGTAGTAGGTCGTTCGGGAACTCGTTCTGGTAAGTCACTCGTACCAATCACATACAAGATATTGATGATAAGGAATTTGGTTTCTAGGAATTAATCCACGTGACTACTAATTTGCATTAGGTTTCTTTTCGAAAGATATTAGGGCAATGTGTGTATGTAAACAGGTCTTATATTTCAGAATGTGTGTACACTCACAGATAGTCAACATACTAAGGATATCATTACGATTATCTACCTGTCTCAATTGAAAAAAAAAAGGTACTGGGGAAGGTTTGTGGCTATAATGGTTTATATTACAATAACTAAAACAACAAAAAACGAAACTAATATTATATAAAGTATAAACTATAATTAAAACCCGAGATGAATACATATACGAATTACAGTGAACGTTAAGACTACAGTTTTGTACCAGGTGGTTCGTGTTACTGAATGAAGGACCCAATTACAGATTTGAGGTTTGTGGTCAAACGACTGAGTCAGAGGTATTTACGAGTTTGTCATATATCCAGAAGCAATGCATTGTGGGTTCCCCTCCCTTACAAACTTAAAAACCTCTGACGTCACTTGACAGACAGATATAGTTCATAATTGTTAGAATCAGTGATATTCTAATATGCCATACCCACAATAGATGAAATCACCAGCCAATGTTATTGTGCTTTAGGTGACAGGATAAACCTTGCTGATGATCACATCGGAGTAACACCTTGTATCACGCCGAGTGGGAGTAACCTCGTGTGTCTCACGTCCTATTCTAGGTGTAACCAGAGACATATATAATGTATATATAATGTGTTATATACGTCTCTGGTGTAACAATATGGAAAATGGAGACCATCTGATAATGTTGACAAGCTTCCGCTTCAATCGGCGAAGACCGAAATAGTCATACTGACTCGGACTACTTATGCATGTACTTCCCAAATATAACAATTCACTTTCTACCTAAATGTAATTCAGATACAGATTGTTTTATCGCCGAAAGTTCTGTTGTATTTGAACATTCCTGAGAGAAGGTATCCAGAAGGCA